CTTTTGATCTCATTAATCCATAAAGCAATATTGCTTGTGAGTTCTGAAAAGATATTCAAAGAAAAAAAGGGGGAAGTGTCTAAAAGGTGTGTGGGAGAGAAAGAACTCTCTCAAAAGACAGCAATTGATTCTCAGACAACAATGAATTTCACAGCTGAGCTGAAAATAACCAATTTCTAGAACAGTCAATAGATAATACCAGGCTCCCAAAAGTATTTGAGCAAATAGGTCTGTTAGCTCAAATGCCTTTATTCTCAAACACCTCCATTTTCAGATAGTATTATTTGGTTTTTCTACTTGACTATGAATTTTGGAGAGCATTTGAGAAATAGCTGCTGTGCAGATGTGTAGAAGCCCTCATCCTCATCATCTGTTATGATAGTGCGTTCCGATATTTGCTTTTACATTGAGTAAAGAAAATAATTTCTTAGAACTGTCAGTCCTGCTAGGACACAAAGCAGACAAGTATCTGTTAATAATAATAATAATAATAATAATAATAATAATAATAATATATTATTATTATTATTATTTATACACCACCCATCTGGCTGAGTTTCCCTAGCCACTCTGGGCAGCTTCCAATTGAGTGTTAAAAACAATACAGCATACATTGCAGGACATAGGAAGCTGCCTTAGACCACTGGCCTATTCTAGCTCAATATTGTCTACAGTGATTGGCAGCTGTCATCCAGAGTTTCAGCCAGGATTCTGCCCCCCTCCCCCAACTGGAGATGCCAGGGATGAACTTGGGACCTTCTGCATGCAAAACGTGGGCTCTATAACCAAACTGTGACCCTTCTCCATTTTAGTGCAGCAAACAAGTCCTGCTTCTGAAAGGTCTACTTGTAGGCAACTTTGCTTACCTCCAGTCAGAAAACAACATTAGGCAATGACTATTTAACTGTGCCTTGATCAGACATTCTCAGGAACATTCTCCTACTTCACATCATCAAACAGAAAAACATTGACACTGAAAAATGATCAAGCCATCCTCGTAGGGTATGGATTGTAAGCTATCCCGTTCCACTTGCATCGGTGGCATCACAGAATAATACATTGGGAGGTGTCAGCAGTGATTGGCAGGGAGCACAGGCAGCACAGTATCACACACCTGATTTCCTGACACCATTTTTTTTTGAAGAAGAGGATGGGTGAGACATGGGGAGCATGCACAATGACAGAGCCAATTCAATGCTGCAGCCACAATGGCCACACTGCACTGATCTTGGTCATTCTCCTCTTCACACGTTCCAGCTTGTCAGTATCCTTCTTAAACTGTGGTGCCCAGAACTGGCCACAGGACTGCAGGTGGGGTCTGACTAAGGAAGAATAGAGCAGTACTATTGTTTTCCTTGATCTGGACACTATACCTTTGTTGATGCAGCATAAAATAGCATCAACTTTTTTGCTGCTGCATTGCACTGCTGACTCATGCTACGCTTATGGTCTACTAAGACCATCCTTTTCACATGTATTATTGCCAAGTTGGGTGTCACCGATCCTATATTTGTGCATCTGGTTATTCCTGCCTAAGTGCAGAACCTTACATTTGTCCCTACATTTTGTTAGTTTTGCTCCAGTTCTCCAATCTGTTAAGATCATATTGAATCCTGATTCTATGTCTTGAGGTATTAGCTACCTAAATTTGATAGGAAGGTCCACCTCAGTTCCTTCATCGAAGTCATTTGCAAGGATATTGAACAACACCAGGCCCAGAACAGAACCATGGGTCTTTTCCAGGGAGTCTTCTCTTCTCATGAGGTGGCCAAAGTACTGGAGCCTCAGCTTCACGATCTGTCCTTCAGAATGTTCAGAATAGAAGGTCTCAAATTATCATAGTTTTTCATACCTCAAAAAGCTTTCACTCCTCAGCACTAACAAGGAAAAGAGGCGTTTGCCACACTAGATGGGCATCACTTAACACAGTAACCAGAATATTAAACAGTGACCTGCCTGTCACTCAGAAAACCACAGATTGACTCAAAAGCTCCTTGATTTTTTTTCCAGGATCTTCAATGGCATTTGCTGGGGAAGAAATATTACCTTTTTGCTATTCATTTCTAATTTCCTTTATTAGATGGAACCTTGACAAAAAAAAATATACCTCCCAAAAGGCAAACATGCTCAGCCAGTCATCAAGGAACTGAAAGCGCATCCTCTATTTACCCCTGTATCTGCTAAGATCCTCACAGCCCCACCTTGTTAGACCATGTCAAACAAGCTGGGAAAATAGACAGAACCTCCTGCTATATAAGCCTCTGAGAGTGCAAGTGAACTAGTCCTTCTGGCCAGAAGCGGGCTGAGTACCTTAACACCGAACTCCATCCAGTATGGGGTTTGGTAGAGGGATGAGGGTGCCATTATGGGCCCTAGCATTCATGATCTGCAGCATCCAACAGAAAGGTAAAAACTCATTTCCTTTGCTTCTTTTACAAGAAAAAAAGTGCCAATGTAATTGAATATCTCAATTCACTCAAATTATACCTCATTCTATTTTGTGAGTCATGCAAATGTTTGAATTTCAAAGAGTTTTTCACCCTTTTAATACTGTTTCAGTTAAATGTTTAACAATTCCGAATAAACTGGGGTATTTTAATATTGTACTTCCTGAAGCGAAAACATCTAGTGACATCTTAATGTGGATTGAATGGGGATCAAATAGAAAAGTACGATTTGGGCCTCTCCTTGAAAAGTTATAAAGTATGAAATGCATGTTTCCTGGTTAGAAGTCTGTCAGAATACTAACATACTAACATTTTAAAGTTGCATATTACTGTATTCACTTGAATCTATTGCTCACCTTTTTGGGCCAAATTATGTTGTGAAAATGAAGGTGTGCATTAGATTTGATGGCACATTTACATTTGACAGCAAATACTTTTTTGGGTTTCAAGGTTCTGAAAATTGAGTTTGCATTAGATTCGATGGTGCATTAGACTCTAGTAAATACGGAAGTATGTACAGCAGCTAAACTCCAAAGAAGATAGACAAGGGGGGGGGCATCACTTTGCATTATCCCTCCATAGCCTTGTTCATATGAATGTATCTGATGTGTAAATTCTAGTGTGTGTATGTGTTATTTTTCAACGAAGTAGCTCCCAAATGCAAAATCCAAATGTTACCACCCCAGAAAAAAAGCACTGAGGTGATCCCTAATTTACAAACAAGTCTGGGAGTTGCTTACTGAAGACCCACAAGTCTTCAGGCCTGAGCTTATCTTTTAATCAGGTCCCTCATTCTGTTTCCTGAACTACATTGGCTAAGAGGCAGGACAGAAAAGGAACAAAAATTCCCTCTATACAGGGCAGCCGGGGAGAAGAATTAAAACTTGCTTAGTAGTAATAATAATAATAATAATAATAATAATAATAATAATAAATTTTATTTATATCCCGCCCTCCCCAGCCGAAGCCAGACTCAGGGCGGCTAACAACAATCAAATTATCAAACAATCTAATAATCCAACATTCTAAAAACATTTCATTATAAAAATTAATTAAAATCAAATTGATGGCAACCGTTAAGCAAAATTCTGTGCAGGTTGCCAGAGGAGGGAGTCAGGCTGCGCCCTGACCAAAGGCCTGGTGGAACAACTCTGTCTTGCAGGCCCTGCGGAAAGATGTCAGGTCCAAATAGTACCAAATGTTATCGGTCTCATTGTATGTTAAAGGGTACTAGAGTCTCATTTGAATCAGGAAGCATTACTGATGCCATGTGAATTGCATCCTGGGATGCGGTTGATTGGTACAGTTCCTTACTAGGATTTAAGCCGAAACCTGTATTCAGTGCCAAAGTTCAGCACTGGAAAATGTGAAATAGAAACAAAGAAGAAATGACAAATGGTGTTGAATCTCAACCAACCCAGCTGACATAAATGAGGGGTAAGGCTTTTTCAGGGCAGGTGTGAGATTTCTAGGCAGGGATTAACATTTTAGGTCATCATCACTACCATCATCATCATCATCATCATCCAAGAGCATTATTTTGGAAGCAGATTCCATTAAAATCAATAGCGCTTGCTATCAATAGGACTTGAGTGCTGGGTAGTTAGAGGTCTTGTGCCAGGTTCACTCCTTTTTATTATAGCCAAAGCCTCTTATCACAGTACAATTTTCCATTTACCTTCAATGAGGGACTCTTTCTTTGGGTTTTTATCTATGTTTGTCTAATTTTATACCATCAATTAAACCCCCACAGATATCTGTGAGATGTATAGCAAACTATCTTTAGTTAGATTGTGCCCCAAACCTTCCATCTGAAGACACTGAAGGCAGGCCCAGCAACAGCAATCGGCCAGATCAGGCATTCCTCATTGGCCAAACCCAAACCATTAATTGTGTCCTCTCCTGGACTCTTGGAAGTTTTAGAACAGTGGATGGCAATGTATCTAATAATACCTGTTGCAGTAACATCCTCCAGAGCCAAGATGTGTCAGAGCCCATCAATATTTTGGATGATAAAGATTTGAAAGATTGATTAACTTTGGCTGGATTGTGCCCATTCACGATATCTGTTAGTTTGATATACAAACTTAAAAGAAAATACATATTTATAATTTCACTGAAATTGAGAACCACTGTCAGCAGGTGGTATAGTTAGAGTATCCACCAATCTCAGTCATGCATATTCTACACTTTGTGGTGAATGTGCTCTTATAAGAGTTTCACACACTGCTTTTCAATTGCCAACTTTTGGATTGCTATCTTCCACCATGGGCTTTCTGCACGCTGGTGCAAAATCACAATCATAGCATTTACCAGGCCCTGAAAGCTGAGATTATGGCTTTAACTGTTTAAAGAATGCACACAAATGAACATACATACAAATTATGGTTTTTCTGTTCCCTTTGTTTGTAGCTTCTAGTGCAGAAGGTGAATCGGGAAAGGTTACCATCATCCCACCATTGACAACAACACCAGTTATAACATGTAAGTCTACCCATAAACTGTCTCAGTTATTTCCTTGTATCTATCAGATATACTCATAAGAAAGGCAAAATGGATAAGGTCAAGAAACAGATGAATAGATGGGTAGATGATTCAACAGGTAAGTAACAGAACAAACATCTTGGCAAATTTGAAAAAAAAAGCAATGCATTCTCTTTCTATGCAGGGCCCTCCCTGGGACTGTACTCCTGGCACCCCTCTTATGGGTTTTTGGTGCCAAGTAAAAATGGTTTTATTTACTCAGGTATTTTATTGTGGCATATTGCAGGAGGCGAGGGCGTTTTCTGCTGCTTTTAAATTTCAGATTTTATCTGCGCTGTTTTATTTGTTGCAGTGCTATTTTTACTCTTCTTGTTGCTTTTATCTTGGCTTTATTACTTGCTCATTTTGTTTAGTTTTATCTTTATTTTTATCTCTCTTATCAAAGTACTAAACAAAGAGAAAGAAGCAGAGAGGTTATAAAAGCAAGTTAAGCTGGTGGACATATAACACATGGACGCTGCAGTTCTTTACTCATGTACTGGGGAGCAGGGACTGTAGAACTCAATGGGACTTACTTCTATCTGTATAGGACTGCACTGTAAATAACCTTAAATAAAGCCCAGCCAAGGATGTTCCACTTTGTGCAAGTGCAGGCACCTAGGGAGGCTGCACAATGCAGACCACCATAGAGATGATAGGAAGAATGAAAGGATGCTCCCAAACACTCCTTGGCCACCTCAGAAGTAAAGAAAGTGCATGCAATTTATTTTCTCATTAATTTGTACAGAATGGTTAATATATATATATTTAAGTAGGTCTATTATTTCCAGATCTAGTATATATCTGCAGATATTTGCTCACCCCTAAAGAAAGGTAGAAATAAAGGGATATGCCTCACACTTCCTTGTGACCTTTGAAGGATTTCCATCTAGAGCAAAGAGATAACTGAAATCTAAACTATTTACTTTCCTTCTATGCTGTCACGGTGTAAGCACTTACTTATTTCTCATTGTAATGAGATTACAAAATTCCTGCCCAGGTTTTGGCAGGGGGTGTCAGGGGATGCAGGTGACAGTCTTTGTGCCAGTTATGAAAGGTCAAGGCAATGACTATATAGAGAGAGGTTGAGTATACACTATTTTCTTCCCAGCTCTGGAGATCTTTTACACCTTTGTAGATTTTACACAGTAAAATCCCTTCTCCCCTTCACAGGTTTTAGTTCCCTTTGAGTGCTAAATAATGTGTTGCACAGTGTTTGATCTTCTGTTCTCTAATTTAAACTTATTTTGTACTCAGTGTATATCCTGCAGTGAAATCTGATTCCAGTTGTGGGTAACAAAAGGGCACAGGGCTTTTCCTGCTTCTGTTGAGCATGCTCTGTTGCACTTTAGTAATAAATCCTGCCATAACTCTAGTTTATGTTGAACAACAGAATAACTTGAAGGATTATGTGTCTTCCTCTGATCCCCTACTCAGCCTGGTTGTGGAACCTGTGACGCACCACATGTTGCTGAACTCCCAAGTCCCATCATCTCCGACCACTGGATGTGCAGGCTAGGAGTGATGAGAGTTTGAGTCCAACAACATCTGGAGGGCCACAGCTTCTCCACTTCAGCCTAAGGGAAAGCTGGCATCAGCATCAACTTACTTCTGAGCTGAGCACATAAAGTGGCAAAAGAAGTAACAGTGTCTACCCAGGGCAAATGCAGGCAAGGAACAAAAGCCTGTTTGTAATGGGTGATAAGCTAGTAATGTCACTATGTAAGCTGGCATAGAAAATGAAGAAATGAAGATGTTGTCAGCAAAAAGTGTGCAGTATACCTTTACAACCTTTTGTGAATTTGCAGCCTTCAACTCAGCTCATAATGGGCAAGTCTGCAGCACGTGGGGCCAATTCCACTACAAGACGTTTGATGGGGACATCTATTATTTCCCTGGGACCTGCAACTATGTATTTGCCTCCCATTGCAATGCTGCCTATGAGGACTTCAACATCCAGATCAGGCGCACAATGGTGAAAGACATTCCCACTATCAGTTCTGTCACCATGCGGTTGGATGGGACGGATTTTGAAATGCAAAAAGATGCCATTGTGGTGAATGGTGAAAGGTAATAACACAGACTTGTGTCCTGAGCAGACCTACTTCCTCAAATAGATTCCTTAATAGGCAGATAGAGTTCAGTCCTACCATGATCTAAGAACCAATAACCATGAAAGGTCCATGGTAGCCACTTCTAATCTGGGTGTCAGTGTCCAGCCAGTGGTGTGCAGTGACTACCATGTTCAGTATCAATCTGTGGTCCAACACCCAGAAATCCCCATGCTGAAGCACACTGAGAAATACATTAATGAAGCCATTAAAGGCTATTGAAAGCCCAAAATTCCCAACCACAGAGGAGGCTGCTTGTGGCCTCCAGTAGGCTTTGCTGCTGTGGTCACCATAGCCACATGCCCTTCTAATTTGTCTTGGGTGGGCATGAGTAATTCTGCAGTAAGTTCTGTAACGGGATAGTTCAATCACTCATGATGGCAATTTGGCAGTTATACACCCTCAAAAAAAGCCACATGTCACTTTGCTTTGAATTACATATCCAGTATCTCTGATGCTTTCTCATCAGGGTTCAGCTGCCTTACACCGGATCAGGATTCGTTATTGAGAAATTTACCATCTATGTGAGAGTGATTGTCAAGCTGGGCCTAACCTTACTGTGGAATGAAAAGGACAGTCTAATGGTAAGTGCTACATAATATAGAGAATTGACAAGTGTGACCCCAGCAGAATGTGGCAGTGTAGAATGTTCCTGTTCAGTATCCCAGCCTGCCAGCCAGCCATGCCTTCCTTCGCAATACCCAATTCCACTCTCCCTTCCTGCTGCTTTTCTATTTCCCCACCCACACCAGAAACTAAAATTCTGTCACCACTGAGCATGCTCAGTCTTCACAGGGTTGTTTGGGGGCAGGGATCACCCCTTTAGATCCCCCATAATATTTTTCTACTTCTGCAAGACTTGGATTTCCCATGAAGCATGCTGATACCTCCCTCGTATTTTTCACTAGCCTTGTTCTGGCTTCATCATAATCATCATAACCCAGCAGCTGAGTTTACTTTTTGTATGTATGATGTCACCTGAACAATATTACAGATAAAATCATGATACCACAAGGCAGTTTGTTGTATAGGGTCTTTGCAATATGCTCTTATGTCGACTCATGCAAGTTAACATCACAGATTTTCAGTAACTGGTGAAAAGAAACCACCCAAATAATTGCTTCTAAGTACAGATTGGGCTTTGATATGCACAAGGCTCTTTGGGGTATTCAGCCTGCCTGCCTGCCTGCCTGCCTCCCCACCCTCTCTCACACACATACATACCTAACATCCTGTTCTGTTCATAATAAGCTCTTAGTAAAAGGTAAAGGACCCCTGACAGTTAAGTCCAGTCGCGAATGACTCTGGGGTTGCGGCACTCATCTTGCTTTACTGGCTGAGAGACCCGACAGTTTTTCTGGGTCATGTGGCCAGCATGACTAAGCCGCTTCTGGTGAAACCAGAGCAGCGCACGGAAACGCCATTTACCTTCCCGCTTTATCTACTTGCACTTTGATGTGCTTTCGAACTGCTAGGTTGGCAGGAGCTGGGACCGAACAATGGGAGCTCATCCCATCACGGGGATTCGAACCACTAACCTTCCGATCAGCAAGCCCTAGGCTCAGAGGTTTAGACCACAGTGCCACCCGCATCCCCTTACTTACTTACTTCCCTTACAAATCTTATTTGCAGTCAGTATCTAACTGCAGAAATCAACCAAGATATGTTTCCACTTGACATTTTATCTCTATTTTCAAAGAGATGAAAACACGTTTGGATTACACATTTAGCATATTCACATTTTTGCAGGAGGTGCCACCTGTTGCTTCAATTTTTCATTTTCTAGTAAAAATTCTCTTTTATAGGCCCTAACCTTATCTATAGATTGCAGAGCAGGGAATCCCATTCAAAGAACAGAAAGCATAAGTGGAGAAGAGTCAGCTGCTTTTATATATATACTGTAAATATTACAATGAAAACTAGGTTGTTATGAATAGCACAGACTGGCTGAGACTCAAAAATGATACCCCAATTTTCTATTCACTAAATTTGAATTGCAACATTGATGGAAGTTATCTTGGTGTCTCCAGTGCAGCTGCTGTTTTGAATTTTCAATCTATATCATGGAGAGTAATATTAACTTTCATCAACTTTCTCCTATATAATTTCAGCTGGAACTTGATAAAAAATATGCAAATCAGACCTGTGGACTTTGTGGGGATTTTAATGGCATTCCACAATACAATGAGTTCTTTTCAAACGGTAAGTATCAAAAACACTGCTTATTGAAATTGGGTATCAACTATTTATATGTCATGATTCATTGAGTGCTGTGGAACTACAATCTCTTCAGAGGTTTGGCTTTTCATCCATTTCAAAACATTTTAAGTGGTATAAGCAGTGCTTTGGGGGGCGGGGAGGAAAGACATGCTGGTATTCATATACATATTGATAAAAATGACAGCACAAAATGGCTGTCATTGGCAGGGGGAGGGGGAATGAGGTGCCAGTAGTCTGTTCTAGTGAGCACCCATCATAAGAAAAAGCCCCGAGGATAAAAACCTGGTGGATTTGTCTGATATCTGTCATTCTTCACTTTTAAAATCAACAACACACATTGAATATTTAGATATTAGGTGAATTTCCTGGCAGAAATGACTGGCAGAATCCGAGACCAGGGAGAAGAGTCGGTGGAAGAAGATTGGAAGAAGTTCAAAGATTATCTACAGAAATATTGTAAAATTAATGAATGTTAGAACGATGTTGGATAGAAATTAAGTGGTTTCCAGCTGTAATGCTTTAAGGGAATATGAAAAATGGGTTGTTAAGAGGTAAAAATCTAACGTTACTATTTTAAGACCAAAGATTAAGACAAATAAAGAGGGTAAGGATTAGCTGAACCAACAAACTGAACTGGAATACAAAAAAGGGAGGTATGAGGAGGTCCGGGAAACAAGCTAAGGAAAAATAAGCAATGGAAAAATTGAGTGGTTTTTAATCATTTTTATTTTGTATTTTTTTTTCTTTTTCATTTGTTATTGTAATATTTAAAAAAATATTAATAAATATCTTATATAAAAAAAAGATATTAGGTGAATTTCACTTTTCATGCTCATCAAAATAGATTTTCAGCATATGGATGATATTGATAGCATTAAGTAAATGAATTAGTGATTGGAAAAATATTTCTATTTCTGAGGTTCTAAACCAAGGCCACCATAGTGCCCTCAGACACAAGCTGCGGTGCATAAGACCCTTTGCTCTTCCCGATGTTTTATCCTTTTAATTAAAAAAACATGATGACATTTTGTTGTTGAGCGGAACAGTTGCTTGGTTTTTCTGTCTGTGATAATTTGTTTGAGTGGGGTGTAGATAGTTTGCTTGTTTTGATAGATGGTTCAGCATTGCTGCTTTAACTTCTGAAAAATGAGTACTCTTGTTTCTCCTCAGCTTGTTTTTGCTGCAATCATACTTACCTACTGAGATTGCTGTTAGGGGGAATGTTGGCCAATGGTGTGTTTACGTCAGTAGAGAAGGCGTACTGGAGCTTGCACATAGTCAAAAGGCCCTTTGAAAGTTACTGTTGCTACAGGGGAGCTGCTTTTCTCCCAAACAGCCTCAGTAAACAGCCATTGGGGTTTGGAGGGCTGACCCACACATGGCATTTCTGTGGAATTGACAGTCCTCCTGGAAGGGTAGCAAATCTGAAGCTGGGACCCTCACTCACATAGTTGGTTGTTTAAACATTGCCTTGATCATGCCCATGGAGAAGCGACTTCCATGCAACTAGGGTTCAGAATCATGTGCTGTTCCCATACAGTCAATAGCTCTTTCCCCATTGAGACAGGTGTGTGCTTCAGCCCATGCTGGCCCTTTTCTGTCCCATTGGCTGACAGAGAGCCATGTGATTTGTACAGTTCTCCCAGCTGGTGCTCTGAAGGGTTGTCCCAGCGGGGGGGAAGCATCTGGTTTTCCACAAGGTATTTACTGCACATCCCATTGTGCTATAGTGCTTTACTAAGAGTAGGGGAAAGAACCATGTGGCTATCCCTCTCAGCATCACATTTGTCAAACTGGAACAAGAACCTCTATGCAAGATACTTTCTCATATGAATCTTTTTGAAGTCATGGGTTGCTGTTTTTCATTACAGGGGCCGAAATAACTACTTTGCAGTTTGGGAATATGCAGAAAATGAATGGGCCGACAGAAGAATGTGAGGATCCTACGCCTGTCTCTCTGAGCAACTGCACTGATGAATTTGTAAGAATTTTTTTGCTTATTCTTACACTTTACATTTGTTTTATTTCCAAAAGGATGCTTAAATCTTAAGGAAGAATTGTAATGGCAGAGAAAATATATTGTTGTTTCCTCAGCTCCTGAAATTAACATTATAAGTTCCTTGTTGCAAGAACCTGATTTCTTTTCCTTGTATTTATGGCACTTTACAAAGTGCCCTGTGTACTAAATATGTCATTGTCATCTAAGACAGGAATGGGTAAACTTGTCATTCTTCACATGTAGCTGGACTCTCCAACCAGAATGGCCACTGATGAGAAACATTGAGAGCTGGAGCCTGACGACATCCGGAAGGCCACAGATTCCTCATCCCTGATCTAGGATCAGTTAATCACCATTAAAACAGTCCTTCTTGATAAAAACGTTTTGCTTTTGCTTTTCCATCTAGGAGCTTTGCCAGCATGTACTGACTGGCTCTTCATTCTTTCAATGCAATGCTGTGGTGGGAGTTAATGACTACATTGAGTCTTGTGTACAAGACCTGTGCCTCTGTAAACAAGAAGATATCACCTCCTGTCTCTGCGACACTTTTGCTGAATATTCCCGGCAATGTGCTCATGCTGGTGGGGAACCTCAGAACTGGAGAAGCCCAGACCTGTGCCGTAAGTGTAAATCACAGCTAGTCAATTATTTCAGCTGGACATTTGATACAGCTTGACATGATATTCAGCAATTACTCTGGTGAACTGGAAATTAGAAGGTACAACCAAAAGTAGAGTACACACAAAGTTGCATGCTTATAAAGGTATTAATTAATTAATTGAATTTGTATACTGCCCTATACCTGCAGGTCTCAGGATGAGCACCTGACTAGTGGATGAGCACCAGGCTGTAAGAAGCTGAAGTGTTTCATAGATCCCTATATTGAGTTTGTCCTGCTTATGAATGACTTGCATAAGTGGTGGGAGACAGAGAGATACCTCTAACTTGCAGGTGATACATAGCTGAGAGAAACTGGAAAAGAAGCAATCTAGAGGACATGGTGACAGCTAGGAGTTATTTGAATGTATCAGAACACTGTGTTTTCAGCAATCAAATGATAAATGCAACTAATTTAGAAGTTTAGATGTTCATCTGCTCATCAACTCTGCTGTTTTGGGCAATGGCGAGTCTGGGAGGTATGATCTGCAGCTCATAGAGGAATGAAGTCATCAGAGATGCCCCAGCTTATATTGCTCCTGCTTTTGAGAGGACCTTTTCCCCACAGTCTTACCACTTGAGTAATAAACTATGAAAGGAGAAAAAGTCCATCAGGCAGATTTGTTCAGAAGGAGATATTAATAAAATGTAACTAATGTCTATTAACCAAATGGTAAATACCATCTAGGCCACCAGGGCCCACAAAAAAGTGGAGGCACATATACCACTGAGCAAATGGCAAGCCACAATACATGCCTGGTTGGTCACATGATGTGCAGGGCCACTCCATTTTGGCTGGAGGGTCAGATCCAACAGTGGCTAACCCTCTGAGAGGGCCACTTGGACAGGTCAATGGGGCCTGAATTTCCAGCTGTGGCCTGAATTCCAAAAGTGCAGAATGGCTTCAATTAAAGAATCAGGACCACACTCTTAAGTCTACTTCTGATTCTTCCTTCTGGCACCTTTTGCATTTGATACTTTTTTCTGTCACCTTGCAGGGCAGCAGAAAAGGGCACCAAATTCAAAAAGCGTCAGATTCAAGCCACAGCTTGAAGCTTCCCACACCTAAGACCATATGAAACCAGGCACAGGGGAGCTGGCCAGATTCAGAAGTCAGGTGGGCTGGTGGTTCTCCACCACTGCTCTAGCATAATGAAAAAAATCATAGGAATTATAATAGACCCCAGTCAAAGCATTCATCAGTTGTGGCTACAAAAGAAAGCAGGTGCCATTTGGAGTTGCAGCAGAAAAGCATTAAATGCAACACACAGAAGGCAGGTCTCTGTTCAAGGCAGAATCACTATAAGGAATTGTTTATTAGCTGAGTGTGCTGCGTGTATCAAAGGGTAACTGAGTTATAATTAATATCCTTCTTTTCAGCAATGGAATGCTCTTCCAACATGCAGTATCAAGAATGTGAATCACCATGTACAGACACTTGCTCCAACTCTGAAAGATCTCAGCTGTGTGAGGACCACTGTGTGGATGGTTGCTTCTGTCCACCAGGTAAGCTTCCACCTTTGTATCCAACTGTTGTAGCCCTTTACACACTTGCTCGGTAGTAAGCGCCACAGATCTTAATGGGGCACTTGCCTCATGGTATTCAAGGTGCAAGCAAGGAAATCTACAAAAAAGGCATGTTGTTTTTAGGAAAAGAGATTGTACAATTATAATTTGTGTCAGGGAAGCTGTGCATGTAACCAACTATCATTTAACATCCTTTAACCATTATAATGTTTAAGTTATTTCTTCCTTTAGGAACTGTATATGATGACATTGACAATGCTGGCTGCATCCCCCACGAGCAGTGTTCCTGTGTTTACAATGGAAAATCCTATGCTCCAGGGACAACTTATTCAGACAACTGCCGTTCTTGGTAATTGACAACCTTTAATATGATGAACAAGTACTTTGTGTAGGAATCTAGGCTTGATCCATGATTTCAACATTTTAAAAGCTCTGCCTAAGTATTTGAATGAGTTATTTCTGAACATGATTCCCAATGAAAGTTCAACAGTATTTGTGATAGATTCCTTACCTTGGCTTCTGCCTAGTGCAGGGGTTGGCAACATGTGGCCCACGAAGACCATTCTACAGGCCCCTGAGCCGCCCCACCCGCTTAGCGAGACCTTCGCCCGCTGCACTAAACCAGCACAGCGTGGCGTGGGGACTCACTGAGCGGCGCCGGAAATCGCATCTGTGCATGTGCAGATACCAGAAATCGCGTCTGCGCATGTCCAGATGCCAAAAAACGCTTCTGTGCAGGCATGATTTCTGGCATCTGGGCATGCGCAGAAGCGATTTCCAGTGCCGCGGACATGTGCAGATGCAATTTCCGGCCCATGGCCGGTAAACCTTGCCAACCCCTGGCTAGTGGCCACACTCCAGCTTATGCTTCCATGCATGTCACATTAGCCCTGCTCATTAGGCCTCTGCTAGCCATTCTGCTACATAAAAAAGGTAAAGGACCCCTGACAGTTAAGTCCAGTTGTGAACGACTCTGGGGTTATGGTGCTCATCTCGCTTTACTGGCCGAGGGAGCCGACGTTTGTCCACAGACAGTTTTTCTGGGTCATATGGCCAGCATGACTAAGCCACTTCTGGTGAAATCAGAGCAGTGCACGGAAACGCCGTTTACCTTCCCCCTGGAGCAGTACCTATTTATCTACTTGCACTTTGACGTGCTTTTGAACTGCTAGGTTGGCAGGAGAAGGGACTGAGCATCAGGAGCTCACCCTGTCATGGGGAGTCGAACCGCCGACCTTTCAATCGGCAAGCAAAAGGCTCAGTGGTTTACACCACAGCACCACCCACATCCCATTCTGCTACATACCGAGCTGCTATTTAGGCATGACCAAATGAAGCCAGTCTTTTGTACAACTCAATGGGTCAGGATTACCACTGAGATGGTTTAGTAGTGACTTTTCACATCATTAAGCTAAAATTCTGCAGTAACAATAGGATCCTAGGAAACTGCCTTCTGCCAGATTACACTATTTGTTCATCTTGACTATTGTTATCTACTCTGACTGGCAGGCAGGGATCTTTCCCATTGCATGCTACATCACCCTTTTTACTAGAAATTCCAGGAATTGAATCTGAAACCTTTTGCATGTAAAGTTTGTGCTTCCCACTGAGCTGTGGAGCTCTTCATAGGGAAGAATTCCCCACTGCGCTAAGGCACCTTTGGTGGACTACAACTCCCATCATTCCTAGCTACCAGGACCAGAGGTGATGGGAGTTGTGGTCCAACATCTGGGGACTCAAGTTTGAGAAAGGCAATCATTCCATCAGGGCAAGCATTTTGGTCCTTTCCCTACTTCCCCAGCATGCTGTTTCAGGGGTTCTCATGACCCCCCCCCCAACCAAGTTCAGAGGGCACCAGGGGGCATGGCAGGAGGAGAGGAAGGAAAGTCCTATTGGACAAGCAGTCCGTGTGTGGAGCTTCCTCTGCATTAGATGAGTCCGCATTAGATGAGTCCCACCCATAGCTTTTAAGCTCCCACATGCTGACTCTTTAAACACAAAGCTGTGCTGGTTCCTACACTTTACAAATGTTTCCACATACACTTCAAAGAATGGAACTAATAATGGAAAATAATATAAGCTAATGTCAGTGCAATATATTTCCTTAAAATGTATGTTTCTTCTCTTTCTTCCTTTACTTCAAGTTCCTGTATTGGGGGCCAATGGAACTGCATAGAACTCCCATGTCCTGGCATTTGCTCAGTAGAAGGTGGATCACACATCTCCACTTTTGATAAAAAACGTTATAATGTCCATGGAGATTGCGTTTACGTTCTCTCAAAGGCAAGTCACTTAAGATATACTGTCACTATAATTAGCAAAAATGTCCCCATTACCACAGTGCTATACAGGCACACAAACTCACACTAATCCTCTTTCTGGGATTATAAAACCAGTGTAATTGTTCCAGTAGTAAATCCCTTGCTTTGGATATCATGGCACACAGCTTATTCAGTTTTCCTTTACAAGTTTTAAATCCCTCTCACTTCCTTATTGCTTCTACATTATCACACCATTATTTTCCATAAAGCAGTAATGTTTTTTTAGATGTGTAGAAGACACAGACTCAGAAGAGACACCTTTGGGGAAAATTAATAAAGCGGGGGGTGGGGGGCAGAATCTCATTTCAGGAGAATTACATATGATACGACAATGAAACTGAAATACAGTTGCTCAGGGAGATGCTACACATTCAAATAAAAGGCCCATGAGACAACTAGGAAAGTTTGCTTACATATTTTTAAGAAGCCCAACACATTCAATATCTATAAAGGGAGGAAGTAGCAGATTTTCCTGTTCAACAGTTTTGATTCAAAATGTCTACTCTCTCATTTAAAAGATCCTGAATCAGTTTCCCTAGCTAAAGCAACCATTATAAGAAGTTAAGTCAAATCCTAAAACCAAAATACTTTTGAGTTCAAGGAAGCTAGAACTGTGCATCTGCGATACTTTTTCAGTGCAATCTTAATTTCTAGGCGCTATTGCAGTAAGTTTGCGATGCAGATGGTAATTCTTGGGTGTTGGCTTGCTTTTTTAGTTTTGTGGAGATGATACATTTAGTGTTCTCGGAGAACTCCGCAAATGTGGCCTGACAGAGACTGAGACATGCTTGAAGATGGTTGCCCTCAACATCAATGGAGACCAGACTGTAAGTTTCTAAACCAAAGGATAGAGAACACCTTATAAGCCACAATGCCTTAAGAGACAGGAGTAACTAGGGGGGCGGGTATTCAATTCCATTCACATTTAAAGGCACACCTGGCTAATTCACACTTTCCAAAACTATATGGGGATTTAAACACAGGCACTCTTCAAAATTTGTACTTCTATGAAATTTTCAGTACAGTTCTGTAGCCAAATAATTTGTGCAAAAATGCATAAACTGAAGCTTAAAATACACTTTAAGTACAATTTAAGTGTGCTTAAAAATTGAATTAGTGAAAATAACATGCAAAAATGCATTATAGTAAGAGAAACAGCTTTGCAAAAATGTGTATGTGAGCCAATTTGCATACAAACAAAATTGCATAAAACGTTTGCATTAAAATGCTGATAAATTTTCATGAAGAGTTTTTGTAAAAATGCAAACTGATCTGGAAATGTGGAGAACTAAGCTTGAGACTGGAAAATCTGAGAGAGACCAAAAATGACAGATCCACCCATTCCTAGAATAGAATCTGTATGTAAAGGCAACTTGCTTTTTCTAGCTGATGCCCAAAGTATTAGAGTCAGAATAATAAAGTATCAAATAAATTGCCCTTATGTATTCCTGAAGACAATGGGTCAAATCCAGACAACCAGTGAGTGGAACTGTACTCATGGAAGTGGGAGGTTTTTGTTGATAACCGCAACACCCAAGGAGCTACTCCAGAGAGTTGGAGGACCTCTCAGAAGAACATGGGAAGCAGTACAGTAAGCTGCTAGGGAAAGTAGTAGAAATCATCTCTCCTGACTCTTTTTTGTGAGTAGGACTCTCTGCTGGGATGCCAGCTCCACCATGAAAAGGAGCTCTTCCATGACAATAATCAGCTCTGAAAAGGCATTTAGTCCATGAAAAGCAAAATGACTTAGTACTCACAAAAGTTCAATTAGAGAATGACTGCAAAATGTGTTTTAAATTGGTTTCGAAGAATGTCGTTGAAAGAACTACTTGAAAAGGAGGAAGAATGGGGCATGGGGGTGGGATAATCAGTTGAGGTTTCAAATCATAAAAGCCAACACTGTCAACCAGAACCTTTCATCTTTGTATTTTACCAGTTTACGAAATTATGGTGTAATTTGTGCCCCTTACTGTTCACAGTAATGAATGCACAGAGAGATGGAAAGAATCGGGATTGGATTGATGGAGCATCCTTTGAACTTATTTAGGAACAATATGCTTCTTATGGTTGGCAACCTGCCAAAAGCTTGCCTTTTTTAACATGCATATTAGATAGATGATAGATGATAGATAGATAGATAGATAGATAGGTAGGTAGATAGATAGATAGATAGATAGATAGATAGATAGATAGATAGATAGAGATAGATAGATGATAGATAGATAGATAGATAGATAGATAGATAGATAGATAGATAGATGATAGATAGATAGATAGATAGACAGATAGATAGATAGATAGATGATAGAAGATAGATAGATGATAGATAGATAGATGTAAAAAGTGTCCGGCCTCAAAATCAACCATTCAAGATTGGTTATATTAATGCTGAACACTCCCTAATTTCACTTATCTGATAGCAGGACCTGCATGTAATAGTTTTTATCCCCCCCATAAAGCTTATTAGAAGAAACAGAAGATGTAATTTATCACCAAACTCATTATTACTCCTTTTCTCTTTGTCACCAGACCATTGTGATCAGTCCTAATGGTGGTGTATTAGTCAACTCGCTCTACACTCAGTTGCCTCTCTCAGCAGGTATGTTGCATGTCAGAAACTTCTGTTTGCCATGGCAGCCTTAAAAGTTTTGAAATCTTAGGGGCAAGCTCAGCAGAAGGGCTTGTTACTCCACAAGCTAGCAAGGTTTGATTGGGTTACTATTTTCCCTTTTCCAGTTCTGCTGGGAAAAGAAAGTTGGGTTTGTGTAGAGCAGATGTGAGGAACCTGTGGCCCTCTGAATGTTGCTAGACCACTACTCCCATCAGCCCCAAGAAGCATGGCCAATAGCAGAGTTGTAGTTGTAGTTCAGCAACACTTGGAAGACCAAATGTTCTCCATAACTAATGTAGAGGTTTCCCCTGGAAATGAAGGATTCTCTTACCATCAGCCATGTTTTAATAACATCCAGCCACAGCTACTGTAATATAATGCATTGTATGTAAGGCAACCTTTGAAAGGAACTTCCAGATTAGATAGCAAGTTTGTTAACCAGGACTCTCCATAATGAGAATATAAACTGCTGCTGTTTACTACAAGGTCCTAAGCTACCTCTGTAGCTGAGACCAGAGTATGTGAAGGACAGCCACCTCCTATAGGAAACTACTTATTAGCTGAGATATATTTTGTGAAAGGTCTTTCATCTGGTGTCCAGAGATTAAGGAGTTGGCTGCCAGAAATAAGCCCTTTTTTGCACCCCATTTATGGGACTGTCTTCTAAAAGATGTCTGGTGCCATCGTTGTTATCATTCTGGTGCCAGACTATTCTATCATATTCCCCCAATCCTTTGATGGTTACGATTTGTTAGATCCATGCCATATATGCCACATTATTGTTTCAGTTCATACCACTTAATCATCAACAAAACTGGGGCAAACGATGATATGGTGGCCAATGTAGATTGGGCTGATGGTTGGGCACAATCTGAAAGTAAGCATATAACTGTTTCAACTTGTATCAAACCCTTCACACATCCATCCAGCCCACAGTCACAACATGCCAATGTGCTTGGCTTGCATGAATTGGCCTTCACAAATCTGGTTCTTCTTTTCCTGAGTAATGGATGGCAGTTGCAGCTCTGAATCTCATAAGAATGGTGTCTTCTTTGTCCGTAGCTAATGTAACCATATTCAGACCTTCGTCCTTCTTCATCACTGTGCATACAAACATTGGCCTTCAGCTAGTAATCCAGCTCGTACCCACAATGCAATTGTATATTCATGTGGATCCATCTTTCAAAGGAAGGACTTGTGGTAAGAAGTATTTTAAAGCAAAAAGAAATTTGTGGCATGCCTGGGGGGCAAAGTATTATAAAACTGGACTATAAAACTCTTTGGGGTTTCTTTCAAAGGTCTCTGTGGAAACTTTGACAAGCGTCAGATGGATGACTTCACAGCCATAAGTGGAGTGGTGGAAGGAACAGCATCTGCATTTGCTAACACCTGGAAAACTCAGGCTGCATGTCCCAACATCAAACAAAGTTTTGAGGACCCTTGCACGCTTAGCATTGAAAATGGTAGGCATATTTGAGAATTATAAGCAAGACTCACAAACACTTCAAAATTATAATTCTACCTAGCTTGTGGGGAAAATTAATAGAAATAAACAAATTAGAAGAACTGACTGAAAACAAATATTAATAAATGGGGAAATCAGGGGAAATAAATAACAATAAAACCTTGCAAATCAAGATCCTGTAGCCACAATCTAAACAGAAGAAGTTAGGTATGCCACCCCCCATTGAAATACGGTAAGTGGATGTACACATGGCTACCTCTTTTTTAGACTGTGGCTTGTAAGTTTTGCAAGTAGTCTATAAACTAACAGCCCTATGCATAATTGGGTATATTGGGTATCTGTAGCATGCACATATTCAAGATTTAGATCATTTCCTTCCTCAGTCCATGGCTTCAGGAGGTTCAGCAATGAGTGAACAGCAGTGAGTAGAACAAGCATTGTAGCAGCACCAGGATATCCTGTCTAGAGTCAGTGATGTGAGTTGAGGTAAAAGCTGCCATTTGCACCTATAGAAATTCCCAAAACGATATGGATTAATTTCTTCTCTTTGTAGAAAAATACGCCCGACATTGGTGTGGATTGCTGACTGACTCGGAAGGACCTTTTGCTAAATGTCATGCCTCAGTTAATCCAGCTTCTTATCATACGGTATGAAGCTATCTGTTACCTCTCATTGAAAACAGTTTATTGGAGGAAGTTGAAAAGTATCTTTGGTTGGGGTAGGCAACCTGGTGTCCTACAGATATTTTGGACTGCAACTCCCACTGTCCATGACAATTGGCCATGCTAGCTGGGACTGGTGGGAATTGTAGTACAGTGGTGCCCCGCAAGACGAATGCCTCGCAAGACGGAAAACCCGCTAGACGAAAGGGTTTTCCGTTTTTGAGTTGCTTCGCAGGACGAATTTCCCTATGGGCTTGCTTCGCAAGACGAAAATGTCTTGCGAGTCTTGAGATTTTTTTTTGCTCCCCCCCCCCCTTTATCTAAGCCGCTAAGCCTTTAATAGCCTTTTAGCAGCTAATCCGCTAAGCCGATAAGCCTTTAATAGCCGCTAAACCGCTAATAGCGCTAATCCGTTAAGCCGCTAATAGGGTTGCTTCGCAAGACGAAAAAACCGCTAGACGAAGATACTCGCGGAATGGATTAATTTCGTCTTGCGAGGCACCACTGTAATAAACATCTGGAGGGCACCATGTTGGTTACCACTAATCTATAAGGAAACATAATGGTGGGACAAGACAAAATGGGTGGAACTAAATGGAAGGTGTCATCAGTATAGGATCCAAGCCATACCATCACATGTTTTAGGGATGAGGCAAGATATGTCATTTCACAGAGAAAAGCAGAAATCAACAACTGGAGAGGGTGAAACTGACAAGGGAGTAGGGGAGCTGAGTGCTGGGCAGTTAACATAGGCCATGCTGAGACAGTGAAATGCTGAACATAAACAGAATGTCCAGGAGTGAAGATGATGTGAAAGAATTTCAATAGAGCTTCTGGATGTTCTGAAGGCTGGGAGAAAAGCCAGTCAGGATTTGACTAGAAGGCATAGGAGAGTTTAAAGGACTAGTTCACAAATGCATGCCCATCACTTGATGACTACAGTATCAAATGCTGATTCCATGAGTAAATTGGCCCAGTGGCGGAGGAAGGGGGTGCGGGGGTGCAGGTCTCCCCAGGTGTCATCACTGAGGGAGGTGGCATAATGACAAAAATATGAGTTTTTAAAAATAAATTGGGCTCATGAAACTTTTTAGTTCAGTCAACAAACGTAACGAAACGCGGCTGGCACTGGGCGCTACACCACGGGGGCCGGCACTTACCACGGGGCCTGCAGCGTGCCCGAGCCACATGTCTCTCCTGGGAGTGACGTGGTGGCTTGGGCGCCTGCGGGCTCTGTGCTGCCTGAAACGGCAGCGTAGGACTTGCATCTGCCCTCTGCCTCTCCCTCAGCCATCCTACAGCTGAGGGGGAGATGGCAGAGAGGCTCCATAAAGCCCACTCCGCCCCCATGGGTGGCTTGTCCCACCCCCCAGCTGCAGGACGTGCGTGCCGCACCCAGCACCCAAGCAGCTAGCTATGCCGCTGAATGGGCCATCACAAATCAAATACAGTGGTTCCTCGGGTTACATACACTTCAGGTTACAGACTCCGCTAATCCAGAAATATTACCTCGGGTTAAGAACTTTGCTTCAGGATGAGAACAGAAATTGTGCTCCGGCGGCACAGCGGCAGCAGCAGGAGGCTCCATTAGCCAAAGTGGTGCTTCAGGTTAAGAACAGTTTCAGGTTAAGAATAGACCTCCAGAACGAATTAAGTTCTTAACCCGAGGTATCACTGTACCACAGACAATGTTTTCATGCCATTCCATATCACCACACATAAACTTTTCAAAAGAGTCAGTTCACATATTCTCCTCTGTATCATCAACTGATGAGAAATCTAGTGTTGCACATGTATGAGCTCACTGGCTTTAAGACTTCTGTTTCAGATGAATGTCTGAACTCAATGAGTAGTATTCTGTGATAGGTAAAGGTAAAGGGACCCCTGACCATTAGGTCCAGTCATGACCGACTCTGGGGTTGTGGCGCTCATCTCGCTTTATTGGCCGAGGGAGCCGGCGTACAGCTTCCGGGTCATGTGGCCAGCATGACTAAGCTGCTTCTGGCGAACCACAGCAGCGCACGGAAACGCCGCTTACCTTCCCCCTGGAGCGGTACCTATTTATCTACTTGCACTTTGACATGCTTTCGAACTGCTAGGTGGGCAGGAGCAGGGACCGAGTAACGGGAGCTCACCCCATCATGGGGATTCAAACCACCGACCTTCTGATCAGCAAGTCCTAGGCTCTGTGGTTTAACCGACAGCACCACCCGCGTCCCAAGTATTCTGTGATAGTCCTACTCAAAGTAGACCCACAGAAGTTAATGGCCATAAGTAACTTGGGTTCATTAATTTCAATGGGTCTAGTCTGAGTAGGAATACTTCCGTCATCTCCTGGATCTAAATATAGATAAATATTTCCCCCTTTTATTCGCATACACGCCACATGATACTTCATTTTGCTTTGAAGCATAATGCTTATAATCCTGAGTTGTTTGCAAGTAATGTTGATTTCCCTTTCCAGTTATGAACCAAAATGTAAGACTGACAATAGTGAAACTCAGAACTGAAAATCCAATTTGGGTCAGCAATTGTTGTATCGCTAAAATGGCCTGAAGGCACATGATACAATTCTACTGCTGAAGCCAAGTACATCAAGCCCCTGCCTGCTAAAGGATGAGAGATGACACTGAATGGGATATTAGTTAGTCTGAAAAAAAGTTACAAGTGAAATCTAATCTAGTCAAATTGAGAAACGGTAGGAAAAGGATTATTGACTTGGAATGGATTGTTTTTAATAAGAGCATTTTCCTGTTCTCTAGAATTGCATGTTTGACACCTGCAACTGTGAAAGAAGTGAGGATTGCATGTGTGCTGCCCTCTCTTCCTATGTTAGAGCCTGTGCAGCTGAAAAAGTAGAGCTTCCAGGATGGAGGACCAATGTCTGTTGTAAGTCTTCTAAACAGCCATCTCGGGTCTTAAAATGAAATAACTTTTTGTGCCAATGAATCTTAGCATTTTCCTTGTCTTGCTGGGTTCTCTTAGTGATGGTCTGGAGTAATAGACTTCAGGACACATTCCCCCCCCCAAAAAATAATAATCCCATTTTTAAAAATAAAAATAAAAAAGATGGATCTAGTCATGGACATTCATGCCTTGATTTTATCCAGGCTAGGTTTCAGCAATGCACTCTATGTGGAGATGCCTTCCAAAAGCATCTGGGAGCTGCAGATTTCACAATGCAGCAGCCACACTACTATCTGAGATGAATGTATAGAACACATCACTAATACTACTCTAATTTCACTGGCTATCTGCTTCTGGTCTCAATTCCAAGTACTGGTCTTAACCATTAAATTCATAGTCTGGGACCTGGATACCTAAAGGATTGCCCTCACCCATAAGAACCTGCCCTTGCAGATTCTGCTCTGTGTCTCCTTGATGCTCTGTGGCAGATAGGTACTAGGGACAGAGCATTTTTAGTTGTGGCACCCTCACTATGAAAGGCCCTCCTGAAGGTCTGCCTGGCTTCTGTTTCAGCGGGCATTTAGCTATCTATATAACCACATGTATTCTTCCTTTAGTAATTTAACTTATTATTTTTTAATTCTTTTTTTGTAAACTACTGTGTGTATGTCTGTGTCTTAGGACGAAAAGGCAGGTCACAGAAAAGCTTTCAATCAATCAATCAATCAATCAATCAATTAATCAAGCTGTTTGTTTTTCTCTTTCCAGCCAGATACACCACTTCATGCCCCAAATCCCTGAATTACAGCTATTCCATCAGTTCTTGTCAACCTACCTGCCGATCTCTGAGTGAACCTGATGTTACCTGCAATGTCAAATTTGTCCCAGTTGATGGATGCACCTGTGAAAGTGGAACCTACATGGATGATTATGGAAAATGTGTACCTGCTAACAAATGCCCATGCTATTACAAAGGAACGTCAATACTCTCCGGTGAAGTGCTCCATGACGTTGGTGTTTTGTGGTAAGAGGATTCAAGCTGCTGCCTTTAACTTTTTAGTACAGCCTTCACCAACCTGGTGCCCTCCAAATGTTAGGGACTACAACTCATGGCAAAGCTCTTCTAGCATTATCAGAATACATGACTAAGTAGTGCCGGTATCTGGAATGCTTGCATTTTGTCCCAGATTCTTTTATCGCTACCTAACTAATTTCCCCTCCATATCTTATAAGTAAATAGACCAAAATGCCTAAATACATAAAGAGCAACAGAATTTGGAAAAACATCCAAATTAGTGACCTGTATGGTCCCATTTTCAGATTCTTAAAAAGGTAAAGGTAAAGGTACCCCTGCCCGTACGGGCCGGTCTTGACAGACTCTAGGGTTGTGCGCTCATCTCACTCTATAGGCCGGGAGCCAGGGCTGTCCGCAGACACTTCCGGGTCACGTGGCCAGCGTGACAAGCTGCATCTGGCAAGCCAGCACAGCACACGGAATGCCGTTTACCTTCCTGCTGGTAAGCGGTCCCTATTTATCTACTTGCACCTGGGGGTGCTTTCGAACTGCTAGGTTGGCAGGCGCTGGGACCGAACGACGGGAGCGCACCCCGCCGCGGGGATTCAATTTCAGATTCTAAATATCCCTAAATCACCGGTATTTCTGGAGTAAACCCAACTGCTCTACTCTGTATAGGGCACAACTACAGACTCACAATTTGAAGGCTCCAAGTTTTAAGCACAGCCAGAAAGTGAATGCAAAAGCAAACCTAATTCCTCTTTCTTTTACATAGCACATGCAGCCAAGGAAAGTTGAACTGCATTGGTGATGGGGACACAAAACAGGGTAAGGAGAATATACCTATATATGTAAAATATGTTATATATACTTACTTTCCATCTTGGAAAGTTGCAGACAATTGGGCTGCGTTCCTTATTTTGTTAAAAGCCTTTTATATTGTAGATGGCTACAAATTGACAACTGGGCACAACTATTAAATATTCACTGGAAAACCATATTCATTAAAAGTTTCAAGTTAATACGGGCTTCATAGTTAATTATATAATAGTTCCACAAACCATAGTAGACTTCTGTTCAAAAGGTTTGTTTGAGGTCTTCCTGTTCTGTGGTACCCATGCCTGTCCTTTCATCTCTTACACATTTTCTCTCCTTTTGCCCTGCTAGTCTGCATTGCCCCCATGGTCTACTTTAACTGCAGAAATGCCACTGCAGGCCAAACTGGAGCTGAATGCCAGAAAAGCTGTCAGACTCTTGATATGCACTGTGTAAGTATGCAGAACCGGATGATATTTTAAGAGACTGTGCTATCAATCAGAATGTCCTTTGCTTTTGTCACAAACTTATTATCTGACCTTAGACAAGGCACTCTCCTGTCCTCACCCTCTTCCCCATCTAGAGTAGGGGGTGAGGGATCTCAGGATGTTAGCTGAACAGAGCCCTCCCAGCCTCCGTATCCTCAGGCCTCTTTTCAGCCCATTCCCCTCCCTGGTCCTGCTTCGTGTCCTCAAGTGCTTTTGCCTGTTTGGAATGTGTTTTGAACTGTGACAAATGCCTATTGCTTGTCTGGATGAAGGATGGAAGATGGAGAAGTGTGTGAACCTCTGCCTTTTGCATGATCAGAATGTAGACTACTGTACATAAGGTTAGGGTTACATCTGTTGCTCCACTCACATTTACCTCTGACCCAACCTACCACTGGCATGAAAATCCTGGAAGGTTGTCAACAAGAAAGGTGGACCTCAGACTGAAAACATTCCCCATCCCTGAGCTGCAGGATTATAATGCATATATTGGAACTTTGCATAATTTCTTACTTATTTCATTAAATATACATACCACTAAATTAAACACACCCACACCCACCTACAAGTGGTTTACAAAAAAAGCAGGGGATAAGCATGGGATCTTCCATTCTCTTTAGTGTCAGGGAATGAACAGTCTTCACATGCTCCAGCATCAAAGTTAAGTGGACCAGCCACTGCTCATTCAAACCTTAATGTTTACACTGGAGACCACCTTGCAAACTGGGGCTCCTGAGTATGCACAAGAGCTGCTGAATTAGGTGTCAGTTCACAATTTAACAAGCATAGGCTTTCACCCACTTGAATTCCCACAGCCTACAGTCTTTTGATCCAGTCCTGTTTTAGTGGACTAATTCAATTGTTATCAGCATTATTCTCTCTTCTGAAGTAATGCTTTCTTGGCTTTTACAGTATAGCACACAGTGTGTCTCTGGCTGCATGTGCCCTGCTGGGCTGGTGTCAGATGGTAAAGGGGGCTGCATCGCTATGGAAGAGTGTCCATGCATTCACAATGATGCCACATATCAGCCAGGAGAGAAGATTAAAGTCAACTGTAACACCTGGTAAGGACTTCTTAAAGAAAATGCCTCTTGTTACCATCATCTTATATGTTCCTAAAATAACCAACACAAAAAATATAAATAATTATCAGGTTGAATAACAGGTTGGCAGATATACATAGGGTCATTTCACGTATTACACTATTATGCATGTACACCAGAGTTTACTCTCTAATGTACACCTATGTATACTATAAATAACTAAAGAAAGAAATACCTAAAAATATTATGTGGCTATGACATTTTTTTATTAATAAATGTGTATTCTATTTGTCAAATTAAATTTTCCAGGGTGACTTATGTAAAATCCACATACAACAAACAACATCATGAAAGGCAGCAGATAAAAGCATAATTAAAAACAGTCAATTCAGACTTTAAAGTTCGTTAAAAGGCCATAGACAACAAAGTGGCCCTCATCTGTTGCCAAAGAAACATAGTAGCATGGGCACCAGCTAAACCACTCTGGCTGTTCCTTAGATGGGCTGTGACCACTGAACAAGCTTCCTTCCTGGTCACCCCCTGCCACACCCCAAGTCTGCGGGCACACCTAGAAGAAAGCTTCTGATGGTAACTTTTGTGCATTGACAGGCTGATGTGGAGGTGAATGAGCCAAGTAACCAAATACAGCTGGATAGGAGGAACTTCATATCCTCATTAGCACAATGATACATTATACACACAGTCACACACATACATCTTGCTTATTTCTGAACAAATCAGAAAAGTGTTATAAGGGAGGTCTGGGCTTTTATAAGGCACCTGCTTGGCCATTGTGAGAACAGATGCTGGACAGGATGGGCCATTGGCCTGATCCAGCAGACTCTTCTTATGTTCCCCTTAGGCTAGTCCACAATATGGTACAGTGAACTTGTAACGTTCTTGAGTGGCCTATGAAAGAACTTACATAGCTCATTTCTTTTAATTCCCATCTTTCTGATGTTTTACAGGTTGTAAGAAATAATGCAGCTTCCCTTGCTCTCCCCTCCCCTCTCCACACATTGCCTATGATTAATTTAAGAGATAAGTAATTTAAGCCTGTGTTAAAGGAGTACATGCCAGCTTATATCTGCGCAAACCAAGGAATCACTTTAAAATGCTCTATTTTCTCCCTTCTTCTCCCTCAGCGTATGTAAGAACAGGATGTGGGAATGCACCAAGGACAGATGCCTAGGTACCTGTGCTGTTTATGGAGATGGGCATTATATCACCTTTGACGACAAGCGTTACATTTTCAATGGGAAATGTGAATATACACTAGTTCAGGTACTGAGCAATTTGTCTTGGCCTTATGAATGGAGAATTAAGCTGAATACACCACAGAATGAAGTCATCTCTTCCCTTATTTCACCCTCCCCTTCTTAGGATCACTGTGGACAGAACAACTCTGCCTCCGGAACATTCCGAGTCATCACCGAAAATGTTCCCTGTGGTACTACTGGAACCACTTGCTCAAAATCTATTAAAGTCTTCTTTGGGGTGAGTAGCGTTACCAGTACTATTAGGGAACTGTATCAGGGTTTAGCATGAGATGATTTAATCTGCATACTAGGTTCCAAACAAGCAACTAAGTGAGGCAAGGAGGTGAAGTGGAAAGAGAAAGTGAGGGCAGGAGAAGAGACTTCTATCCTCTCACCACCTACAGCCCCCCCTCCCTCCTGCTAGTCTTGCACCTACTGAGCCTCTCACCTTCAGGCAAGCCAGCACCAGCAGTTGAGAGCAGCAGAGATAAGCCACTGCTACAATTGTTTTAACTGTTTTTAATTTGTGTGGTTTGTTGTTGTTGTTTGTTTGTTTGTTTTTACTGAGTGAGGGGAGATGCGTTTGAAAATAGAGGAGATTGAGGAGTGCCCCAATCAGAGTGGTTCAGGATAGGGGCGAGGTATAATGTGGGAGGCGGGGCAGACCGGGTAAGGGGCACATGTCACAGGCAGTTAGTGACTGTGCCATGTGCCAGCCCCTTCTCCAACCTGGGTAATTGTGGTTGTCATATCAGCCAGCCCTTGATTCTGCAGGCACTATTGCTGAATGCCAGGTCAGCTCTGAACAAGACCTTCCTCATCCCTGGTCTGATTATGAATGAGGAGGCCAATCCGTTCTGCATCACTGAGACCTAGGTGGGTGAGCAGGGTGGAGTTGGACTCACACACACCAGTACTTGGTGCAGCATCACGGCAGACTTGAGGGTCGCTGAGGGGAAGTTGCTCTGGTCTGTAGAAATTATCTCTCTCTCGGCTTTCTGAGCAGTTGGGTGGGTGGCATCTAGAGTGTGTGATCCTGGCACTGGGCAACCAGGACAGATTAGGAGTTCTGGCTTACCACCCACCTCGCTGCCCAACAGTCTCCCTGCCTGAATTTTCTGCAACACATTATACGTAGGGTTGATGGATGATGAACACCAGTTTTTGTTTTTGAACTTTGTAATGACTTTCCCCCATTCTTTATTTTGCTCCCCCAGAACTATGATCTGATCCTCAGTGAGGAGCGCCATGAATTAATACAAAGGGGTGATGGAGGCCAAGTACCTTACAAGATTCGCTACATGGGCATGTATTTGGTTATTGAAGCAAACAATGGGCTGATCCTTTTATGGGATAAGAAAACCAGCGTATTTATCAAATTACGTGATGATTTCAAGGTGATGCACTTTTTACAAGACTAGTGCCTCTTACATTTTAAGTTTAAATGTGCATAATTTAGATGCAAATCCCACTCATTTCCATGGCAATTATTTCAATTGTAAGTGTGCTTAGAGTCACACCTTAAGAGCTGATTTTCAAGACAGAAACCATGGGGAGGTCATCTGAAATAGCCTCTGCAAAAAGGATGGTTCATAAGGGAAACTACTTCAGATGCCTTGTCTCTTTGGTATATATTGGTTCCCGGCATGACTGGCTTTCATGCAACTGCCTACACCGGGATTATTTGAAGATGACATGGGGCATATCAAACAAACAGGGCTATTCCACAGGGAGCTGCTGCTGCATGGAAGAAATTGCAAACAGCCTCTGCTTGACATCCATATTGTATAAAGTACCATTAGTAAACAGGTATATGATTCTGATTTAGATGAGTATCTGTTTGCAATCTCACCTTGCAAGCATCTACTTTTTAACTGACCCAGAAAACACCATGTTTTGATAAGGAGACCAAATATAATAGTTCTGTTATCATTTCAAAATATGAGCAATGTTTGAACATTTCAATGAATTTTATACCAATGCAGTATATTTTCAATTTATGTCTGCTGCCCTTTTGATCAGCATATGACAATAAGATGGAGAAGTTATGAATAGACAACAACTTGTAGATTAACAATAACTGAGAAATTGAACACAATATAAAATTCTTTTTTTTTTTTTGTATTTTTGAACAAATGCAAAATAATCTTCATAGGAAGGAAAGAAAAAACAAATCTCTTACCTCTAGGCACACATGGCTTGTGTTTTCTAAATGCAACAAATAATGATAGTTTCCTGTAATAAGAGATGGCAGCGTGTTAATTAACCAAATGGGAGAAAATCAAAAATTAAGTTGGGCTAAGAGGTTCATGCAATTTATCTGTAACTCAAGTGTTTTCATTGCTTCTTTGTGCAGGGTCAGGTCTGTGGTTTATGTGGGAACTATGATGGCAATGGAATGAATGACTTCACTACCCGGAGTCAGTCTGTAGTAAGTGATGTGCTGGAGTTTGGTAATAGTTGGAAGGTGTCTCCCACATGTCCTGAAGCCAAATGCACAAAGGATCCTTGCTTCAAGAACCCTTACAGAAAGTCCTGGGCACAGAAGCAATGCAGCATCATCAACAGCAAGGCCTTTGCTGCCTGCCACTCTCAGGTATACCTTGCGGCAGAACTATCTTGAAGTCTAGAATTTTTCAGGTGTTCACCACAATTCCTGAGCAATTACAAATCTATAATTATACATGTGGTGGTTTCATGGATTTCAACAGTCCATTACAGAAGGCACGTAACACCCTACAGGATGTCACCAACTCTGAAGACTGTCTAGCAGCACCTTTAAGTAGTGCCTTTAACAACCCTCTACTATGTGTCCCACTGCTGTCATATTCTAGATTTTGGAGTGTGTTCAGTGTAAATGTTTATCACTAGATCCTGTTTCTAATGCTTTGGATTGTGAAGAAGCCATTTAGAAAAATACTAATAAGAAGAATTCAGGCTAAGTCAAGACAGACCATTCAGAAAATTAGCTTATGCTGATATCTTTTCTTCCTGTTTTAAAGGGAAGTCCCTAACTGACTGTTATGACCCAATTTATTGCCTTCTTTTGCTAATCAATTCTTGATGTGAATATTCAACTATGGAACTTTTACCACCCCAATACAGCAGGCAAGATACGTGTGCATAAATGGAATTTTGCTTACAGGCCTGTATTTGTGCCAATGCAAAAAGATAATGGGAGGGCAGTTCCAGGTCTGTGCAGTCTTTTGGAGGGAAAGAGTGGGTATGGGAGTCAGTCTGGATACCCCTTCCCCTCCCCTCCTCTCTCCAAGAGGTGATCCACGCTGCCTCAATGAGCAGTGCTCATATTCTTCAGCAGGCTGCATGAGCACACCAGTCGGTGTACAGTCTTCTGTGTGAACACTCTGGATCAGGGCCTCTATCTTCACCACTTAGAGCAAAGTGTGAAAGGATGTTAAATGTGCCTTCCCATTGCACCTGAAGGTTTTGGGGATATTTTTTTAAAATGCAGCTAACACTCCCTGAAAAGACACTTTTCATGGATAGACATTTTAGATGTGAACTTCTCGCTGACTTTGAATTTCTTACGTTCCTTATGTTTGGTTTTTGTTACACTGTATGCAAATATTTAATGTACAGTGGTACCTCGGGTTACATACGCTTCAGGTTACACACTCCACTAACCCAGAAATAGTGCTTCAAGTTAAGAACTTTGCTTCAGGATAAGACCAGAAATCGGGCTCCGGCGGCGTGGCAGCAGCAGGAGGCCCCATTAGCTAAAGTGGTGCTTCAGGTTAAGAACAGTTTCAGGTTAAGAACGGATCTCCGGAATGAATTAAGTACTTAACCCGAGGTACCACTGTAAATAGAATCAGCTGGTGTGGTGGAGGGGCTGATAATTACTGTTTACACATTAAATGCAAAGATGCATTCAGACCTCATATTTAGTTTGGCCCTTTGGATCTTTTGCACACTAGCCAACAGTCTATGAAAGCAAATGCAAACCCAGGGGGTGGGGATATTACCAACAACTTCTCAAACACACTATCGCCAGTGGAACAAACTTAGGAAATGTCAGCAGGACCCATAGCTGATGCTTCAATGTTTTAACAGGTTGAGCCAACGAGATATTACGAAGCTTGTGTAACTGATTCCTGCGCTTGTGACATGGGGGGAGATTGTGAATGCTTCTGTACAGCTGTAGCTGCGTATGCTCAAGCATGTAGTGAATTTGGAGTGTGCATATCATGGAGAACACCATCATTCTGTCGTGAGTATTGGACCACACTTGAATGTATACTGGAAGTGGGAGGAGGGTGAAGGGGAAATGAGATATTAGCTTCAAGATAATTTTTCCATTAGATATATATGACAATAAACAGCACACTGAAGAAAATGTATGGATTTGTGTGTGTGTGTGTGTGTGTGTGTGGTACAGTACTGTGAATACCTTCAATGAATCAGCAACTGCCTAATGTAGGATTGTTGATATAACTATGTTGCAGTAAATAGAAATAACTACATTCATTTTCAGTGCTTTCTTCATGCCTTTGCTTCCCACCTTCTTATCAGTTTAGGTATTGGCCTCATGAGCATACTTTGTCATGGTGCCCACCATTATTTTAATGGCATTGACAGCAATACAGATCCATGGTGGAATGTCTGGTCCTCAACCTTTTTCTTTTGGTTCCCCTTAGCAATGTTCTGTGATTATTACAATGATGAACGTGAATGTGAATGGCACTACAAGCCTTGTGGAGCCCCATGCATGAAGACATGCAGAAACCCAAGCGGGAGATGCCATTATCAGTTGCCTGGCTTGGAAGGTAAGAAGACTTCTAGTGACTTATAGGGTCATTAAGCCAGCTATGCACAACATTTAATAGGTTTCAAGTTTGGGGGAGTGTTGTTGGTTGTCTAAACCAACAGAAAATAGGTCACCTTGTGTTCTCATCTTTTTGGGTTTCAAATGGCTTGCAATCAGGCTTAAATTCTATGAGCCAGCCTAGATGTGATCAAGGGCTCATTCGACACACCTGCAAATGACCACAACCTTTTTCCTTTCATGGAAACTTGGAAGCATGTGGAAAAGCTATTGGTGGAAAGATCCCAGCACTGGACCAGATGACAAATATTAATTAAAATACGCCCCCCCAAAAAAGTAAATTAAATGGAATTGCTTTTTGACAGATTTTATATATTGCTCTTATCTCCCTCACACCTTCCTTTGTCTCAGGCTGCTACCCACACTGTCCAGCAGACAGGCCTTATTTCAATGAGGATGAGATGACGTGTGTTGATGTGTGTGGCTGTTATGATGATCAGGGTAACTATCATCCACTAGGAAAAACATTTGACTCAAGAAAGACATGTCAGGCATGGTAAGTATGTATAGCTTGACAACACTAAGAGAAATGATCAATTACAGTAGCACCTCCAGTTACGTTACTCTCGGTAACGTAAACTTCAGGTTGTGAAAGCGACAAACCTTTTCATCGGGTTGCGAAAACCTTGGGATCCGGCTGGACCTCCAGAATGGATCCTGTTCGCAACCGGAGGTACTACTGTACTCTCTGTATACCCCTTGAGATGTTATTCTTGTTGATTCTAGAATGAATCTTGTTGCTCTGATTGCATCCTTTATCATATACTCATAATATACCATTAGAATGAAGTATGCTGAGAATCTAATTGATTGAAGTAATATTTTAAATTGGATTTTACATACACAATAAATCCCAAAAACCAGAACAAGAAAATTATTAGAATGTTCCTATTTGCAATTCAGTGTGAAAGTGGTAGATGAAATCACAGACAAGAAGTAGTACAGTAAATGAATGCTTAAGGGGGCAGGGGAAAAACTATGAAATTAACTTCCAGACCAAACTAAGTAGAAAATAAACAGCAGAATGCAGTTTTATGATTCCTGGGTCTCACATTTTCCTATCATTTTTTTACAGTACATGCACCAGTAGAGGCATAGAGTGTAACTACGATGCCAAAGGTAAGCTGTATGTAGTGAGTTATGAATGGCACCTTATATCATATTTCATATGATGTTATCTGACCATTCTTACTCTGTCAATTTTCAGCATGCTACTGCTATTATGAAGGAAAGACATATATCTACAAGGATGTCATCTACAACACCACAGATGGCTTGGGCTGGTGCATGATTGCAACGTGTGATGTCAATGGAACAATCCACAGAGAACTATTCAGATGTGGTGGGACTACCACAATACCACCTACAGTTTCAACTACAACACCAAGTCAAGCAGGTATTTCAGTCCAAATCTTTTGCTTCAACTCTTTCCAAACTTCGCTGAGTGAAGTTCCATTGAACACAGTGAATAATACTTCTGAGTAGACATGCACTGCACCACACCAAAGAGCAGAGAAGCAGCTCCTACCACTGCAGTAGTAGCACAAATAGCACCACATCTTGGGTCAGCTGTTAAAATCAGAGGTGCCATACAACACCACACAAAGGGACAAATTCAACTAAATACTTCTGTTAATAGAGCCAGCACAAATGAGTCCCACTAGTGCAACAGGGCTTGTACTAATGGAGCAATCTCCTTAGCGCTACTTAGATATTTGAGCCAGCTCCATAACATAATTTTTTGCCAATTATCTCAACCAAACTAGATGTAAATGCGATATGATCAAAAGCAAGCATTTATAAACAAAGTATGTAAGAAAATGAAGAGATAATGAAAAACTTTACAAATCTTCTATAACATAGGAAAACATCCCCAAATACACCATATTCATATTTTTTGTTACATGTTGCATATATTATTTTAAAATAAAAATATACAAGATGGAAATCAACATAAAGTTAAGTTGAAGGTTCAATTGGCTCAAGCATGGCAGCTCCCCAGATGGAATAATCCACTTCCACCAATGTGCTCTTCTGGTTCCCCCGCCCCCCAATCCCTGCCTCATCTACAGAAAAAACTTGGGAGAGAGGTTACATGGGAGAAGGAGAGAGGAGGCAGATAACAGATAGGGAGATTTATTATCTAAATAAACTGGATTAAAATAACCAGTGATGTTGTTTCTTACAGAATCCACTACAGCGCAAACAACAGTATGTGTCCATAGAACATGTGAATGGACAGAATGGTATGATGTCAGCTACCCTAAATTTGGACGAGACAATGGGGATTATGAAACACCAGAGAAAATAAGAGACAGAGGAAACAAAGTATGTAAAATGCCAGATGAAGTGGAATGCAGAGCTCAGCGCTTTCCTAATGAAAGCATAGAAACCCTCGGACAAAAGGTACAATGTTCCAAGTCTAACGGTTTGATATGCAACAATAAGGATCAGACACCACCAATCTGCCTGAATTTTGAAATCAGGTTCCTATGCTGCCTATACACACCATGTGGTGCATCAACAACTCCAGCAACACCAGAAATAACAACAGCAGGATCCAGAACTACATCTAAAGTGACAGGTGGCATAACAACCACCCTGACACCCCTTGTTACCACTACGGCAGGAAGCATCACTACCGGTTGCCAACCCAAATGCCAGTGGACCTCTTGGTTCAGTTTTCACACTCCAAGCTCCGACCCTGGGGATGGCGATCGCGAGGACATTAAGAGCATCCAGGCATCGGGCGGTACCATCTGCGAGCACCCTCAAGAGGTGGAGTGCAGAGGAGTGGACTACCCAGAGCTCAGCGCATCTGAACTTGGACAGAACATGATCTGCGATATCAACACTGGACTCCTTTGTGAGAATGCCAAACAGACAGGGAAGTACAAGATCTGTTACGACTATGAGATGAGAGCACTGTGTTGCGACTACAAGCACTGTGAAACCACGCCAGCGCCACTGGTCACAACAAGTGCCACCACCACAGAAGCCCCAGGTAGCACGGTGGGCAAAAGCACGGCTCCAGCATCCTCCACGGGCTCTGCGCCACCTCCTGTTGTCCATACCACCACCGAAAGCACCACCCTTGTTTCCACAACACCAGGAGTAACCACAGGAAAGCCAACAACCACAGAAACACCAGGCAGCACGGCAGGCAAGAGCACGGCTCCAGCATCCTCCACGGGCTCTACGCCACCTCCCGTTGTATTCACCACCACCGAAAGCACCACCCTTGTTCCAACAACTCCAGGAGTTACAACAAGAAAGCCAACCACCACCACCCACTCAACGCCGCTTTCCACCCTCCCTCTCACAACACCAGGCTCAGTCAGCACTGCTGCCGTCTCCACTGGAGTGGTCCCCACTGTGACAGCCACAACACTCCAGTCCACTCCTGTTTCCAAGCCTTCCTCAACAATACCCACCACCGGGACCACTGCACAAACCCCTCCAGGCCTGCTGACCACAACAACCACCCTGGCTCCCCTTGTTACCACTACGCCAGGAAGCACCACTACCGGTTGCCAACCCAAATGCCAGTGGACCTCTTGGTTCAGTTTTCACACTCCAAGCTCCGACCCTGGGGATGGCGATCGCGAGGACATTAAGAGCATCCAGGCATCGGGCGGTACCATCTGCGAGCACCCTCAAGAGGTGGAGTGCAGAGGAGTGGACTACCCAGAGCTCAGCGCATCTGAACTTGGACAGAACATGATCTGCGATATCAACACTGGACTCCTTTGTGAGAATGCCAAACAGACAGGGAAGTACAAGATCTGTTACGACTATGAGATGAGAGCACTGTGTTGCGACTACAAGCACTGTGAAACCACGCCAGCGCCACTGGTCACAACAAGTGCCACCACCACAGAAGCCCCAGGTAGCACGGTGGGCAAGAGCACGGCTCCAGCATCCTCCACGGGCTCTACGCCACCTCCTGTTGTCCATACCACCACCGAAAGCACCACCCTTGTTTCCACAACACCAGGAGTAACCACAGGAAAGCCAACAACCACAGAAACACCAGGCAGCACGGCAGGCAAGAGCACGGCTCCAGCATCCTCCACGGGCTCTACGCCACCTCCCGTTGTATTCACCACCACCGAAAGCACCACCCTTGTTCCAACAACTCCAGGAGTTACAACAAGAAAGCCAACCACCACCACCCACTCAACGCCGCTTTCCACCCTCCCTCTCACAACACCAGGCTCAGTCAGCACTGCTGCCGTCTCCACTGGAGTGGTCCCCACTGTGACAGCCACAACACTCCAGTCCACTCCTGTTTCCAAGCCTTCCTCAACAATACCCACCACCGGGACCACTGCACAAACCCCTCCAGGCCTGCTGACCACAACAACCACCCTGGCTCCCCTTGTTACCACTACGCCAGGAAGCACCACTACCGGTTGCCAACCCAAATGCCAGTGGACCTCTTGGTTCAGTTTTCACACTCCAAGCTCCGACCCTGGGGATGGCGATCGCGAGGACATTAAGAGCATCCAGGCATCGGGCGGTACCATCTGCGAGCACCCTCAAGAGGTGGAGTGCAGAGGAGTGGACTACCCAGAGCTCAGCGCATCTGAACTTGGACAGAACATGATCTGCGATATCAACACTGGACTCCTTTGTGAGAATGCCAAACAGACAGGGAAGTACAAGATCTGTTACGACTATGAGATGAGAGCACTGTGTTGCGACTACAAGCACTGTGAAACCACGCCAGCGCCACTGGTCACAACAAGTGCCACCACCACAGAAGCCCCAGGTAGCACGGTGGGCAAGAGCACGGCTCCAGCATCCTCCACGGGCTCTACGCCACCTCCTGTTGTCCATACCACCACCGAAAGCACCACCCTTGTTTCCACAACACCAGGAGTAACCACAGGAAAGCCAACAACCACAGAAACACCAGGCAGCACGGCAGGCAAGAGCACGGCTCCAGCATCCTCCCACGGGCTCTACGCCACCTCCCGTTGTATTCACCACCACCGAAAGCACCACCCTTGTTCCAACAACTCCAGGAGTTACAACAAGAAAGCCAACCACCACCACCCACTCAACGCCGCTTTCCACCCTCCCACTCCACAACACCAGGCTCAGTCAGCACTGCTGCCGTCTCCACTGGAGTGGTCCCCACTGTGACAGCCACAACACTCCAGTCCACTCCTGTTTCCAAGCCTTCCTCAACAATACCCACCACTGGGACCACTGCACAAACCCCTCCAGGCCTGCTGACCACAACAACCACCCTGGCTCCCCTTGTTACCACTACGCCAGGAAGCACCACTACCGGTTGCCAACCCAAATGCCAGTGGACCTCTTGGTTCAGTTTTCACACTCCAAGCTCCGACCCTGGGGATGGCGATCGCGAGGACATTAAGAGCATCCAGGCATCGGGCGGTACCATCTGCGAGCACCCTCAAGAGGTGGAGTGCAGAGGAGTGGACTACCCAGAGCTCAGCGCATCTGAACTTGGACAGAACATGATCTGCGATATCAACACTGGACTCCTTTGTGAGAATGCCAAACAGACAGGGAAGTACAAGATCTGTTACGACTATGAGATGAGAGCACTGTGTTGCGACTACAAGCACTGTGAAACCACGCCAGCGCCACTGGTCACAACAAGTGCCACCACCACAGAAGCCCCAGGTAGCACGGTGGGCAAGAGCACGGCTCCAGCATCCTCCACGGGCTCTACGCCACCTCCTGTTGTCCATACCACCACCGAAAGCACCACCCTTGTTTCCACAACACCAGGAGTAACCACAGGAAAGCCAACAACCACAGAAACACCAGGCAGCACGGCAGGCAAGAGCACGGCTCCAGCATCCTCCACGGGCTCTACGCCACCTCCCGTTGTATTCACCACCACCGAAAGCACCACCCTTGTTCCAACAACTCCAGGAGTTACAACAAGAAAGCCAACCACCACCACCCACTCAACGCCGCTTTCCACCCTCCCTCTCACAACACCAGGCTCAGTCAGCACTGCTGCCGTCTCCACTGGAGTGGTCCCCACTGTGACAGCCACAACACTCCAGTCCACTCCTGTTTCCAAGCCTTCCTCAACAATACCCACCACCGGGACCACTGCACAAACCCCTCCAGGCCTGCTGACCACAACAACCACCCTGGCTCCCCTTGTTACCACTACGCCAGGAAGCACCACTACCGGTTGCCAACCCAAATGCCAGTGGACCTCTTGGTTCAGTTTTCACACTCCAAGCTCCGACCCTGGGGATGGCGATCGCGAGGACATTAAGAGCATCCAGGCATCGGGCGGTACCATCTGCGAGCACCCTCAAGAGGTGGAGTGCAGAGGAGTGGACTACCCAGAGCTCAGCGCATCTGAACTTGGACAGAACATGATCTGCGATATCAACACTGGACTCCTTTGTGAGAATGCCAAACAGACAGGGAAGTACAAGATCTGTTACGACTATGAGATGAGAGCACTGTGTTGCGACTACAAGCACTGTGAAACCACGCCAGCGCCACTGGTCACAACAAGTGCCACCACCACAGAAGCCCCAGGTAGCACGGTGGGCAAGAGCACGGCTCCAGCATCCTCCACGGGCTCTACGCCACCTCCTGTTGTCCATACCACCACCGAAAGCACCACCCTTGTTTCCACAACACCAGGAGTAACCACAGGAAAGCCAACAACCACAGAAACACCAGGCAGCACGGCAGGCAAGAGCACGGCTCCAGCATCCTCCACGGGCTCTACGCCACCTCCCGTTGTATTCACCACCACCGAAAGCACCACCCTTGTTCCAACAACTCCAGGAGTTACAACAAGAAAGCCAACCACCACCACCCACTCAACGCCGCTTTCCACCCTCCCTCTCACAACACCAGGCTCAGTCAGCACTGCTGCCGTCTCCACTGGAGTGGTCCCCACTGTGACAGCCACAACACTCCAGTCCACTCCTGTTTCCAAGCCTTCCTCAACAATACCCACCACTGGGACCACTGCACAAACCCCTCCAGGCCTGCTGACCACAACAACCACCCTGGCTCCCCTTGTTACCACTACGCCAGGAAGCACCACTACCGGTTGCCAACCCAAATGCCAGTGGACCTCTTGGTTCAGTTTTCACACTCCAAGCTCCGACCCTGGGGATGGCGATCGCGAGGACATTAAGAGCATCCAGGCATCGGGCGGTACCATCTGCGAGCACCCTCAAGAGGTGGAGTGCAGAGGAGTGGACTACCCAGAGCTCAGCGCATCTGAACTTGGACAGAACATGATCTGCGATATCAACACTGGACTCCTTTGTGAGAATGCCAAACAGACAGGGAAGTACAAGATCTGTTACGACTATGAGATGAGAGCACTGTGTTGCGACTACAAGCACTGTGAAACCACGCCAGCGCCACTGGTCACAACAAGTGCCACCACCACAGAAGCCCCAGGTAGCACGGTGGGCAAGAGCACGGCTCCAGCATCCTCCACGGGCTCTACGCCACCTCCTGTTGTCCATACCACCACCGAAAGCACCACCCTTGTTTCCACAACACCAGGAGTAACCACAGGAAAGCCAACAACCACAGAAACACCAGGCAGCACGGCAGGCAAGAGCACGGCTCCAGCATCCTCCACGGGCTCTACGCCACCTCCCGTTGTATTCACCACCACCGAAAGCACCACCCTTGTTCCAACAACTCCAGGAGTTACAACAAGAAAGCCAACCACCACCACCCACTCAACGCCGCTTTCCACCCTCCCTCTCACAACACCAGGCTCAGTCAGCACTGCTGCCGTCTCCACTGGAGTGGTCCCCACTGTGACAGCCACAACACTCCAGTCCACTCCTGTTTCCAAGCCTTCCTCAACAATACCCACCACCGGGACCACTGCACAAACCCCTCCAGGCCTGCTGACCACAACAACCACCCTGGCTCCCCTTGTTACCACTACGCCAGGAAGCACCACTACCGGTTGCCAACCCAAATGCCAGTGGACCTCTTGGTTCAGTTTTCACACTCCAAGCTCCGACCCTGGGGATGGCGATCGCGAGGACATTAAGAGCATCCAGGCATCGGGCGGTACCATCTGCGAGCACCCTCAAGAGGTGGAGTGCAGAGGAGTGGACTACCCAGAGCTCAGCGCATCTGAACTTGGACAGAACATGATCTGCGATATCAACACTGGACTCCTTTGTGAGAATGCCAAACAGACAGGGAAGTACAAGATCTGTTACGACTATGAGATGAGAGCACTGTGTTGCGACTACAAGCACTGTGAAACCACGCCAGCGCCACTGGTCACAACAAGTGCCACCACCACAGAAGCCCCAGGTAGCACGGTGGGCAAGAGCACGGCTCCAGCATCCTCCACGGGCTCTACGCCACCTCCTGTTGTCCATACCACCACCGAAAGCACCACCCTTGTTTCCACAACACCAGGAGTAACCACAGGAAAGCCAACAACCACAGAAACACCAGGCAGCACGGCAGGCAAGAGCACGGCTCCAGCATCCTCCACGGGCTCTACGCCACCTCCCGTTGTATTCACCACCACCGAAAGCACCACCCTTGTTCCAACAACTCCAGGAGTTACAACAAGAAAGCCAACCACCACCACCCACTCAACGCCGCTTTCCACCCTCCCTCTCACAACACCAGGCTCAGTCAGCACTGCTGCCGTCTCCACTGGAGTGGTCCCCACTGTGACAGCCACAACACTCCAGTCCACTCCTGTTTCCAAGCCTTCCTCAACAATACCCACCACTGGGACCACTGCACAAACCCCTCCAGGCCTGCTGACCACAACAACCACCCTGGCTCCCCTTGTTACCACTACGCCAGGAAGCACCACTACCGGTTGCCAACCCAAATGCCAGTGGACCTCTTGGTTCAGTTTTCACACTCCAAGCTCCGACCCTGGGGATGGCGATCGCGAGGACATTAAGAGCATCCAGGCATCGGGCGGTACCATCTGCGAGCACCCTCAAGAGGTGGAGTGCAGAGGAGTGGACTACCCAGAGCTCAGCGCATCTGAACTTGGACAGAACATGATCTGCGATATCAACACTGGACTCCTTTGTGAGAATGCCAAACAGACAGGGAAGTACAAGATCTGTTACGACTATGAGATGAGAGCACTGTGTTGCGACTACAAGCACTGTGAAACCACGCCAGCGCCACTGGTCACAACAAGTGCCACCACCACAGAAGCCCCAGGTAGCACGGTGGGCAAGAGCACGGCTCCAGCATCCTCCACGGGCTCTACGCCACCTCCTGTTGTCCATACCACCACCGAAAGCACCACCCTTGTTTCCACAACACCAGGAGTAACCACAGGAAAGCCAACAACCACAGAAACACCAGGCAGCACGGCAGGCAAGAGCACGGCTCCAGCATCCTCCACGGGCTCTACGCCACCTCCCGTTGTATTCACCACCACCGAAAGCACCACCCTTGTTCCAACAACTCCAGGAGTTACAACAAGAAAGCCAACCACCACCACCCACTCAACGCCGCTTTCCACCCTCCCTCTCACAACACCAGGCTCAGTCAGCACTGCTGCCGTCTCCACTGGAGTGGTCCCCACTGTGACAGCCACAACACTCCAGTCCACTCCTGTTTCCAAGCCTTCCTCAACAATACCCACCACCGGGACCACTGCACAAACCCCTCCAGGCCTGCTGACCACAACAACCACCCTGGCTCCCCTTGTTACCACTACGCCAGGAAGCACCACTACCGGTTGCCAACCCAAATGCCAGTGGACCTCTTGGTTCAGTTTTCACACTCCAAGCTCCGACCCTGGGGATGGCGATCGCGAGGACATTAAGAGCATCCAGGCATCGGGCGGTACCATCTGCGAGCACCCTCAAGAGGTGGAGTGCAGAGGAGTGGACTACCCAGAGCTCAGCGCATCTGAACTTGGACAGAACATGATCTGCGATATCAACACTGGACTCCTTTGTGAGAATGCCAAACAGACAGGGAAGTACAAGATCTGTTACGACTATGAGATGAGAGCACTGTGTTGCGACTACAAGCACTGTGAAACCACGCCAGCGCCACTGGTCACAACAAGTGCCACCACCACAGAAGCCCCAGGTAGCACGGTGGGCAAGAGCACGGCTCCAGCATCCTCCACGGGCTCTACGCCACCTCCTGTTGTCCATACCACCACCGAAAGCACCACCCTTGTTTCCACAACACCAGGAGTAACCACAGGAAAGCCAACAACCACAGAAACACCAGGCAGCACGGCAGGCAAGAGCACGGCTCCAGCATCCTCCACGGGCTCTACGCCACCTCCCGTTGTATTCACCACCACCGAAAGCACCACCCTTGTTCCAACAACTCCAGGAGTTACAACAAGAAAGCCAACCACCACCACCCACTCAACGCCGCTTTCCACCCTCCCTCTCACAACACCAGGCTCAGTCAGCACTGCTGCCGTCTCCACTGGAGTGGTCCCCACTGTGACAGCCACAACACTCCAGTCCACTCCTGTTTCCAAGCCTTCCTCAACAATACCCACCACCGGGACCACTGCACAAACCCCTCCAGGCCTGCTGACCACAACAACCATCCTGGCTCCCTTGTTACCACTACGCCAGGAAGCACCACTACCGGTTGCCAACCCAAATGCCAGTGGACCTCTTGGTTCAGTTTTCACACTCCAAGCTCCGACCCTGGGGATGGCGATCGCGAGGACATTAAGAGCATCCAGGCATCGGGCGGTACCATCTGCGAGCACCCTCAAGAGGTGGAGTGCAGAGGAGTGGACTACCCAGAGCTCAGCGCATCTGAACTTGGACAGAACATGATCTGCGATATCAACACTGGACTCCTTTGTGAGAATGCCAAACAGACAGGGAAGTACAAGATCTGTTACGACTATGAGATGAGAGCACTGTGTTGCGACTACAAGCACTGTGAAACCACGCCAGCGCCACTGGTCACAACAAGTGCCACCACCACAGAAGCCCCAGGTAGCACGGTGGGCAAGAGCACGGCTCCAGCATCCTCCACGGGCTCTACGCCACCTCCTGTTGTCCATACCACCACCGAAAGCACCACCCTTGTTTCCACAACACCAGGAGTAACCACAGGAAAGCCAACAACCACAGAAACACCAGGCAGCACGGCAGGCAAGAGCACGGCTCCAGCATCCTCCACGGGCTCTACGCCACCTCCCGTTGTATTCACCACCACCGAAAGCACCACCCTTGTTCCAACAACTCCAGGAGTTACAACAAGAAAGCCAACCACCACCACCCACTCAACGCCGCTTTCCACCCTCCCTCTCACAACACCAGGCTCAGTCAGCACTGCTGCCGTCTCCACTGGAGTGGTCCCCACTGTGACAGCCACAACACTCCAGTCCACTCCTGTTTCCAAGCCTTCCTCAACAATACCCACCACTGGGACCACTGCACAAACCCCTCCAGGCCTGCTGACCACAACAACCACCCTGGCTCCCCTTGTTACCACTACGCCAGGAAGCACCACTACCGGTTGCCAACCCAAATGCCAGTGGACCTCTTGGTTCAGTTTTCACACTCCAAGCTCCGACCCTGGGGATGGCGATCGCGAGGACATTAAGAGCATCCAGGCATCGGGCGGTACCATCTGCGAGCACCCTCAAGAGGTGGAGTGCAGAGGAGTGGACTACCCAGAGCTCAGCGCATCTGAACTTGGACAGAACATGATCTGCGATATCAACACTGGACTCCTTTGTGAGAATGCCAAACAGACAGGGAAGTACAAGATCTGTTACGACTATGAGATGAGAGCACTGTGTTGCGACTACAAGCACTGTGAAACCACGCCAGCGCCACTGGTCACAACAAGTGCCACCACCACAGAAGCCCCAGGTAGCACGGTGGGCAAGAGCACGGCTCCAGCATCCTCCACGGGCTCTACGCCACCTCCTGTTGTCCATACCACCACCGAAAGCACCACCCTTGTTTCCACAACACCAGGAGTAACCACAGGAAAGCCAACAACCACAGAAACACCAGGCAGCACGGCAGGCAAGAGCACGGCTCCAGCATCCTCCACGGGCTCTACGCCACCTCCCGTTGTATTCACCACCACCGAAAGCACCACCCTTGTTCCAACAACTCCAGGAGTTACAACAAGAAAGCCAACCACCACCACCCACTCAACGCCGCTTTCCACCCTCCCTCTCACAACACCAGGCTCAGTCAGCACTGCTGCCGTCTCCACTGGAGTGGTCCCCACTGTGACAGCCACAACACTCCAGTCCACTCCTGTTTCCAAGCCTTCCTCAACAATACCCACCACCGGGACCACTGCACAAACCCCTCCAGGCCTGCTGACCACAACAACCACCCTGGCTCCCCTTGTTACCACTACGCCAGGAAGCACCACTACCGGTTGCCAACCCAAATGCCAGTGGACCTCTTGGTTCAGTTTTCACACTCCAAGCTCCGACCCTGGGGATGGCGATCGCGAGGACATTAAGAGCATCCAGGCATCGGGCGGTACCATCTGCGAGCACCCTCAAGAGGTGGAGTGCAGAGGAGTGGACTACCCAGAGCTCAGCGCATCTGAACTTGGACAGAACATGATCTGCGATATCAACACTGGACTCCTTTGTGAGAATGCCAAACAGACAGGGAAGTACAAGATCTGTTACGACTATGAGATGAGAGCACTGTGTTGCGACTACAAGCACTGTGAAACCACGCCAGCGCCACTGGTCACAACAAGTGCCACCACCACAGAAGCCCCAGGTAGCACGGTGGGCAAGAGCACGGCTCCAGCATCCTCCACGGGCTCTACGCCACCTCCTGTTGTCCATACCACCACCGAAAGCACCACCCTTGTTTCCACAACACCAGGAGTAACCACAGGAAAGCCAACAACCACAGAAACACCAGGCAGCACGGCAGGCAAGAGCACGGCTCCAGCATCCTCCACGGGCTCTACGCCACCTCCCGTTGTATTCACCACCACCGAAAGCACCACCCTTGTTCCAACAACTCCAGGAGTTACAACAAGAAAGCCAACCACCACCACCCACTCAACGCCGCTTCCACCCTCCCTCTCACAACACCAGGCTCAGTCAGCACTGCTGCCGTCTCCACTGGAGTGGTCCCCACTGTGACAGCCACAACACTCCAGTCCACTCCTGTTTCCAAGCCTTCCTCAACAATACCCACCACCGGGACCACTGCACAAACCCCTCCAGGCCTGCTGACCACAACAACCACCCTGGCTCCCCTTGTTACCACTACGCCAGGAAGCACCACTACCGGTTGCCAACCCAAATGCCAGTGGACCTCTTGGTTCAGTTTTCACACTCCAAGCTCCGACCCTGGGGATGGCGATCGCGAGGACATTAAGAGCATCCAGGCATCGGGCGGTACCATCTGCGAGCACCCTCAAAAGGTGGAGTGCAGAGGAGTGGACTACCCAGAGCTCAGCGCATCTGAACTTGGACAGAACATGATCTGCGATATCAACACTGGACTCCTTTGTGAGAATGCCAAACAGACAGGGAAGTACAAGATCTGTTACGACTATGAGATGAGAGCACTGTGTTGCGACTACAAGCACTGTGAAACCACGCCAGCGCCACTGGTCACAACAAGTGCCACCACCACAGAAGCCCCAGGTAGCACGGTGGGCAAGAGCACGGCTCCAGCATCCTCCACGGGCTCTACGCCACCTCCTGTTGTCCATACCACCACCGAAAGCACCACCCTTGTTTCCACAACACCAGGAGTAACCACAGGAAAGCCAACAACCACAGAAACACCAGGCAGCACGGCAGGCAAGAGCACGGCTCCAGCATCCTCCACGGGCTCTACGCCACCTCCCGTTGTATTCACCACCACCGAAAGCACCACCCTTGTTCCAACAACTCCAGGAGTTACAACAAGAAAGCCAACCACCACCACCCACTCAACGCCGCTTTCCACCCTCCCTCTCACAACACCAGGCTCAGTCAGCACTGCTGCCGTCTCCACTGGAGTGGTCCCCACTGTGACAGCCACAACACTCCAGTCCACTCCTGTTTCCAAGCCTTCCTCAACAATACCCACCACTGGGACCACTGCACAAACCCCTCCAGGCCTGCTGACCACAACAACCACCCTGGCTCCCCTTGTTACCACTACGCTAGAAAGTACCTCTACTGTGTGCCTCCCAAAGTGTAACTGGACCGCCTGGTATGATTTGCACCGTCCTACCAGCAGTCCAGATGATGGCGATATAGAGAATTTTGAGACCATCCGAAAAGCTGGAGGAAATATTTGCAAACATCCACAAGACATTGAATGCAGAGCTGAGAATCACCCTGATGTCAGCCTGTATCTGCTTGGTCAGGAAGTGCAATGTAACCTCCATGTTGGACTTTTGTGCGAAAATTCAAAGCAAACAGACAAGATGTGTTATAACTTCCAGGTTAGATACCAGTGCTGTGAATACAAGCCCTGCCATCCTAGCACAACACCACTGAGCACACCTGCTGCTTCTACCACAGAAACACCAGGCAGCACTGCTGGCAAGAGTACAGCTCCAGCATCCTCCACAGGTTCTACGCCACCTCCCATTGTATTCACCACCACCGAAAGCACCACCCTTGTTTCTACAACACCAGGAGTAACCACAGGAAAGCCAACAACCACAGAAACACCAGGCAGCACTGCTGGCAAGAGTACAACTCCATCATCCTCCACAGCTTCTACACCACCTCCCATTGTAGTCACTACCACCCAAGGCACCACCCTTGTTTCCACCACTGCTGGAATTACAACAGGAAAGCCCATGACCACCATCCCTTTCTCAACCCCTGGCTCCGTCAGCACACCTTCCATCACTTCTGGAGTGGCTTCCACCGTTTCAACCACATCTCTTCCATCTACCCATGTTTCCAAACCTGTGTCGACGATATCCACTACTGGGATTACTGTAGAAACAGCAACTGTCCCTACCAGAGTGCCATTTTCCACTAAGCCTTTGGTCGTTGTTACAACAGGTAATTACAGAATGAATCTGCATATCCTGGTATGAAAATCTTGTAAATATTTCAACAGTTAAATTTATTACATGTTACTCAATTACAGGTGTTATGCCAAATGTTAGCAAATTGTTTCATATTAATGGGGGCTTGGTGATCTTATTTCATATACCACCCTTTTCAAAAATTGGTATCCCAATTATGAAACCTAGTGTCTGTCAGCTAGCAACTTATCAAAAATGTTTGCCTAGATCTCAGTGTGCATTTTTCAAAGAAGTTTTCAATGCTATTACAAGTAGTAGATAGCTCTCTGGCTAGATATTTGGAATTTTATTAACAGCACCTTTGGACTGGAGGGGTGTGTTTCTTGATACTGGGAGGAATATAGCTGGATTCCCCTGTTTCTTGATAGTATGGTAGGTGTATAATAAGAACAGCAAGTAAGCAAAGTATTGATCTGATCCATTAAACTGGTTTTTGTAGTACAATTATCAAGTTAAATTCTCTAGCCCTAAAGATACATGTAAGTCCGGTTGAGCTCAGTTGGAATTCTGAATTGTTATGCTTCAGTTGGTGCTTTGGAAGTGTACACTGAAGTCTTAAGTATCTACAGTGTTTAGCATCCATTTCCAGCAGTATGTCTTCAAGCAGTACGTAACAACTATTATACATTTATTTCTTTTCTATTGTGTCTTCAGCAGCAACAAGTACTTCCATACCTTCTACAACAGGAACTACAACAGTCACTTTGAGCAGAACAACTCCATGTTTCTGCCGTGTGCCCGGATTTAGTAAGGGCTTGTTTTCTCCTGGTGAGTTTCTCTTAATGAATTTGAAAAGCAGCTGAAACAATGTTTTCATTCACATATTGCTTTGATTGTACATATGCTCAACATACGTCCTTCTTTATACCTACATCATGATTGTGCACCACTCTCCACAGGGGAGTCTACTTTGGTGCTCTGCTGTATAGTTTGAGGAGGAGTAGAAACCTTTTTACTTACTTTTTACATTTACATTTAAATCATTTTATTAATCCTGCTTTATCTGGGTTTTTTGTTTGTTTTTTGCAAGTTTGGGGCTGATATTTTCAATGCTTTATTGAATTTATGTATCTGTGTTTTACTCTACACTGCTTTACATGTTTTAACAACCTAGGGAACAAAAGTATTAGCTGAGATGAATTCTGTAATTCTCTCATGCCATACATTCTTTGAACAGTATTGAACCACAGAGATGTCAATAGATCCATCTCTCACCTATCCCCTATCCCCTTTTACAACTGACTCATATTCATGTACATCTACTACTATCTGCCAGCCATTACTTTTAACTGGTGGCCAACATGTCCTTTTACTCCCTAGGATTGTGAGTCACAAGTTATACTTGTATATGATTTACTGGCTAAGGACCAACTGGGGAAAAGGCCTCGGCTGAACCTCTTGCTGATCTCCCATGGTGGTGTGGGGTTGGAGCTTGCCCACTACAAATTACACAATCCAATGCATGCTTTCTCAGACTTGCTGCTGAGAGTTGCACTGCATGTCAGTAGACAAATTCATCTGAACTTTATTTGCATTTTAGAACGTTATGACATGTTTTGTTTTATAATTTTCGTACATGGTGCTTTATGATAATTTCCCTCCTTTTTTAAAATAGGGGACGTAATATACAATAGAACTGACAGTTCCGGATGCAGTTTTTATGCAGTTTGCAACAGAAGCTGTGAAATTGAGGTGTTCCAGGGACCATGTCCTTCAACAACTCCTTCCCACCCATCAACACCATCAGTTACAACTGCAGGAACCCAGCCTTCTCCGTCACCCACTACTGTTGTTCCATCAACCAGAGTATACACTACTGCAGCTGTATCAACCCCCACAACTCCTGTAACAGGTTGCCCTGATATTGATCCACCAAGAAAGGTAATTAGCATTGTTTTCATACATACATTGGGGATAGCTTTTGCTAGCTGATGAGAGGCTGTAGCCCTAAACATCAAAAGGGCTTCATGTTGGGGAAAGCTGTTGGCTACCAAATGCCTCTCTCACTCCATTTTCACCCCTCTTAAAAACCATCAAATGAATCCTCTCTTGGTGAACGAGGTGTCTATGCTGAAAAGAAAATCCTGACTACCCCAGGGACTTTTGCCCACAATTCATGCTGTATGAGCACCACTGTTTTGGGAGGTATGAGGAGCTGTCATGTCAACATGCACTTCGTCACAATCAACTCTCTTGTTATAGATCTTATTTGTGCTATTGATCTCACTGAAAATGGATGGGGATCTTGATGTTCCTAGATTCAAAGTCTCATTATCCCTGATCACTGGTGGTTGGAACTGGTGGGAACTGGAATCCAACAACTTTGGGTAGGCTACAGGTTGCCTACCCCTGCCACAGAGTCATATATGGAGAAATCTCAAGTCCATTCCAAATGTTCTTGTTTGCCTCACTTTTCTAAAACATAGCAAGCTGGCTTATACCAAGGCAGACTATGGGTCTATCTATCTCACTCTTGTCCTTGTTGACTGCTAATGACTCCTCAGGGTTTCATATAGGAGTCTTCCCTGGGGCTATCTGGAGTTGCTAAGGATTAAACATGGGACCTTTTGCATGCACACCATGTGCTCTACCATTGAGAAACAGCCTCTCCCCCTAACACCCCATTTTGCCTCCAGATGGGTTTTCCTCTTCCAGTAGGACAAGAACCCTTGGTAGTGGAGATGGTGTCTTTCTAAGAGTATGACACTTGTAGAATATTTTTTCTCTGGTTTCCCTCTAGACCAATGAAACTTGGATGTTTAACAACTGCACTGTGGCAACTTGTGAAGGAAACAACAAAATAGTTCTGAAGCCGCAACCACCTGTAGAGAAGACAGTATGTGTGAGTGGACTCCCACCGATAAAAATAGTAGATAAGGATGGCTGTGTTGAACGCTATGAATGTGAATGTAAGTATAACTGAGCATTCAGAAAAAGTACATATATCTTTATGATATGGAATGAGAGATTAAGATATTTAACTTACAGGACTGTATCATACAAAGCTCAGGGGGTGTAATGTCATGCAGTTGCAATTCCATTTATTGAGGGAGGTGAGACTTTTGAGGGTCTTTCAGGGAAGGCTATGGATTTGCAGAAGCCTAAACCTCTTGTTTCTCTAGCATACTCCTAAAAAAGTCAATGGGTGGCTTTTCATATTTCAATGGAAAGGAGTAAGGGAGAAAATGCTGTGGTTCAACCAATACCTGCCCTGGCTGTCACTAGTCATCAGGACTCTGGCTATGGCAGTTGTTTCACCACAAAATCTGCACCATCAACATTGCTCTCCTAGAATTCTCTTATTATTCCCACTTTCTAATTGGTGTACCAAAGTAGGACCTAGCCCATCAAAGTTAATACAAGCAACAGCATAATAACCAATGATTTCACAGTGTATATTTACTTTGGTTACTCTGGTTTGCTCAAGACTACACTCCAGGTGAACCTTATTTGATCTTTTGATTTCTGTTACAGGTATTTGCACTGGTTGGGATGCTAACTATCTGACATTTGATGGCACTTATTACACTTTCTATGACAACTGCACTTACATCTTGGTGAAAGAGATTGTGAATATACATGGAAACCTCAGTGTTTTGCTTGACAATTATTTCTGTGATGTCACTAACAATCAGCCCTGTTCCAGAGCCATCATTGTAAATTACAACTCAATGGAAGTTGTGCTAAGCAGCGAAGTGCATGAAGGAGTGAGAATTAACAAGGTACTGTGTGCCACAGATTTCTCAAACTGTGTCAGCTTCCTACAATAATTATTTTTTACCAAAACAAAAATGTCAAAATGACATTTATAAACCAGCTAATGGGTTGTAAAATTTACATAACAATCATGGCAAAGTGCCTGTTTGAGGAATGCTACTTAATCCCATGATGTAGATTATGTTTAGGATTGAGATGCTATTCCTCAAACTGTGCATCTCTATAATGACTACTCAGAAGAAAGCCCCCACTGAGTTTAATGCACTTTACTTCCAGTTAATGGTTATAGAATCAATGACATACGCGCACACACACATATATATATATATACATGTGTGTGTGTGTATGTTTTCAGTTAAAAACTATGGCTTACTGTTTTAAATTAAATACAACAACACAGTAAAATAATCATTGCAGTATTAAAAGTAGTATAAAAACAGGCAGCTAGGAAATATCAGCATGGCCAGGACTGATTGCCCTCAAGTGCTCTGGAAGACTCTGAATCCTCCAGATTTATATTCTTTTGCCTCTTTTGTGCTGCTGTTTCAGATTTTTTTCAACCATGAGCCGGTCAATGGAGATTTCACCAAATATGGTATTTCTGTCACCAGTACTGGAACTGTCATGAGCGTCGAAATCCCTGCACTCCAAGCTTTTATATCTTTCAACGGGCTCACTTTCTCAGTAAAACTCCCCTTTGACCTATTTCAGCATAACACAGAGGGGCAATGTGGTAAGTAAAGGGATCAAAACATCCCCAACCATTCAAATCCTTGTTCACAATGTTATTCCTTCAAAACAAATTTCTTTACATAGGCTGATGTGGAGCATTAGAAAAGCAATAAAGAAAAATTAACCATTGGGGGGAGGGGCCACAGCTCCATGGCCGAACACATGTGTGTGGTGTTAGACCATCCCAGGTCCAGTTCCTGGTATCTACATCTGAAAGTTCTTGGGATGAAGAAAGAACTGCTGCCCATCAGAGTAGACCTAATTGGGCTTGGTGGACCTATGGTTTGACCAGGCTTCCTCAACCTCGGCCCTCCAGATGTTTTTGGCCTACAACTCCCATGATCCCTAGCTAGCAGGACCAGTGGTCAGGGGTGATGGGAATTGCAGTCTCAAAACATCTGGAGAGCTGAGGTTGAGGAAGCCTGGGTTTGACTAATATATCCATACTGAAGAGTAGGAAACAGAATATGCATATAAGGTACACTTTATGATAGCAACAATGGCTTTTTCTTTTCTTTTTCTTTTTTTAAATAATTTTTATTAAAGTTTTAAACAACAAAGAAAAAAAGAAAAGCATACACAATACATATGACAAAAACACACACCAAAAACAAAACAAAATTCAACAATAAAGAAACAAGAAACAAACAGTTAAAAACAATATCTCTTTTCCATATCCGTTTTTTAGTTACTTATTTTCTGGACTTCCTCATACCTCCCTCTTTTGTATTCCAATCCAAATTATTTGTCCAGCAATTTCTTTTCCATTTTTTTAATCCCAATCTTTAGCTTTAATAAGATATTAAAATATATAACTTCAACTTCTTTAAACCTGATCTTTAGTCTTAGTATCATATAACGTTAAAATTTTCCCTCTTAATATCAAATTTCCATTTCTTTAAACATCTTTAATCCTAATCTTTAATCTTAGTCTATCATTAGCTTTAACCTGTACAGCTGGAAACCGCTTATTTTCAGTCCAACATCACTCTAACATTCCTTAATTTTGCAATATTTCTGAAGATAGTCTTTAAATTTCTTCCAATCTTCTTCCATCGACTCTTCTCCCTGGTCACGGATTCTACCAGTCATTTCCGCCAATTCCATATAGTCCATATGTTTCATCTGCCATTCCTCCAGCGTGGGAAGTTCTTGTGTCTTCCAATACTTTGCGATGAGTATTCTTGCTGCTGTTGTTGCATACATAAAGAAAGTTCTATCCTTTTTTAACACCATTTGGCCGACTATGCCCAGGAGGAAGGCCTCTGGTTTCTTAGGGAAGCAACAATGGCTTTTTCAATTAGGAAGTCCGCTTCGTTATTTCAATGTCATTCAGAGTGACACTAATGTATACTGCATATTCAGCACACTTACGATGCGACCCTTTCTCCCTCGTAGGGGTATGTTCAAATGACAAGACAGATGACTGCCGCCTCCCCAACGGCCATGAAGCTTCCTCTTGCTCAGAAATGGCCAGCTACTGGAAGACCTACGATAAAAACAAGCCCCATTGCTATGGAGTGCCAACAACATCACCTCCGACAACAACACCGCATGAGCCAAGAACGACAACACCAGCACCAACACCCTGCACCACTCCATCTCCTCTGTGTGAGCTGATTGTGAGCGAGTAAGTTCAACACAGCCTTTACAAATGCTTCAGCTGTTAGATCCTGCAGAGCAAGCTATCGCTTTGACAACTTTATTTTTTTAAAAAACCCACTTCTGATGAACACATAGGAACATAAAATCATCACCAAGACATTGTGCACATGACCTCATCTGTCCAGCTTGTGGGCAGGACATAAGCCACTGGTTGACCACAGGACTAGAAAGATAAAGCTTTGGTCTGCTCCAGCAGAGCTTTTCACCTTATATTCTTATGTTTTTATCTACTGCTAGGACATCAGGAATGTTTTCTAGGGATAGATAACACCCTTTTCCTTTATTGTTCTTATATTTCACATATGATAATAATAATAATAATAATAATAATAATAATAATAATAATAAATTTTATTTGTACCCCGCCCTCCCCAGCCGGAGCCAGGCTCAGGGTGGCTAACATCATAAAACTAACACAGTATACAAAGAACATAAGATCCATCCAACAATAAGCATGGCATTGTTTTAGTATATTCAAGGCATCTCGGCTACCTTATATACCATAAAGAGCTGTAACATTGCAACACTGTAGGATTTTTACTTCCATAGTAATACAAAGCTGATCTTTCTAGAATTGATATCATTGTGAAATGTACTGTACATATTTGCTAAGAATATTATCCTTTCAGTCGCAGTTTCATACTGAAAATGGGGTGGCAAGGGGACATTGCAATATTTATGAGCCATAGTTCAACCATGTATTCTTTTGTATTTGAAGTGTCTTTGAAGAATGCCATAAGGTTCTGCCTCCCAGAATATACTATGAAGACTGCCTCCTTGAAGCCTGTCAGTCTTCCAATGATTCTGTGCCTTGCTACAATTTGGAGATATATGCTTCCCTCTGCATAGCTAAAGGGGTTTGTACTGACTGGAGGAACATGACGCTAGGAAAATGCCGTAAGTGGAAGACAACGTATTTTCGCTTATCCTAAAGTGAGCAGCAATTTATCGTAGAGCAATAATAGCTGAGTGAACCAATCAATCAACCATTCAAAACGGTGTCAGCAGATGAATAGTAATCAATGCAAACTGAACAATAGCATGTTCTAACTTCAGTTGCATGTTTGTTTCCCTCAGTCTTTGTCTTTTTTTCACAAGAATTAAGATTTCAGCTTCTGCACTTCATAGTGGATTGAATCCAGAAGGGAAGGGAAGTTGACTTTTGCTAATTGCTCCATCTCCCTGAAGCCCATTGCAACCTCTGAAACTGCTCCAGAGGGTTGGAGGATCCTCCAGATCAACATGGGAGGTGGCACTGCAAGAGGATGGGGGAAATTGGCAAACGTTGCCTCCCTCTCTTTCCACCAACAGGTTTTCTCCACTGGATTAGAATCCATCTGTGGATGTCTGTATTGAATCCATGTTCTCAGCTATGGATATTTCCATTTGTCGGTCAGGATTGAGCATGCACTGGGGCTTACAACAGTCCTCTGGGTGTGGGTGTGCCTTGCCTTGGCAAACGCCACTCCTTCATTCAATCTGATGCCAACCATAGATGCTTTATGTGATTTTTTAAAAAGCTAATGGGAAAAACATAATATGACAACATGTAATACATAGTTCTGCCTCATGTTGGAGTCATTCTGCTTTTTAATGACACATTTTATTCTCTTATATACAGCATACCACTGCCCCAAAGACAAGGTGTACAATGCATGTGGCCCCATTCACCCTGTCACCTGTGATGATGGGTATGTATTAACTAAATAATTAGCTCTCTGAATGCTAATGGCTGCACTTTTGTATCTTTGAATAAGAGACAAATATGAAATATGTATATGACTTGCTAGAAAATGGTGAATGTATAAAGGTCATATCAAGATCTTTATATGAAGATCTTTAATTAGTTAGTATCGTCCCAAGTATGGCAGCAGTGGATAGTTGATGTGTTAATTATTAGGGGAATGTTGCATTAATTAATAGGATTTGTTTTAAAAAATGCATTCTTATCTATTTATATGGTCATTAATTCCATGTCAATTCCTCCCCAAATAATTATGATTGCCAGCTTCAGGTTTTTAACCCTGGTTAAACTGCATTCTTTGCTGGTAGATACTTTAAACCTGCCAGAGCCTGAGCAGTTCCCACCACAGAAGTCCCTGCCTTGGTCTTTCAACTCTACTCATTTTACAAGGATGTTTTCAAGATCCAGTCAGTCCTCCAGGGCACCATAAACCTTTTCAGGTTCTCCAGGCCATATCCCTATGGCTAATCCAGGGCATGATAATTCTAATGTTTGGTGCTAAACACGTCTACCCTGGAATCACATACTTGCTTGTACTCTGCACAAATTAATGAGGCAAGAGTACAAATACTGTATAGGCCACATAAATGGATTAGCATGCTTACCTGATACCATAAATCATGGTAATGTTGAATAGTTATTCTAGCTTTAACTCTCTCTATTCAGCTTGGTTACCTTAAGTCAAGGGTGTTAAAAGGTGGGGTCCGTCCCAAATTAAGTAAAGCAGAGCAGGTGAAAAGAGTTTAAAGCAAGGATAACTGTTCCGTATAACCTTGTTCTTAGCTCAAAAAAGGGATTCGGTTTCAACCCTGATCCCATGCATAGTGCAATTGGATAGCATTGTACAGTGGTACCTCGGGTTAAGTACTTAATTCGTTCCGGAGGTCCGTTCTTAACCTGAAACCGTTCTTAACCTGAAGCACCACTTTAGCTAATGGGGCCTCCTGCTGCTGCCGCGCTGCCGGAGCACGATTTCTGTTCTTATCCTTAACCCGAGTTACTATTTCTGGGTTAGCGGAGTCTGTAACCTGAAGCGTATGTAACCCGAAGTACCACTGTAAATAGATTAAGAAAGATCCTTTCAAAGATTTCTTCCTTCTAGTGTAGTGTTTGCAGCTTGAGCACAGTGGCCTGGCAGACTAGCTTTCACTGGTTTAAATTGGGGGTGGAGAAGTGACAGCCCATAGGCCAGATTCAGCCTACAGCACTTTTGACCTGAGTGGTTCAGTGTGCGCTGTTAATCTGCAACCATACGCACACTTACTTGAGAGTAAGTGCCATTGACCTGAAAAACTTATTTCTGAGTAGACATGCAAATTATTGTGCTGACCGGATTCCCAACACACAATTCTTACTCTTAACATAAACTGTTGCAATTAACCTGTTGTCTCTTATTATGCCATCTATAGTGAATGGCTCCAGTATTTATTTACTTCTTAGGAAAGCGCCAATTTTCTTTTGCATTTAAATACTGTAATCCCTTAGAAAAATAGTGTTTTTACGAAGGTGAGCATTGAAGCTATTAAACTGTTTGATTACAGAACTGGAAAAAATATTATCTGCTCTTCTTTTCCTTGCAGACCAACCAAAGATACAAGTGAGCATGTTGCTGAAGGATGCTTCTGCCCAGAGGACAAAATCCTCTTCAATACATACACAGATATCTGTGTCAAAACATGTGGTAAGTTTCTCTATTCCTGATTGGCTAATTATGTCAATTTAAACCAAAAGCAGATGCATAATTAAAGGTATTGGAGTTCATCAGCAAATGATTGGCCCTTTACGGGCCAAATTACCAGGAAGGTCAACTCAATTCTATGTTAAACATTTGCTGGGAGATAAAATCCCACAAGTTTTAAAGACAGCAGTCAAATTTCTGTTGGTGGCTGTGACAATAAGAAGTCAGTTAACCACCCAAAGCTGGAAGGATTATTTCCAGGGGCTTACCTGAAGCTATTTGCTATTTTGTCTATTTGCTAGTTTCTATTTTCTAAGCTGCTGTTACTATGCTATGCTTGTCCTGTATGTTTTATTTCTGGTCTGTTGCCCCTAATAAACAGCTTATGAAGCTCATTAGAGGTGGTATGTGGAAGGGCAACCCTCTACTTATCTGCTCAGAGGTGTGTGCATGTGTATAATTAGGGCCTAAATAACACAAGGGTAACTTTAGCTTTTTCTAACATTTGCATGTCTTTCTGTAATTTCAAATTATGTCTGTAAACTCAAAATGAGCAGCTGACCTGCAGGGGGCATGCCACAAGTGGTGAAGAATAGCAGGATGCTATGGCATCCTCAGCATCCATTTCCTTCTGTGGTTACACATAAATGCTCCGTTCCATGTGATGAAATTAAGTTTTACTACTATGTGGTTAATACAGTATTGTTATGCCTGTATTTTTATTATACTGCATGGAGGTATGTTTTTAAAGAACAACCCAGGAAGAATCCTGTAAAAATTCAGCATGTGGTGAAATTCTCTGTATAAACTGGTTACTTAGCTGGAAAAAGCTGCATAATAATGGCTACAGGAAACTTGTGTTAAAGTTAAGGCAGTTTACATGTTTATGGAATATAAGGGATCTGTATGAATTCTTATGCCTTTATTTATTTCCAGGCTGCGTGGGACCAGACGGATTGCCCAAACCAGTGAGTATTTCACTTGGAAAGATTATGCCTAGACCGTTGCCTATACACAGGCAACATAGAGAATCATCCAGAACTGACAAGGGACTAATAATTGGACCCACTATGACTGCAATACCCTGCACCCGTGCACATACATTCACAAGGCGGCAAACTGTTATTATTAGTGCTAAACTTCTGCTTTACCAGACAAGGGCATCATTTTATATTGTAGTAGGAGTCGGAGATCATTTCAGATTTTAGGAGGGAGGGTAAAGTCATGTGGGGAGGGAGAGAATTCACAATATTTTATTTAATTTAGTTTCTTGTTATTGTTATACACCGTGTGTGTGTGTGTGTGTGTGTGTGTGTGTGTGTGTGTTGGAGAATAACCAAAAGAAAGCAATAGAAGTCATTGAAACTTTTCTTTGTAGCAAAAAGATTTGTAGTTTTGGTATGCATAACTGGCATGTACCAGTAGATCCAGATAATTATTATCAACATGCAGAAATAGTGAGCTGGTCAGAAACATAGAAGTGCTTCTGAAGGAGAAGCAGACATAGTCTGAAATACCAGCCTCTCCTGGGCTCTATAGCTGTCAGATGGATTCTCCAGCACACTTTCCAGCCCCCTTTGGATTGAGAGGTACACCAGTTGTCCCCTGAAGCCTTTGAAACATCAGATTAGACACACTAATATTAATGGGCCAAACTTAGTCATGTCCATCAATTTCAATGGGTCCATTCTGAGTAGGACTAACATCTAATGCAACACTTTGTGATCTCAAAGAAAGACTTTGCATGGAAGTGATGGAAATTAAAATAGCAGCTGGTAGAGGTTGTGGTCTCCATCGTAAGTACTTTGCTTGGGTTTCAGAAGAAGACCAACAAGACTTTCAGAGGACTCAGAAGGCCATGCCTAAGGCACATATAGAACCAATGCTATATATGTGCATCTCCCTGAAACAGCCTAGAAGGAAATTTAACCTGGTTCAGCATAACTTTCTGTATCTTACAATTTAAGGAAGTCTTTTTATAGCCATTTGTGGGGTGGTGGAAACAATCCTTAAGAAGCACCTTCAAGTTGTATTGTATGGCTCTGGTCCAAAGCTTATTGCACAGTTACCTAAGTTTGATATTACAGGAAACTTAAGATCAACTAGTTGCCCCTTCTAAAGAAAGCTTAAGGTCTAATAATTGACAAGTAAGCAAATGATGATAGGTTTCATTGCTGCCATACAGTGTTAACTGGTTTGCTTTCTTTTTCATATAGCCTGGCTCCTCATGGAAGAGCAACTGTCAAGAGTGTATTTGTGACCCATTGACTGAGAGCGTCCAGTGCAAGCCACAGACCTGTGTGTCATCGGAACCACCCAAATGTGAGAAAGAAGGGTTTGTGCCTGTCCCTGTGCTGACACCAAAAGACCCGTGCTGTCCAGAACTTCAATGCAGTACGTATTTGCATGTATTATTTATTGATAGCCAATGCCAATCAATCCAATTCTGCCCTCTGTTGATGAAACAATTTGTGCTATTATTGTTACTGTTGCTTTGGTTGAGGGGGAAACACAGACATCCAGACAGCATTACATGTTGGCAGGTAATATCAGTTGCACAATTCTATCCCAACTTAATTATCTCTATAGTAATTAACCACACAGAGCAATCTGTAAAAAATACAAAAAACAACAACAATTTTCTCTTGTCATATGGGGACTGACAGGCAGATAAAGAGTTAAATCTCTGGGTTTGGATGCTTTGCTTTGCTCACCATATAGTCAAAAGAGCTTTACTACAATTAACCTGCAATCCTACATACATTAACTTGGCAGTATGTCCTTCAACCTTAGTAGGAATTTTTGACAGAAATCTGCTTAGGACTGGAGGACTTGCCAGAAACAGAAGATTTGCTAGTCTCCTTTCCCTCCTTTACAATATGATCTGAAGGCAAGCTAAGTCAATTCTGAAATGTATTTATTTATTTAATGCATTTTTAGTCCACCTGTTAGCAAGAAAAAGGCTTGCAGCAAAACGTACAATGATCAGTAATAAGACAGTCCCTGCCCTAGGTCTTGACATATAACAGACCTGGCATGAGAGGGAAAGGAAGCGGTGGGCGGGGGGGGGGGGGGAGAGGCATACTCATACCTTGGATCTTACTGTTCTTTTTAGCCTGGAGGGGTGAAACAAGCTTATTGTGGATGGTGGATGGGTGGGGATTGGCTAGGTCTCCCACTTGCCACGATGGCCAGCTTGGGAGGCAAGGGGAGTAAACTGCTAGCAGCTTTTAATGCCCTGGAGTATGCTGTCCTTCAGCTCTACAATACTAGCGTGTGACGTGTTGGGCGGTGAGTGGGTATGTATGTGTCAAACCTCCTTCAGCTGTTTTTTCTCTGGCTGATGGAGGGAGCCATGCTGGTCTTCCTCGTGCATACCTACCCCACCCCAGTACACTCTCACCCACCAGTCATGATACTGAATAGGATTATTGTCCTTGCACCACAGGAATATTTGCTGGTCTAAACATTTAAGGCTGGGGTGCTAGACTTGCTTCTTCAGCTCTGTTATGTTTTCTGATTATTCCACAGAATGCAATACTACTACCTGCTCCAACGAAAAGAAACCTTGTGAACTTGGATACGAGGCAACCCCAGTCCTGCTTGACGGAGACTGCTGTGTCAGCTTTCCCTGTAGTAAGTGCTAGCATTCTGACATGTAGAGAGAGAAAGTAGATGAGAGAGATTAAAACATCAAGTTAGGCTGAACCCAGACATAATTTACATACAGTGGAAGCATTCCACACTCCCCTCCTTAAAACAAACAAACAAAAATGTTGCCATTAAAATATTTTAGAAACTGAAGACACATTCTGGAGTGCAGCGTCAAACAGTATGAACTACACTTCAAAGCCACCTTGGACTAGTGTCAGACTGAAAGCTGGAGAAACTCATCTTCAAAATTCCACTAGGCCGCAAAGCTCATTGAGTAACTTCGGGCCAGTCACTGTGTACACAAAATACCTTTAAAGCACATTATTTCCTCCAAAAGAATTCTGGCCACTGTAGTTTACCCCTCGCAGTTAAAATTTCTGGCAACCTTTAACAAACCACAGTGCCTAACATTCCCTGAGGGAAAGAACATGTTTCAAATGTGCTTTACAGTTTTATCTCTCACCTGAATCCATTTCACAGGATTGTTGTGATGGTAAAAGTGTGTGTGTGTGTGTGTGTGTGTGTGTGTGTGTGTGTGTGGTGGGAGGGACTATATACATTGCCTTAAGCAATAAATAAATACACACGCAAAGTGTTCATGTATCTCCTTTCACTTTTGCACAGAAAGGATTATATCCAACAGTCAAGCGAGCAATGACGTATCACCTTACTCTCTTCTCCCCGCCCCTCCCCCAATCTTTTTCAAAGAGTTTCCCTGTCAGATAAGTTACCATATTTAAAGCTGGAGTCAGCAAAAGGTGGATGTAGATCTCTGGTTGATCTGCACTAGATCAGCAAGGATATCTGCCTCCCAGCTGTGAAACAATAGCAACATCAAATTGATCCCCCACCCACTTAATTTAGGCAGGTGAAATGAAGAAAGCCTAGGGGGATGAGGATCCAGGAATGGACCTTATAAACATAATTTCCCCACCACATTTTAAAGTAATTGTCTGTTTCTGTTTTCAGTACCAATCCCAGATGTCTGTCTTGTCAATGGAACACTTTACAGGGTAAGAATGCGAGTTTTATGTCTACATATACTATGTACACAGATTAAAATCCTTCTTTTCTATTGTTCCCTTTTCAGTCGTAGGCAGAGACTGTAGCAACAGCAGTAGCAGCAGCCGGACTTTGAAATTAATTTCAAGGGGTACCTGTTAAGTCAAAGCAATGCTGTTTGAGCATGCTTTTTTTTATATACTGATTTTCAGACATATTTATTATACCTTTCAACTGTGCAGGTTCTCAAGAGTAGCTAAAAACAACCAAAAAGGAACGTGAAATGGCAGAACCGCCAAACAATAAGAACAGATGTTAAAACCACATAATATAAAACACCATAAGGTTCTGAGGAGATAAAAGGTTATTTTGGCTTTGTACCAAAAAGACATTGAAGTCAGTGCTAGGTGAGCTTTCCTGAGGAGGGTGTTCCAGAGGAGGGAAATGGCAATGGCACCCACCTGAGAGGTGCTAGAACAGAGTTCCGGCAAGTTCCGGCTGAAAAAAATCCTTGCCTGTCACCCTCGCTGGCCATTGGGAATGCTGACTGGGGCTGGTGGTAGTTGGAGCCCAATACCTAGAGGGCCACGGCTTGCACCTCCCTGCCTAAACCATGCAATGATTTGCATGTGCAAATCTTCACTGACTGCTGTGCTGTTGAGTTGGCTGCATCATCCCAAAAGCAGGCATTTTTCCAGTCACGCTGCTGCTTACAAAGTACGCAGCGCTCAGGGAGACTGATGTATCCAGTAGGCCTCCATCACCAGCATAATGTATATATGCCAGTGAGATGAACAATAACCGGTTTTATTTGGGGGTTTTGCCGTTTTTGGCCTGTGGCATCTTGGAACCGTTCTCCAGAGAGCAGGCCTCAAAACGGGCTCAGTTCCAATTTTCCCCTCAAGAAATCCTTTCAACTTTTGGCCACTAGGGGGCCAAACAAATCAATTTACTGTACTGTTTTATTGGCTTCTGACCGTTTAAAATGTTCCTTTGTACGCCGCTTTGAGCACTTTAGTAGGTTGGGGAAGGTGCAATATAAAATGTAAACTTCAAAGTTAAGAATTTGAACTTGAGGCCATATTAGAATACTACAGAGGGTGGGGGAGGGGGGGACTTCCCAAGCAAGCATTTTTTGAGTAAAAGTGCAAATCATACTAAATTATTTAAACCACCTACACTTAAGTGTCCAGACAGGGAAGTTTTTAAATGGCCATTTCAAATGGACACCCGCTTCATTAACTATGGAAAATGTTTGACAATGGGCAGATACTTCTGCCAGATGAAAAGCAATTCATTGAGGCAACTCAAGCCACTGTTTTCTGCCTTCTAATAATGGGTAGTTTGGGGATGCATTTAGACAGGAGCTTAGTATTAGAAACAGGTTGTTGAAATATTGCAAATGGGTCATTGACAACATTTTTTTAACCTAGCAGAGTTTCTGTGGAAAAAGTAAATCTGAATTAAAGATGGGGGGAATATGGGTTGATATGTTGATGACAATGTCATGTGGATCCTGGGTACGGCTGCACAATATATAAAAATATCATCCAAAACTGGCTTGAAATCCATACTGTGATATTGTTTCATAATTTTTGACCTCACAATATATCATGAATCATGATATGAGTGTGCTGCTTCACAATCATATTTTTCTTGGGTTGCATTGGGACTATATCAACATTTCCCACAGTAAACATCTCACGTGTGAAAGTCAGAACCACATTACAAAATACTCAAGGATGCATGCCAAGGAATGGCCACTTTAGGTTGGCAGGTTTAGGTTAGGTTTGCCAAATATCTAGAAAAACACCTGACCTGCTCTGGTGCAGCAGCTTGACTTTCAAAAATTAACAGCAGCTTGACTTTAGAAAATTAACAGCAGCTTGACTTTAGAAAATTAACAGCTGGAACTTTTCACAGCATGGAAATGAACATTATACCTTCCTATCTCTCTAGATCACATGGCTGTTAAACACAGCAGCTGAGGTTGGTTAAGAAGCTGGCAACCCTATTAGACATATATTTCTTCTTACACTTTACATGTTTACCTAGGAAAATGCAAATATAATATTGGTGTAACCATGGCAAACACAGTTGCAATATAAAACAGGAATTAATATTTAGTTTAAAAATCAAGGATGTTTCCACAGAAGTATCTTGGATTCTTAGAAACGTGGCTTCAAATATTTGCTCGTTTCTGAACCCACTTGGTGGCCTTGGATAAGTTGCTTTCATTCATCGTTTTTCTGTTCCCTGATTGCTTATTTAGAATATTAATGGAATTCTTATAAAGTGAAATAAAAGAGTTGAAAACATTTTGTATGTTAGAAATCTTTAAAAAGAATTTGATATTTGGTTCACAAAGTTGCTTTATACACTCTGTTTATAAATACAACTGCTTTTTTTTGACTTTTCCCAGGCTGAAATGCCTGTTCCTAGCAAGCCTTGTGAAACATGTGTCTGCAGCTCTGAAAAGGACCCAGACTCCAATACAAATCTTGTAAAATGTCAACCAGTTACATGTGATAAGGATTGCCAAGAGGTAAGCACAAATCTTTAGTTCCCCTATTACTGCTTCTTTCCCAACAGAACAATTCTAACTTACGTCTGTACACAAGTAAGTGCTATTGAATTCAGTGGGTCTTTTCCCAAACTAAGTGGGGTTGGGATTGCAGCCTTAATCATTGCAGGTGGCTGCCTCTTCCACACGTATCATGCATGGTTAACTTTTCCTGTTTGCCAAACAGGGTTACGAGTACCAGGTAGAAGCTGGGGAGTGTTGTGGGAAGTGTGTCCAGAACGCATGCATAATCAACATGAATGAAACCACCGAGATACTACAGGTAATTATGTATTCTCACTCTTCTACTTTCTTTACCCAACTGACAATGATGATTGTAGGCGTTCTCAAGCATATTTTTTGCTCATTCTTGGCCTTCTTTCAAATTGGGACACACGAATTTAGAGAACCAAAGTCTACACTGCATACACAAATAAACACTGAGGGGTCCAAGTAAATGACTGAAATGTGAACAGGCTAAGCTGAACAGGCAGTTCTGTGGGGATTTGAATGGTCATTCAGTATCTGTAAGCATGGCTCTCATGGCAGCAACTGTCTACCTGATATTTGAGAACTCATCTACGACTTAGCTAGAAGGTCAAAAGGAAAGCATGTGAAAGTTCTGTGGATTAAGGATCTAGTGAGCTGTGAGACATCAAACAAGGAAACACAGAAACTAGCACCCAAAATAATGGGAGTCACTTGCAGGAGGTGAAGAATCTGATCCTGCAAATAATCTGTTGCTCCCTAAATAGGTGGTGCCCAATCACAAAATAAAAAGCTAGCTAATTAAACCTGATTATGCAATTGCCTTGTGTTTATCAAGCACTGAGGTCAAGCTGGGTCCAGTGAGATCCAAGTTGCCAGACTACCTGAGTTAGTGCTTAAATCAGGCGTGGGGAACTTGTGGCCCTTCAAATGTTGTTGGATTCTAACTCTCTTCAACCTCAGTGGTCAGCGATGATCAGAATTGTAGTTCAGCAACATCTGAATGACTGCGGGTTCCCTACCCCAGTTAATATTAGAATCAGTAGGACAAGGTAGAATTGTTCATTACCATTAATGTCACGTTTTGAATTGATTTAGTAGCATTTAAAAGCAGCCTTGACTGCTCTAAGTTCTGATTATTTCTCATCATTCAAAAATATTTAGGATGTATTGGATTTGGATGTCAGGTGATGCAAGTTCAAATGTCGTCTTGGTAATGTGGCAATATATCTCACATGCAATATATCTCACATGCAAAGCCAAAGCCCACTTACCTGCGTCTAAGAAAAAAATACCAATTTCCAACAAGCGTGTTTAGGATTATAACTACAGAGTTGCTATGGAAAATGAGGGTTAGAATAAATTGTGACATGTCCTGAACCAATGAGATGTGATTGTGGGCAGTGGCAATCTAGCTAATTTTAGAGTATATTTGGTATGCTAAAACTTGAAAACAAAACGAATAATGCTGTGTTTTATTCATGACAACAGCCTGGTGATATTTGGCCACCAGGAGGAAATAACTGCAGCTACTACGAATGTGAGCAAATGAATGATACATTCATTCTGGTCCAATCTAAAAGGAAATGTCCCATCATTCATCCAGAGGAGTGTGAATCTGTAAGTTTTCTTTTCCCCATTCTTAATTTATAATCATTTCTGCTCTAATTATGTTAAAGCTCAGACAATAAGTTCTCAAGCCGTTTTTGAGTAAGATATCATGTGCAATCACTGTCACCAGTTTTAAAATAATAAACAATACTTGTTTGTCAGACTTATCCTGGACAACGGATATAGGGACACTTGGGGGGTCTGTAAGGGCACGGTGCAAATCCAGTACAGTGGTACCTCGGGTTACATACGCTTCAGGTTACAGACTCCGCTAACCCAGAAATATTACCTCGGGTTAAGAACTTTACTTCAGGATGAGAACAGAAATTGTGCAGCAGTGGCACGGCAGCAGCGGGAGGCCCCATTAGCTAAAGTGGTGCTTCAGGTTAAGAACGGTTTCAGGTTAAGAACGGACCTCCGGAACGAATTAAGTACTTAACCCGAGGTACCACTGTACTAGAAAGTTCCCACTTTTGCATGCAGCAGTAGTGTTTTGTTTTTTAAAACAACAACAACAACAACCTTCTTTTCCTGTTCTATAGCATGAACTTGAACTGACTCCTGATGGCTGCTGTGAAACATGTAAACCTAAAAGTAAGTGAAGTTTTTGCTTACCTTGTTGATTACTAGGGCATTTTACAACAAATGACTGAACAATACTGTGCCTAGGTCCAGCTTAACTCTATTTAGATTAAGAACCATCTCCTATTATCTAACCTTCTTATATTGTTTGAGATGGAGAGAAGTCTCTTCTGAAACCTGCAGCTGTAGTTTGTCCTACTTATTTTTGCTGAAAGTCTTGTTTTGCACTGAGTCTTCATAAGAACATAAGATGAGTCTGTTGGATCAAACTTATGGCCTATCTAGTCCCGCAGCCTTTTCTCACAGTAGCCAATCAGATGCCTGAGGGAAGCAGTACAGCAGGCAAGTAGCAAAGTATGGTTGCTTTGAAAAACAGACCTACCTGCAAGAAACTGTCTATAAATAGCATTTAGCAGAGTGCTATCTATTACTAAAGACCTAAATTAAGCCTACCCTTTGATGCCATATGTCTATATGACTCTTTTGTTCTGTAGCTCATCTGTAGCCAGAGGTAGAAATCAGTGAACATTATGACATGATATTTATTGATTTCCCCCATACACACCTCTTTTTCTTTCAGCGAATGACTGCAAGGTTCACAAGAACCAAACTCTTATACGTCACAGCGAATGCATATCTTCTGAAGTTGTGGAACTGACCTACTGTGAAGGGGCTTGTCCAAGCTCTTCAAAGTAAGTGACAAAAAGTCCTATCCATTTATCCACGTCATTTTGGGATATTCAAGTCATACCAAGCAGAAAATTACAAAGGTCCTCACAGTGAATTTCATATGCATTTTGAAGCAGGAGCACTCTCAGCTCTTGTATGTGAATACACCAGTACGCTGATTACCGTATTTTTTGCTCTATAAGACTCACTTTTTCCCTCCTAAAAAGTAAGGGAAAATGTGTGTGCGTCTTATGGAGTGAATGCAGGCTGCGCAGCTATCCCAGAAGCCAGAACAGCAAGAGGGATTGCTGCTTTCACTGCGCAGCGATCCCTCTTGCTGTTCTGGCTTCTGAGATTCAGAATATTTTTCTTCTTCCTTTCCTCCTCCAAAAACTAGGTGCGTCTTGTGGTCTGGTGCGTCTTATAGAGCGAAAAATACGGTACATTCTGTCATTATGACAATGTACACAGAACCCTAGTTTGTTAAGGGTGCTGGAAATAGCTCTGGGAGGAGAATATAAACCAACCCCAGGATTCTTTTTTGGGATGAAAATTTGCTTTAAATGTATGGTGTGTATGTAGCATCTATCAGTACCATTATTTCCCTTCAGCTTGCTGCTTGGGCTCTCAAAATTGCATTGTGTCCCTAATATAAAAAACCAGGGGAGAAATCCAGTGTCACAGCAGTGGATGCAACAGGACTTCCCCTTCCTCTCCTCCTCCCTGTGCCCCCTCAAATTTGTTCTTTAGGGCCCCCAAGCCCTCTGGAACAGACTTTAGGAGTGCACTGGAGACTGGAGTGGGGAGCAGAGGAATGGGAAGCCCCGTTTGCACAAGTGAAAGTCCATTGCACAACAGGATGCTGAATTTGGTTTAGTCCCAGATTCAGAAGTAATTTTCACCAGAGCTGGAACATGAAGTGTTGTACATGTGATCATTTTCTGCCATTTTCTGCTAATCATTGAATAAAAGACTGTCATCCTGATTCTACACTTTACACAACTATATACAGGAGAAATGTTGTATTCTTTATTATAATTATTTTTACATTTGGGACAAACTGTACTAATTTTAGTGTGCTTTATTCAAAATATTAGAAGCAAAATGAATATACAACAGTATTTTAATCATTCTTATTAAACAACAGACAAATTGTAAGTGGGTTGGTTCACTATTCCAGTTTAGACACTGCAGCATTCAGGTGCATTAATTTCAAACACCCAGACTCACAAAGTATCTTGTTTCCATGTACATGGTACCCTGATTTTCCATCTATCCATGTGGCAGAACTAGAGAATCCTGATCTGTGCACAGATTCTTCAATCTATGTGTAGAAACGTTGGTGTGTTCCTACAGGAATATTGGAGGGGCAATCCCAATCCATAACACACTTTTATTTCCCCAGATCTGTTTCCCTTCCCATATTCTGGTTTGGAAGTAGAACTTGAATCATGCAAAAGGAAAGTGTTTTATGTAGACGTAGCCTTTTGCATCCCCACTCCTCCACTCCTCATGTTGCTTTGGTTCCTCCCTTGATTTGGTAGCATGTTGAGTACCAAATTGCTCATGAAACAAAAACTATAAATAGAAGCTTTGAAAGCAAATACACCTAAGCCTGTTTTGATAGGCAAAAACCTCCTGCTCTTAAAGCCAATCATTGGGATTTGGTAAATCTAAGCTGGAATAGTGAGATCTAGCAGTCAGCCTAGACTGCTAAATGTGGTAGAGTCACATTTTCAGGAAAACTTCTAATCTAATATATTTCACTTGGACAGGTATTCCAGTGAGGCAAATACAATGCAGCGTGAGTGTACCTGCTGCCAGGAGCTCAAGAGCCATAGGAGAAAGGTGACCTTGACATGCCAGGATGGCAAAATCATTGACTATGACTACATCTACGTGGACGAATGTCAGTGCATGACTGCGTGCATTCCACAATCCAAAATTTAGTTAAGGGAAGAGGAAAAGTAGTGACTTTGCATTCGTCACAGGAAAAAGAACCCAACATGTTCCAAAGCAGCTAAAACCAGTCGCCATCTAAATGCTACTTCATGTCTCTCAATATGTCCCTGAAAAGGTTGATAGTAGCCTTTTTCTTGGTCAGCTGCCTAACCAAATTAATGTTCTATTTCCTGCATGATCATTTTTGGCCATTTTGGCTAGCTAGTTACAAAAACAAGTGCATTTAGAAAAGCTTCCAAGGATCCCTATAAATATAATAAAATGATGATAGAAATGTATAACATTGTACTGTAAACTAAACTTCTGCTTCAAATTTTCTCTGCAATGCTGTTTATTTTTGGCAACTATCTTTTAAATTACTGAGCAACCTTTGCTACAGAAGGAGTGTTTTGTATAGTGTCAGCAGGCATGTGATTTTGACAAAGATAAAGCTGCTTTCCTTTTTACTCTTGTTTCTTAAGATTAATAAAAAATTTAAGCATGTTTCAACTTTGACATCTGCCGATTTCATTCACTGGGCATTGACATCCCTTAAGTCACATCACACAGCTATGATTCTGTTGTTTGGGACACCAAAAAGGATGGGGCCCAGCTGTAGTCTCTCAGGATGCTTTTGGGCTTTGTATGGATGTTTCTTCTACCCAATTGCAATGTGCAAAGCAATAGCTAAATCTTCTTTATTATTACATTACAATGTTGTTTTACAATTGTTTTTATGCCATTTTTTTCTCGAGCCATCCTAGGCTCCCTTTGCGGAAGAAGGGCAGGTTATAAAACTGAAATAATAAATGATTAATGATTGGGATTTTTATACCATCAGTTCAATCCTATTTCATTCAAAGTAAGAAATTTATCATTTCAGTAAATTCAGTATATACACCAAATTCGGTACAGACCATCCTCAAACCTTCCTCTCCTATGCTACCGAGCTTCAAACCAATCTCTTGAGCTGTTTTCTAAACATAAGCCATAGAACCTCCAATCTCCCTACCCTGCATTTCTCATTTTAATGGTGGAATGTGATTCGGCTGATTCATTCTACTTAATGCTCTTCAGGTCAAATGTAAAAGCCTTTGGTGAAACCTATTTTTACACAACTCTAAAGCATTGCTGAGCCCTGCAACATAGGGAAAGACACTCTGTAGAGCAGGGGTCAGCAAGGTTTACCTCGCCTGGGCCGGTTTACTCCAGCGGAGATCCCTCCGTGGGCCGGATCGTGAGTGCGTGCACCTGCATTTTGCAGCGTCTGCACAGACGCGATTTTCGAAGCCGCAGAAGCGAGTGCCCACACTGTGCTGTGCTAGTTTAGCGCAGCGCGCGGGGACTTGCCAAGCAGGCAGCTTGGTTCGGGGAGGCCGCTTGTAGCCCATGGGCCTTAGGTTGCCGACCCCTGCTGTAGAGCAAGGAAACACTGTCCTCTCTCTACCAGCATGTTAATCTTCACACTGGATTGCAGCCTTTAACAGATTCAGCTTGCTGTTCCCCTGCTGTTAAAAGCAGTAGAATGCAGAGCAAGGGCAGTCCATCCTGTTTTGCTGCCTGAGGCACCCCTCCCCCCTTTCGCTGAAGCTCATTGAGAGTGGTGATATTCCGCAAGGCCTCGCCATTCATCTTCCCTGCACTTCTTGCACTGCCTGTGAAGAGTGCAGCCACTGTTGCCTGCTGCTCTCCTATCCCCTATGTTTAACCTCACCTTCTGCACATCAGGGTTTCCCTGGTCCGCCTCCAGTTGCCTCAGGCGGCAGTGGTGTGAAGGAGGGAGTGCAACTCGCCTCCCTTGTGGCTGCTGAAAAACTAAAAAGGGAAATGCCTTTTCACAGCCACTGCAGCCATCAAGTGACAAGGAGGAGGAAGCTAGCACTGGCAGAAGGAAGGCCTGGAAGAGGCAGAACCATGCACAGCAACAGCAAAAAAAAGTGCTGGGGAAGCAGCAGCAGCATTTTCTGTTTTGCCTCAGGTGGCAAAATGTCTTTGTTCAGTCCTGCCTTCTGGATTCAATAATGTTTCAGGGTTTTTCTGATCCATGGGAGAGTGTCAAATACATTCAAAACTGAAGGTATGGAACTCACAAGGAAATGTTTTTTATACACTGTTCCATACTGCAGCAACCATCCACCTAGCACTGACTACATGTTCACAGAGAATTTAAAAGCAATATCCACTTCATTAGTCAACAGAAAAAATCTCGGTGGTGTGCAAACTTCTAGAGTGAGTGAAATGCTTTAGGTTAGAAGAAGACAAGATGGAAACCCCATTCTATAGTTTTTTAACAGTCTTAAGAGGATGGAGAATTGTGGACTTAAAATACAATTCTAAGAATTTTTACTCGAGAATAATTCCAACTAAACTGAATTTAATTTGCTTCATAGTGACAGGTGTACATAGGGCTACAGCCTCAATGGGGTTAGATTGTGCTTGATGCATTGGCCATATGCTTTGTTCAGTTTCCTGGATAGGGAATGGCCAGAATTATACGATAGGAGTAAAGACTGATGGAGACTCGAGAGTTGCATATTAATGTGCAGTGCCTCATGCACTTTTTAAAGAACAATGGAAAGCCTTCCAAAAGCAGAGAAAGCCCAAATCGGGTATTATTTCATATTCACGGTAAAGATATTCTGATCCACTTTCTCTTTTAACCAATGATACAAAATCAGCATTCTTCCTGAAAGCCTCAAAGCAACAAAAGTTGCTATGTTCTAGCATCCTGTATCTCTGAATCGAAGGGTGTTTTTATGGAGATCCAGACACACTGGAGCCCTTGTTGTGGCCATGTTGTTCGCTTACAGCCAACTGTGTTGCAACGCTATATTAATTAAGTTCTTCCGATTTTCTCAGCTGGTGTAACGATTATATTCAGTGAGTGGTGGTGACAGCAGCAAGCCTTCAATCTGAAAGCACAATTCTGGTGCCTTTGACTGAGCTAATTGGTTATGATGTTCATTTAATATAAGGAAAGCACGAGGATTCATGTTTCCTTGCCTAGCTTATAATGAAACATGCAGGCCTCGAAATGACATCTAGATTACATTACAGGAGGCGATGCCCTGAGGTCAACAACAAGGAACACGGCTATTTTGCCTCCATGCTGAGCAACACTGCTGAAACTCTTCAATCTCCTACTTCTTTTGAAGTAAAACACACCCATGAGAGATAATGGGAACCTTTTTGAGTTCATTTTCTGCATTTTGAAATTATTTTCATCAAAGAATTAGAAAAACATTAACACAGAACTTAATACTTAATCCAACTGGCTTATTTTTTATTTTTTAAAAAGAAGCTGCAAGAGTCATTAAGATGTCAAAGACCAGGGCCATAGCTAGGGCGTGGCGGGGTGGGCCCCTGCCAGGGGTGAAGGTGTCTTGGGGGGGCAAAAATATGTCCATAAATATAAATATTGATTATTGCCTCTTAGGAAATGGTTTTAAATAGAGGGTGACTTGAATGGGTGGAGGGGTATGTGGAGGAGAGGCGGAAGAGCTAACTTGTCCATGGCCAAGGGGCACAATCTGGAGGGTTCTGCCAGGGCACAAGATCACGTAACTATGGCTCTGCAAAAGACTTCCAAGTTAGTAATTATGCTTCAAGGCATAATCAGATTTATCACTTCAGTTACCAAAAACATTCACTCACCTCATCAAGAATATTCACTGAGAACTTTTTCCTTTTATTTACAACCTATGGCACCCTAGGCTATTATTATTTTTCCTGTGTAGAAATTGTTTCAATTCAATTTACAGCAGAGGAATATCGGGTAACATGAAGGAAAACATTACCATTTTGGAATGTAGTGGATGACTGGGGGGGGGGGGAGCTTAGGAAGAGTCCTGCTGGATTACACCAAAGGCCTTTCCAGTCCAGAATCCTGTTTTCCACAGAGCCCATACAAATGCCCTTGAGAAGTTAGTCACCACACTGCTCACCCCTACTAACTCTATATTGTTTATAAGCCTATTACCAAAGCAAAGATCCCAATACTAATCCTGGGGAGCTCTACTTTCCACATCCCTACAGTTAGAGATCAATTTATTTCCAAAACTTTGAATACTGCTACTTAAAACAATTCCTGATCCATAACAGAACCTCTTCTGTTATTTCCAGATTCTGTCCTGAATTCTGTCCATTCAATTTTTCCCCTTCTCATTTTTGGAACTTGTTATTGAAGGAAAAACAAGTCACTATTGATTACCTAAAAGTAAAAAAAAAATAAAAAATGGAAATATAATTTATGGACTCCCTTCAGAAAGTAGCTCCTTTCCTCTTCCTCCTCACCATTTTGCCCATATTATTTTGCTTCAAAAGATGGCAAACTCTTCTGGCCCAGGGAATACCCAGAAAGCCATTTAAGCATCATTTGTATTGCGCCGCTATTAATCTTGACATGATATTGTGTCATTTACTGGAACCACTTCAGGCTTGATTAGAGCAAAACAATATGCTTTGGGAGACTAGCACATGAGGGAGGGGAGATATAATTTTCTTCCCATGTAGCGAGCTTGTAATCACTACCAAGGAAGCTCTATAGGGCTCTTAGGATTATAATGTGGCATAGGTAGTTTCAAATATTTTACCATCATGAAGCTCTGCTAAGAGCCATCTACACAACTCAATTAAACTGAATTACTAATGTAATTACCACCAAAGGCTTGCCTGAAGCACTAAGTGCACAAGGACAACTTGAGGTGTTGTTTGCTTCTCAAAGCTCAGGAGCAAAACAAAGTGCATGTCAGATGACTGAGGATGTCTCCATGTAACTGCTCACACTAGTTTCACCATGTGGTTTAGTACCTGAGTATACAATCTTGCAATGAAGACATGCCTGATTCTGTGAACTGTTCAAAAATTGAGATGTGACAGATGTTACTCATGCAATTTGCTCTTTGATTTTATTTCATATATATATATATATATATATATATATATATATACACACACACACACACACACATATATAAAACCATTGTTAAAATTGCTTTTCCGGGAAACAGGTATTTAAATTAATGTACTACTAAAAATACCTGGAGGTGTTAATTTAAAACAACTCTTTTTTCATCGGATATCCTACCAACATATAGACTATAACTGAAAAAATAAAACCAATGTTTCAGCAATATCTGGATAGGCAACCTTTTATGGAGTAAATTCATCGTGTAGTCCAGTACTAATCATCCCTTTTCAGATATGTACAATTAATTTCAATGCATTATCTTCTCAATTATGCATGCTTAGCATTGCAGTCATAAATCTGTCTATTTCATCCACTTTTCCACATTTGCACACAATTGCACTTAGGACACACTATTCCCCAAACGAGATTGTTTGAGTGGAGTATCACAAACAATGATATACAAACAGTGCCGTAAGACACTCCAGCTCATCAGCAGCAGAGAGAGGTAATGTATAAAGTGTTAAGTGTTGTAACACAGGCACATGCAGCCTACAAATTATATTAAATTGCATAATCACTACTAGACAGTAGTAATAAAAGTTTAATTTTATAAAATACCCCTTTCCTGAGTACTGCAATTTAACTTCATTTTATTTGCCCCACAAAACCACCCTGTGTGGCAAATCCCTCTTATTCCTGTTGTATTAACCAAGAAACTGAGGGAGAAATAATGACTTCACAAGAACAGCAGTGTGACTGAAAGAAAGAATGGACTCAAACCTCTATCTCCTGGGTTCATCTGCAACACCCACCAGCCACTTCACCACACAGATTCTTAAATGATTCACTCTCCTTCAATCAAACTATCCTTGCAGTATGGATATTCCACTAAGTATAAACAAATACCAGGAAAGCCTCTGTGGCCTACAATATTTTGGGTTGTGTTTTACTCAATGTAGCAACAGACTTAGGTTAGTCCTATTAGCTTCAGTGAGTAATAGCTGGATTTAAAAATTGTCTACGTTTCACTTAATATAATTCCTAGCCTCTGGAACATAATGTCGCCTATTAAAAACAAACACTTTCCCATGGTTTGGTACACATTTATTAAATTAGATAGAATGGGATAAAATATTTTACAATGCAAGAGACAAACATCTGAACCTCAATACAGTAAAAAACAATGTCTTCAGAATTATTACAGCAAAACATCCTCTATACAGTATTACAGGTCAGTCAACACAAGCAATAATATCTGCAAAAGGAAACACTTGGAACCATCAGCACACACTCACACAGCAGTAGAGAAGAAGGTGGCAAGCATCTAGCTAGACAAGATTATTCCTGTATTTAACCCACTCACAGGTCCTTGGCAGGTTTGAAGCTAGTGCAAATACCAGTTCAGTCTTCAGCAGAGTTCTTCCGGCTGTGGAGGAATGCTGTGCCAGATGCACAAAGCTGAACATGCTGTTCATTTAAACTGAGCATGAGAGAAATTGCATTGAGAATTGTGCGTTGCACAGCATTTCTTTTTCTTGACAGGTGACTAGTGCATTTCAGTTCACACATCAGCAACTTGCACCCCAATCTTATTCCCACTGATCTGGAGGCAAATTTCATTAAAATCCATGGGGATTACTTCCAAACACATGTTTGAAGGATCGGGGGAAATCCCGTTAGTTATCAAGAAAAGATATGCATATAACTGTAGCCATGCTTGAAATTACCCCTTTCAACTTTAATGATACATAGTAGTCATTGAATGCAGGACATTAATACAGGACTGTGTGTTGTCATTGTTTTCTTCATGATAGAGGAACATGTTAATAGCAATCTATCATATTTACTACCCATGTTCTTCGATGGTTCTCTCTGCTCTATTGTTTAAAAATGCAGCTTAACAACCACTACTAAAGCTTCCCAGACTTTCAACAGGTCTCATATCCTTGTACCTTCCAGAAACTGAATTTAGTCAAAACACTCCCATTTCTATTTATGTCTTTATTGTGAAAGTGCATTCTCAACTGTTTGCACTGCGTTTACAATTCAGGATTTTCCCTAAGCTAAAAGAAACCCTTTAAAACCATCTCCAGAATAATCTTAATAATAATTCAATTTAAGTACTTTACTTGGATGTAGTTTTCTAGAACTACACAGTCCATTTTATTCTATGGGTATAATGCTACAGCAGATTTCCCCAAACATCAAATTGTTATTCCAGACTTTCCGCTGAGTAGGTCTGAGTTCTCAAAATATATTAGTTCACAAATACCACAAGACTTACCTGTACTATGATGCTACTGACAAGGTATGCCATTAGATAAAAGTTTGATCCTGAAAGTATTGTAAAATATGAAGAAAGTATCCAAGCTAATTTTCTGATGGACACACAAGCTTCTTCGGTCTAGAGCAGCCCTTGCCAGCCTGGTGCCCTTTAGATGTTTTGGACTACAACTGCCCAAAGCCATGCTGGCTGGAAGTTATACAAACAGCTGGAGGGCATCAAGTTGTTAAAGACTGATCTAGAGGATGTTGTAAAATACACACATTGCAGCAGATTGTATTCATGTATTTAAAAAGCAACAGAAGGATAGGAAGGCGGAGGAGGGAATAAATGCTCACAGATGCAAGTCTGCTAGCTAGATGGAAGGATACATACGCTTTAAGCAACAAACAGAAAGAAAACACACAAATTTTTGGTACTGTATTTAAAAATCATTTCCTCCCCTATATTTTACTCATTAAAAAAATAAATATTTGAACTATAAGCTGGCTGTGCCAGGAGTACTTATGATGATATGATGAAGTATTCTAGTGGACAATTTTTTGAATGCTTGCAGGAGTACTTATGATGATATGATGAAGTATTCTAGTGGACAATTTTTTGAATGCTTGCAGGAGCGGAGCAGGAATTGGGGGGGGGGGGGGGAGAAAAAACATGCACACTTTTTTTCCAAAGTGATAAAAGTCACAACCAATCTGAGAGACTGAACTGTGTTCAAACACTTGAGAAAGTACAAAGTATGGCTGGCAATTACAGAAAGTAATTAAAATGCTTTAAATCCATCAATAAGCCAAACAGCACATTTAGAAAGCATGTGCATATTAAAGTGCATTACTTTGCTTTTTTGCCAAACAAGAAAGGAACTGATTAAACAGAAAAAATTTGTCCTCTTCTACAGTTCTGTAGGTCTAACAATACACAATGAATATGTACAATTCCCCTCTTCCAACATACTGGGATTGTATTTTAAATTTGGTTTGCCTCATTTGTGACAATGGATTCTTTCACATGCCTCAGTTTTGATGGAATTAAGGCCAACTGGTACTCAATGAGTAATGACTGTGTATATCATACTGGTATTATGCCTTGAATTTTTTTTTCTCAAAATGGAAAAATTGAAGATTTCATCCATAACAAATGATTATGGATGAAAAATGAAAATTTCTTTTAAAGCATTATTATTATTTTATGGTAACTGATCATAAGGACATTTATTAAAATGTGATGCCAAATTTTCCCAAGTATAAAATCTTCTCACCTTTATCTTTTTGAATGTCTCACAAATGTAGAAGCAAGGACAGTGCAAGTAAACACAAATTAGGAAATAACCCTGTTCCTCCAGTCTTTGCTACTATGGCCCGAGAAACAATTAACTTCAGATTTCAGATGCACAGCAGCACATCCGATAAGAGTAGCTATCTCTAAACAAACAAAACTCAACAAATATATTGCATTGGTGCCCGATTAATAGGTTGAGCAATGGGATCTCTCATTAGAAAGATCACAAAAGTGGTCAGTTTGTCTATACTAAGAATTGTTATAAATTGCTGAACCTGCTGAAGGGCACTGTCTAATCACTTTTCAGACAAATATTTTTTTGATAGGAGGGAACTTTTAAGAAAACCCCCTGATCACAGTCTGCTGTGATCACTCAACCTATACTCTATCTCTTATGACAACAGAATGCATAGTGTCAAAACTAGCTGAATAAGCTTGTGTGTGTTTGTTTTCCAAAGTGGGGAAAGAAAAAAAAGCAGCATAGATGCTCCAACTCCACCTCTCAAACCAATGCAGCCATACATGACAGAACTGATATATTAATAAAAATGGCTGAGATTTCTATAGAACATATGTAAAAACAAAATGTGCAAATGTCCAACAACCACCACCAACAAAATGGGAACACAATCTCTCAGACAGGATGCTTTCTCAAGAAATTCTTCCTCTGCCTAAATCCCTGGGCTTGGCAAATCAAAAGTAAAGGTAACAATGAAGATGGAAAATGAGCAGATGGTCTAAGATTCCTCTGCAATTTGAAGCAAGGAATTGATAGCAGCATCCTTGTTCCCTCTCTGGGCTTCTAGCACTGAACGGATTACTTCTCTGTCCATGTTGGGGAACATGTCCTGGATAGATTTTAAATCCTCTTCATTACATACATGCTGAGGGTTGACAGCGGGAGGTGGAACTGCCACAGGTACCATGCCTGGGTTACAAACGGTAGGCATTCCTGGAAAATAGAGAGAGACAGTTGAGGAAGACTGGCAAGTATTTTTTTAAAATGATGAAATAGCTTTCAAACAGCATCAAACTCATGGAGTTACAGCACAGTTAAGACAGAGATAGGGAACCCGTGGCATTTCAGATGCTGTTCAAGTCCCAGTCAGCCGCATCATTGACCAGAGATGATGGAAATTACAGTTCAACAGCATCAGGAGGACCAAACATTCCCCATCCCTAGGTTAATACAACCCTTAGGCCTAACTTTCCACAAGTTCAAAGTGTTTAGTGGGTAAAACCTTCCTGTTTAGTAATGGTATTATGTTCTAGATGTAAAAGCACCGACAAACAAACACAAGTATGAACTATTTTAATTAAAGAGCCCATTTGCTATTTTGGAAAATTAGCTATTTACAAGATTAGAAGTTGCCAAGCACCTAAAAATTGGCTCCTAATGCCAAAAATCTGAAAAGCCTGGTTAGTCCCATGCAGTCCTTGTGCTTAATCAGAAAATACTGGCTCCTAAATATTTCACGCTGGATCCTATTAATACAATTCCTGCCCCTAACCTTAAGTTTAGATAGTGAACAGGATTTTGCTATTAAAAGGTAACCTTGAACCACAGATAAATGCATCAGTATCAGCCACAATTTGCACTATTGGAGAGGTAATAATGATATTGAAGACACAAGATGTTAATGATTCCACTAGCTGATAGTTAGCAAGAGGTGTTCCTACCATCTTGACGTTACAGCCAGTAAAAGCAAAAATCAGAACAAATGTTTTTGATTGGAAATCAAATGTATAAATTAATTGATTTGTTTTTAGTCACTATATAGACTAGGTGATAACTCCATTGTTGACAAAATGCAATATAACTATCAGGACTGTGAGAAGAGGTCATTGCGAAAACTATTTGGGAGAAGCTGTTGAAGTTGCAGAAAATGTATAATATAATATTCAAATTAGCTGCAATCCAGACTGCCAAAAGTCCATGATGAATTCTTCAGATTATTCTGTGACCTCATCCAAAGTTGCACAAGCCTGTAGATCAACAGTGAGGAATCCGTGGCTGGCAGGCCTAGGCCACATATATGACATCAAGTGTGGGTCAGGTAGACACAGTTAGGCAAAAATGGTTTTTTGCAAGTGCTAACCATTAGGGGATCGCCAGAGCTTCTGTATACATCATTATGCAAGGCACAATGACCCATTGATCCTCCCCACTTCTGTGCACAGTTATGCAAGTACCAACAATCAGCAGTTCCTCAAAGGGGTGTGTCAACAGCATTATGCAAAAATGTATCACCTGACATTAAGTGATTGACAAGTGGGTAAGCTTGCCTCTCATACTTTGCCCATGATGGGTAGGGGAAATAAGGAGCTTTGGCTGCCAGCTGGCTCCAGTTTCCCAACCCAGCTCTAGATAGTTGTATACTCTTGTCTGGCACAACTCAGTTCTTAAGAGTACACTTGTGTGAGTCTAAAAGCTTTCTTCTATTATTTAAGACATTTGATTAGGCTAATAATAGTAGTATACCTGAATTTGTTGTGATTTTCATTCTGCGCAAGAAACAAAGCTCCTAATAATCTGACAATCAATGTTGCCAATTAAAGTAAAAGTAACATTAAAATTATTTTCTTATCACAAGACAGACACTTCAATTATTTATGAAATAACCTAACTGATCAACACTAGTACTGAATAATACGTACTTCAATGTACACAGAGTTGTTCATGGGATGTTATTTCCTACTTATAAAGGATGTATTTCAAATTTTATGAAACAGGTTTGGTCTCAATGCACCAGCATGGCTGCAGCAAGAAGCATTCAGGCATAAGCACTGGCATTTAATAAAACATAAATGCAAAAATGGCAATGTGTTTGATAATGCACACTGGCTATTTACAAACAAGCAATGAAAACTGTCTTGAAAATAAATGTATTCAAGTTGTGCAGAAAATACTGCAGAATTGAAAACAAAATTCTAGTACAGTCAAGTGCCTTCATATCCCAGTACCCTAACCCCCTCAAAATTTCCTAAGGAAAAGTCAAAGCTATCAATGTTTATCAGTGGAACACATTCAAATGTCACAAACAGGAGGGGTGGAATCTAACTTTCATGAGCATCTCTGTATCTTACTTAAAATGCTGCTCCATACTTTATCTTTTAGAGACTTTCTTCTGTCAATACCTATGATGGAGGTCAGAGATAATTCCGGGACAGATAAAAATGCTAACAGTTGCATTATATCCCCCAACTCCACCCTGTGCCTGCTCCCAAATTCTGGACATTGAACATTTTACTAAATGAGAAAAGAGACACTTGACTGGACATTTTTATACTGCAGTTAACAGTGAGGATGTCACAATACTCCTTCTGATTTCAAGTCATACTGTGTTGCACTATAGGCCACAACCAACATTTTACAAAGGAGAAAGGGGGAATGCAGCCTAAGTAGCTTTCACTCCTTTCCCCCCATTTTTACGGTAACATGACAAAGAGGACTTGCAAATCACCCCTGCAGCAATAAGCCAGATAGTTACTGGAGCTTAGGATCTCCTCAGAGGCAATTGACAAGTCCCATATTACAGTCAGTGTTGGGTAGCCCTGATGAAATTGACTTTAAAGTAGTTATTTTTAAAGAAGCAAATTAGCAGGTTCCGTCCCTGCCCCCAAGTTGATAGTTGACAGAGTGCGTACGTTCCAGATCACAGTCAAATGGGCATTAAGTAACCAGTAGCAGTTTTATGAATGCAATCTGTCTTGGAAAAGCCAGGTCAATAACACTTCAAAACTGAGCTTATCTGTGGAGATATTGATCAAAAGCAAAGATGAAAGCAGATGATTTAAAATCTGATAGGCAAGCAAATTAATGGCAAGATGGTTTGCTGGAGAACCCAATGGGATATGATTTTTGCCCTTCCACAGCTTTACAACTTTTAATTTTAAGATTGTTTGGTGTTGCAGCGCAACCACCATCCTCCTCAGCACAGAAATCCAGAACCAAGGTAAAATGGTTGCAAATGGAAACAGTTAAGCTTGGGCATTAAATTGGCCATGCTCTCACTTGAACTAGGCCCAGATTTAGCATAGGAGCAATGTAAGAAATTCATGTTTACTTTGACAACTCTGTGCCAATGCCATGCCTGCTCAGGAAAAGCCTTTCCTGCAACCGAAACAGAAGTCATCTTTGAAAACAGCATAGGGCAGGTCCTGAACATAGAACGTGTACTGAAACATATAAAAATGGTACAGACTAGTGGAAGACCAGGTACTGTTTGACACGCCTTTCTTTTGTTATCATGTTCAAAAGGGACTAGACATGCTAGAGGTACCACCTCTTAGTTCACAAAGTCCTTTCTCCAGCCCAGAGTAGGAAAATGAACTTTCAGGCACTAGCCCTCCTTTCAAAGAGTGACTACAAGCATGGAAAAGCTAATTTAATTTATTTCATGGATTATTTGTACTGTGTGTCCTCTGACAGCAGCTATCTCTTCCCTAAGGTAGAAACAATTCTGCTAGGTTCATCCCTTTCCTACTCAAAAGTGCACAAGTTCAGACTCCTTCAAATTCACAAGACAAGTGATAAATAACTTTTAAACTTTGGAGCCTTATTGCAAATGCAAGCAATTTCTTTTATTAAAAATAAGTGAAGTCATACAAATTTCCAGGGGTAGGTCTGTCAGGGGATGGAGTGATAAATGAGTATGGAAAAAGTGACGACACAAAACTTAATGCTAATATATATATTAATGTCATCAAGAACACTAGTGGAAAGTTTGGAGAGAAACTTCTGCCAACTTTAAGATAAATAAACCTAATATTTGTAATAACAAAATTTGTTATTATATGAAGAACTACCTTCCATTTTTCTAACACATTTTTGTTTCCCACTGAAATCACAAAGGATAAAATAAATAATTCTGAAATTGGTGTATTGTGACATCCACCTGCAATTTCTTGTATTGCAACATATTGCATACAAATAAAAAGCAGTTTGCATGATCTCATGCATAATTCTTGTTCCTGTTGAATGGGATGCAAAAAGAATTAAGAAGACTTACCCAGAGCCAAGTATTCAAGCCCTGAGGACAGGTGAAAGTGTGGGAAAGGAATAAAACATGGAAAACAGGCATTATTCTACTTAATGCTAGGAAATTTCCTCCAAGGAGATTGAATTCGGACACACTACAGATTTTAGATGCCAGGATTTTGCCTGCTGTTTCAAATAGCAACATGCAATCCTATGAATATTTTCACTAACACATCTAGTGATCTACACTTACCCAATGTCATTACATCCTATGAAATGATTAAGTAATGTCCACTATTTCCATTTTATGGACACCATACTGTCCCAAATTGTCTATTTCTCTTCTTGCCCATATCATCAGAGTTCCTGTCGTCCTAGTTCCTGCCACACATAAGCCCACTTCTTTATATCTAGCCACCCTTATATTTCACGTGGTAAAAGGAATGGGGGAAGTAAGATTCCAATAATGCCAAACATGAAGAATAAGTTTCATAATTCAAGTTGATTACTTTGATGGGTGGGTAGAGATCCAAAAAATAATTCCAGTTTATAAAAATTGTTAGAAGAAAACCATTTCTACTATCCAAGAATAAAGACTTCTTAGACTTCCTCCTACGAATGTGGAAAACCTAACTTCTACAAATAACATAACTAAATACATATTACAATTTAGGTATTGCTGTCTACAGCTGGAAGATCATGATGACACCTGGTGTCCAACCTTTTTACTGCATATGTACTACAGAATTTTAGAAGATGCATTTTTTCTAATTAATTGCTGAAACCTTTGAAAATGATGAGTCAATGGGACTGAATAGATGACATTCTGTACTTCATCCATCACACACACTTTTTTTTATATATATACACACACACATACACAACAGAGAGGGTGGACAACAGGGTATCTCTTCACTTCTTTACAAATATTTAATGGCATCACAGGCTGTTTTGCACAGCCCCTTTTCAGTCCATCTCTGTTTACTTTTCCTGCCAAGGTACAACTAATCCTAACCCCTTTGTGCCTATATCCCCCCTGCTAAGTATCTGTTTCCTCAGCATGATAGAATCTTATCCTGTTCCTAGATCACAAACACCCTGTTAATTGATGGCAACTGCAAAGCCACACATTTGCAGTTCACAGCTATGAGTGAAATGTCCCTCATCAGCAAAAGCCTTTGGCTCTCTATAGAATCTGATCTTTGGGTCCAGTCTCTAAGTCTGCAGTCACACAGATCAGTCAGCATCAAGACTCTTTCAAATCAATTTAAGACTTCTCACTCACCAAGTGGTATCTCTTTCTTCCTTATTTTAGAACCTAAGCCAAACCTTAACCACTCTGCATGCTTTATCTATCAGGTCTTCCCAGCAATCAAGCAGAGTACCATCCAATCTTGCAATATGGTTTAAGTGACAACTTGTCATAATGGCTGGGGCTGATACGTGTTGCTGTCTATGGTGTTATATATGGAAGGCATCACACTGGCTACCCATGGCCTAGGCTAAAAGGCTAAATTCTGTGAAAGTGCCAGAAATTTTTACACTTCTCAGTCCTTACAACAGACCACGCAAAGGTTGAATGAAGTTGTACATCATACTAAGAACTAGACAGCAATGAACCATTCTTCTCAAATATGGACTTCATGATTCTGATACAGACTAAATTATTCGCTGTAACAAGACACCCAGAGGAGGAATATCACCAATGCATAAGCTGAATAAAGATTGCAGAGCTATTAACAGGACATCTGGATCTCATTCATAACTGAGGTTTGAAGAAGCACACTACTGAAGCTTTGTAAACATGATAAAATACATGCTACTGGCAATGTAATATTTTTTCATTCACTGCAGAAACACTCCATGCACATATGCAAGACAATGTACATACCCTGCTCTTCAGTTCATCAAAATATAGGGTAACTGAGTTTTGTAATACTACAAAGTTATGCCCTTGTTTTTACAATACTGCAAGTTGCTAAGTAGAAGTAAGAGGGAGACATTCTCTATCCCATCTGGCAGATTGAATAATTTAGGTTTACAGCAGTCAAATTCAAATGACCAGTTTGTTTTTGAAAGTAAGATTTATTATTGAAGGGGTTCTAAAGACTGGGTAGAATATGCCTTAGATATTTAAAGGCTTGAAGCCAATTGTTCAGTATTTAAAAACTTTTTAAACAAAATATATATTAGTTGCTAGAGCTAAGGCCTTCATTTAAGAACAAGTACAATGAAAAGGGCATTTCCTTCTAGAGATCAATAAAAAGATTTTCCTAATTAATTGCTCCACAATGGACTAATCATTTTAATGACCAGAGACGATATCCAATGTTAGTCATACTCGAGAGTAACTCCACTGAAATACATGGACAAGTCATCTAAGGCTAATGATTTCAATGGGTCAAGTTTGTGTATGACCAGCATTGGGTGCCACCCCATATTTTTAAGTGAAAAGTGAAACTATGAATGAAGGATATCCACCAGTTAAAAGCAATATGATGTATTTGATTAGTAATGAAGCCAGAGATGACTTGACTTCTTCAGCTAGGGTTGTTCAGTCTTCCCGCCCCTGCCCCCAAATTGCTTAGTGGGATAAAGGAGCAAGGGCCCAACACAGCCCATGGGCCATTTCCTTCTCTTGTTTAAGTGAATTTAAAAGGCATTTTGCTAAATGAACCAACAAAAAGTTGAATGCCATGGTATGAAATATTCAAAGTGTTTTATTCCATCATAATATATAGACAGATAACCATGCAAATACACAGGTAGATTACAGCATAGCATAGCATCAAACTGACAGTCTTAGAGACTGTCTAGCACCTTAGAGCAGGCATCCAAACTTGGCTCTCCAGCTGTTTTGGGACTACAACTCCCATCATCCCTAGCTAACAGGACCAGTGGTCAGGGATGATGGGAGTTGTAGTCCCAAAACAGCTGGAGGGCTGAGTTTGGGGATGCCTGCCTTAGAGACTAACATATGTACTGTCACATAAGCTTCAATTGTGACAATAGCCCTGATAAACTAAAAGTGATCAGCAAATTTGGAATTCTTTCATAGTACAGGTGCTATGCTAGCATAGCTAGAAAGATAGCATGACTGATTTAAATTGATCACTATTATTACCGTGTACAGTAAGCTTGCAACTCACATGCATTTATCTTGTGTGCATTCACTTGATACTTAAAAAAAGTAGAAAGGGGGCAGAAAGAAGGTAGACAGAGAGGCTATAAAGTCTCAACTATCAGAAGTTTGGGAAATGCATGAATATACAAATCATGCCCAACAAAAACGTTTTAGTAAAAAATTATGAAATACGCACTTCAGTTTGATCCTTAATCACAAATTTTTGTCGAACATCATCATATTGGTGATACATGTCATAAAGCTTCAGCCTTTGAAGAAGCTGACATCTTGCCATCCCAACTCCATAATGGATACTGAGTTGAAAATTTGTTTTTATAGAAGGCTAAATATTCTTATGTACAGTAGTACCAGAAAACAGGGAATGCAAGATAAGGAGAGATTTGCAGGGAGAAATAATTTTTGAAGATCAATAGGAGAAAACTCCTCACTATGGAGGTACAAGTCTAAATGGCATGGCAAGAACTCTGGTACACGAGGGATGGGAGAGCTTGCGTTCACACAGTTTTCTGTACCCTAAACACAGCCCACTACTTCCACATAATTTTAAATACTAGGAAAATCAATAGACCAGAAGGCAAGCTGCCGGTTTAATCCATTTTACTCCTGGAGTTGTTTTCACTGTTGATCACCAATCATGTACATGTGCAGATATGGAGCAATGCAAATAAACATCCATTATTTCACATAAAGAGGAAATAAATGTTTTAAACATTTCTAAACTTGTTCCAGTCAAAGGAGAGGGGGAGGATGTGAAACTTTTCATGAATACAAGCCAACAGGAGGCCTGTGACATTCACATTAAAAATTACACATGCTTCTATCACAGCAATACTTATGGCACTGAAAACAGATTATTTTGGCTTTTACTTGATACTGTTTGAAGCACTACATAAACCTGTATAAGTAGTCTGGCCAAAAATAGTGTGTACCACATACTGGGCCAATTCAGATACTATGGTAGACCAGAGGTGGGGGGAACCTCTGGCTGCTGGGCCTACATAGGCCAGGATGGGTCCAACTTGGACAGCAATGCCACCCCCCACAAACCACACTAGGTGTGGGCAGGTACAGCCATGGCAGCAAAGGACCAATCAAGAACTCCCAATTGTTCCTCTGCAAGCAGGGCTCCTTGTCAGTGCTGATCACCTAATCTGAGTCAACAGGGAGCCCTGCTGGGATTGGTTGCACTAGGGAGTGAGGGGGCTCTTTTTCTCTGCTTAGAGGAAGCAGACTGAATTCAAAGTATTTCCTCCAGATAGAACATTTTTATCTCTGCAGATTATTCATCTGGAGGATGCAGTATGCATCCAAACAACTTCCCTTAAACAGACTTCAGAGGCGTTACCTGTAACCGCTGATCAACTAGCTGATGGTGGTTACAGCAAGAACCATATATACATGAGTATAAGCCGACTTTTTCAGCACATTTTTTATGCTGAAAAAGCCCCCCTTGGCTTATACTCAAGTGAGGGTCCTTTCGGGCTGCTCCTTTCTCCTCCTCTGCCTTTGCTGCTGTTGGCAGCGGTGGAGGATGAACGAGCAGCCCGAAATCAGCCCTTTCGGGCTGCTTGTTCTTCCTCCACTGCTGCTGACACCACCAGGTTTGTGGTGTGGTGAACCGGCTTATACTCGAGTCAATAAGTTTTCCCAGTTTGTTGTGGTAAAAATAGGTGCCTCGGCTTATATTCGGGTTGGCTTATACTCAAGTATATATGGTACTTTAGATTAAATGTAGATTCCTGTGTTCTCTGATGCCAAACAACTGTTGCTAATTTTAGCCACGGTTAGTGGAAACAAGTCAATTTCAAACCCCAGTTAATGAAGCTGGCTTGTTACCACTAACCATAACTAAGATTAACCACAGATTGGGTCTGGACAACACACTAAACTGTGGTTCATTTAAAAAGAGAATTTGAAGTGTGTGTTTTTTTCAATCTCTTCTCAGTCATTGCCTGGGGTGGGTGGGTTGTAAACCCAAGGCTCGCTAAGGCTTGTTCAAAATGTAGCCACACTGACAGCTGTATAAATACTTCAGTTCTGTGAAAATCTGTAAACAGCTTGAGCATGCAAGTGCCTTATTAGTCTCCAAATTATAGTTTCATACTGAATATTTGATTTTAAATGCTGGGTACTTCAAAGAACAGAGCTTGTCTCTGCCTCTGGTCTTAAATTAGCAATTTCCAAGAGACTTGTTTTTCAAAGCTCAAATTAAAAAGAAAAAGGAGTAACATACCTGCTATAGGCACATATCCAACTCCTTGCTGATACACTGTGGGCATCAGGACCACTGGCTGAGGCTGCATCATCATGGCAGCTGGTAAGGACTGGATATCAAAAGATAACAAAACAAGTAAGTATTTGAAAATTATTCTAGGAACAAAACAAAACAGCAAGAAAATGCACAAAAACCATTTAAGTCCTGCCATACAAAGGTTAGGAAGCAACTTTTTGGCACAAGTCAGTAAGTGCTAACACATCCCAGGAAAATTAAATGAGTTCCATTGAATTAAAAGATATTTCAAAGAAACTATAATAACCTATAAATAGAGAGTTCCATCCGCTCAAATCAAGTTATGCTTTTATGATAAATTGCAGGCAGTTTAGGCACTGTTTCACTCAGAGTACAATACTGAGCTTCAGAGGTAGAATACTGAGCTTCAGAATAATTTCTGTGGCCCAGATCCAGAAATGTGAAAGAAGAAATTCTACTAGTGCTGCTGCTTTGTGAATTGGTGTGCAAGAGATAACAGAAGACATTGTGCTACATTATGCAAGTACGTGAACAATTAATTGTATAGACAACCCACTTCTGGATAAAACCCTGCTTTTTGTATACTGTTACTTCTCACAATGTGAGAGACTGGAATAAGCTTAATTTACAAATTTTCATGTAGAAAAATTTCATTCCCCAGTTTAGAAACAAAACATGAAGACCATCAGCAAAATTCTCTTCAGTGCCCTTCATCATTAATAATTGTTCTCTCTCATAAAAAAAATTACCTTATATATTCATATTCCCAAAGGTTTATCCATAACACACACAGTATTTTTAGTTGGACACAATGGGTCATTCTATATCAAGTGATCCAACTTTTTTACCTCATATCATCCAATTTTCTTAATATTTTGTACACTTGCTGAATGATCAAAACTAAGTTTAAATCTCAATTTTTTTTATCTCATCCCATTTTCACATTATGAGGATTAGGGTTTCCAAAAAATTGCAAAATTTCCAAAAAATTGCAATTATTTTGGTTTTGCTGGACTACACAAAAACCTTAAAGGCTCAGCCCAGGTTTGAGATACATCAAAACTAAAAACACCAATCTCTTCAGAACTACATGGGCTTTAATACAATATGTTACATGATGCACTTGCTCTACATTTCAAATGTAAGTTACAAAATTTCCAAAAATGATTTCAAAAAATTAGTATGATTAAAAAATTCCAGGTAATTTGGAGATTTTGTGGAAGGAGTTGCTGAAAAGGTATCTCTAGGAAAAGTCAGGACACCCTATGGACCATGTTTTATGAATTCAATTCTATTAATCTTGGCTTTCAATACGCAGTTCTGTTAATTCTGATACACCTTTACATGTTATCTACTCACTTCTCTATTCTCTTCATGTATCAAACAGACTGAGTAGTTCAATATAGAAACTTCCAGAAGTTCAGTGCCTCGGGTTCCAACAAAGCCTCTTTCTGCCCCATTTCATCAGCAAACTCATTGCCTCCTGCACTAAAGCAACTATTGTCAATTAACTTACCGTATAAGACATGACCAGATTAATCATTCCTTCTTTGTCATCTCCTTGCCTTCCACTCAGGCTATACCATTCATCTTCTACCTTTCCTTGTTTCAGTGATTCAGGAATAGTAACGTGCGTCCAAGCAATGCGATCATCCATTGAAAATGCTCGCTGAAAAATACATATTTAGGTAATTATGAGGGGAGGAATTTAAAGGGACAGAAACGTAACGTAAATTTCACGTTAAAGTTAAAATAATTGTCCTTTCAATGGAATCAAGTTCTCATCTGTTCTTCAAAAGTAGGCTAATTGTCCTTCCTAATCCACTCATAAGGAGAAACACCATGGTTCATGGATAACTTGGAGCACTAAGATTGACAGAAAAATAAACACAAGAACTGGAAAGTAACATTTCTTCAAACCTGGTGGATTTAATATAAAATTAAAGGGATCAATTCAAGTTATTGCTGAGCAGATAGGCCTAGGTCCATCAGCACAAGCATTTCTGCTTGTTTGATGAAACGATCTGCCCTCTCTCCACCAGTGTGGTGTTCTAGAGAGTCTCCCAAGTCAATTTGGGGCAGGGAAGCAGGGAGAAAGCCCTGTTCCACCAGCAGAAATCCTTGTGTGGTTTTCCGCTGACAGGATTAGTTAGCTGAATTTGGCCCAAAGACTCTTACCAGTGCCAAACTTTTTCTATTGTCATTATAAGTTAAACAGACAAACAGGAACTGAATAAGGAGATTTTAAAATGATGTGGAATTCCAAGGGTTGTATCCAATGATTACAAAGCAAAAAGCAACTACTTCCCTTCCCCCTCCTACTATAGCTTTGTGCAACACCGTTCACAAATGTTTAGTAGTTCTGTCAACTTTCAAGAGTGGCTTTTGGGGAGGTACAGGGAGAAGAAGGATAAGGGAAAATATCGGATGTGTGAATTGCCATCGGCTTTTTCAACCACTGGCTGCAACCTCAAGATTTTGTTTTACAAACATTACAATCATGCACACGGTTAGGCTACTTAAAGCCTCTAAAGCAAGAGTGGGGAACCACTCTCAGCAAGGTCAGATCAAATTATGGCCAACCCCCTGTAGACCACATTTGACAGATGGGCAGAGCTACAGAGGAATACAGTCATACCTCATGTTACATTTGCTTCAGGTTGCGTGTTTTCAGGTTGTGTCCTGCGGCGGCCCGGAAGTACTGAAAAGGGTTACTTCCAGGTTTCGTCGCTCATGCATGCACAGGCACGCAAAATGACGTCACACGCATCTGCAGAAGCAGTGAATCGCAACCCGTGCGTGCGCAGACATGGGTTGCGTTCCTTTCAGGTTGCGAACGGGGCTCCGGAACAGATCCCGTTCGCAACCAGAGGTACCACTGTAATCAGGAAAACACTCTATGGCTCCTGGTTGTTTCTTTGCAGCTCCAGTTTTCTGTCCCACTCAAAGTCAACGATGTCAGGTGAGTGACATGTGGGTGTGGTGTGGCCAAGGGAGAACAGCCTTGTGGGGCTACACTGGAAGGCGAGACAAGCCTAACTTGGCAAGAGGCTTCTCACCCATGCTCTAAAGTAAATAAACCTAATTCATGCAAGTGAAACTTTGCCTTGGAGATTTACCAGCATGAGAACTAGGAGCTACCTAGTTTGGGAGAAAAAAGTAACTGCCAGATGGAAGCATGAACTGATTTTTATGTTTAAGAAAACATTATATTTTTGCACTGATAATATGAAGTGTTTGCATTTATAGCAAAAGGGAAATAATTTCTGTTAGAGTTGCTATCTGGAGCTAATTTTGGGAGGCACAGTAGGCTGCATGGGGGAATTGGAATTGGAATTGGAAGCAATTGCCTGCCCTCCTTTCCCCAGGATTGGCAGAGGCACTGAAGAGATCAAAAGCCCTTCCATAAGCACAACGATACAGATTTCATAGTGTTTTGCCAATTTTGCTTAAGGAAGCATACAAAGGTTCTGTATTTTTTTTAGGCTCAGTTCTCAATACAGACTACCTAGGATAAAGGGCAAAAAACAAAAATGACTGTAGAGGCCCAGAGAGAATGTTCTCAATTAGTATGAACTGAAACTTCATATTAATTGTGCCCCCCAAACATCCCTCCTCCCCTAAGCCAACCTCTTTACAAATCAGGGTTTTTTTAAACGCTCTTACCTCGTCAAATATTTCCAGATAGAAAGAATCCACTCCAGGTGGAACAGTGCACTGAATAACTTTGTTCCATCGGGGATTCTTGGCTCCATTGTGAGCTGTGGGAGTTTCATAGACAGCATAGCCAAGTCGTATTCTGCAGTATGGATCCATGCGTGTCATGCCATAGTTTTTTGCCAATTTTGCCTAAGGAAGTAGACAAAGGAAATTAATAATGTTGTTATTAGCTTTCCATGCACCTTCCTAGACTGAAGTGTCTACATTTTTTACTTGCAATCAGCATATTAATGGTGATATCAACCATTGAGAAGTAAAATTTTGTAAACAGAGTAGATTTGAATAAAGATTCAAATTAAGGCATTCTGCTCAATGAGTTACAATGCCTCAATTCAAATGAAATCTGCAATGATTCCATTTAAATACACTCTGCCCACAACACTACAGATCTACTTTGTCCAAGTAGAAATGCTAGCCATAATAAAAAGATGTCCATATTGATTTATTTGTACAAGTTTAGTTTAGGGCTTTTTTGTAATCTGTTAGCAACTGATTTACATGTTCATAGGGTTTATTTGCTGTGAGAACAAAGTCTGCATTCATTTTCAAGGTATACATAGACAAAAATAGCATAACCTTAGATAATGAATCTCCAAAATCTTTGAAGTTTTTTCATTTAAATATTTTCCAGTTACATTTAACCAGTTATTCCAAAATCACCACAGAGCTACTAAAACTTTTCATGTTCTAAATAAGCACTTCAAAACCACCACAAAAATGTTAAATGTCCAAAGTTAGATGATGAAAAACCTACTGATGGAGAGCACATGTTCTCTCAGTTCCTATATACTGCCTTCACAGTAGATGATGAGTGGTTTCATAGGAAGATTACACTAATATGCACTGAAATCATGCAATTCTGAACATAAATAGCAAGTGAAAACTGTATGCAGTTAGTTGTACCCTGCAAGATCAATGCAAACTGCTTATTAGCCAGGAACGAGTGATACTCTTTTTAAAGCTACTGTCAGCGTCTGTGCATAATAACTATGACAACACTGTATTTAGCACTACATCCCAGGAATCTACAAAATGTAAACATGTGCCACATCTAACATGTACATTTCAAAATACCTGCACTACAGTGATGCTCAGTCTCCCAACAGTACCCATTGCTCCTCCGTACTGTAATTGTTGAGCTGCTTGAGCATCCAATTGGATCTGTTGCTGTTGCTGAGTTGGGGTGATGCGAAGGAAATCTTGAGGAAGTTCACCAATATACACCTGTACAAGAAACACATAAACCAAAAATATAATCCTCTTTGTTCCACCCTGCAATCTCCTATTTGGTCCTTTTAAATATATTTCACTCACAACTCGCTAGTATCCCCCTATCTACTTTGTAACCCCACTTCAACATAAGCTGCCAAGAAGAACTGGGTGCATTATGAGACACATACAACTAATGCAAAACTGACTCTTTTAGACATCTGAAATGGAAATCCTTAATAATAAATATTGTGAAAATTGACACCACTATGATTAGGACTCCCAAGCCCCAGGTAAAAAGGACATCAATGAAACAGGGAAATACCTGATTTGAGAATTTGAAGAGCTAAAGCAGGGTTGAGCTTTTTGGGCAAGATCACAAAAATATTTGATATTTTTGAACTATTTTTAAAGGAAATCGGCAAAAATGACTCTGCTGGCATGGGTTGCCATATATCGGGATTTTCCTGGACATGTTGCTGATTTCCACCCGGACACTGCTTCCAACTGTAGTATTCCGGGTATGTCCATGAAAGTCTGGACGTATAGCAACCTTAACTGCTAAAGATAAAGTTTAGTTGGTTTTACTATTTATCTAACCGTGGCTAGTAACTGTTAGCTATCCCCAGTACTTTTTTTCTAAAAAAATGTTTAAGGGTACTCTCATTTTCCTACTCATATTGAAATATTGCCCCTCAATGAGGCCAAACGTAGATTCACAAAATGTTTAGGGGTATGCGTACCCCTGCGTACTCCCAGAGAAAAAGCACTGGCTATGCCTCTTTAGGATTGGAAGAAAGAAAAATGAGATGAATTTTTATAAGTCATCCAATAAAAAACCCAGATACAAAATTTTGTGGAGTATTTTCTAACAAATTGTGCCTACAATGTAGCTTGGGTCTCAAAAAAAGGTACTTGTGTTTTGCCACAGGAGCAGAGTACTATAATCTGCTTGTTTCAATAAGTTTGCTCTTTTTACCCCAACATGATAAACAGAAACTAAGAAAGTAATGTAAGAAAACTTTAGGGGGTATTTTTCTACCCCAAGCCAAATTCAAATGCTTCTTGAGGTAGTAAAATGTCCCCAAAATAAAGCTACATGTGGTATATTTCAAAAGAAAAGTAGCTACCTACTTCTCTGGGTCAGTTCTCCCATTTGTAATATTCAGTTGCTTTACTTGGTACTGTAGGGTTTTTTTGCCCCAACCATTTTCATTTATTTATAGAAAGGAATCTGTAAATGGTAAGTGGCTGCAATTTGGGGACAGTGTTTACTATTGGGGGGGGAATACAGTGAAGGATTACAGTATATGTTTACTTATGTGAAAATTATGCAAACAAATGTGCACCAGAATTTCAACCCCCTTTTTCATATGAAACTTTAGTCTGCAATACTTCTGCTCATTGACATGCCCACATACCAACATTTATGAAATTCAAGATTCTGATTACAGAGTAAATTTAGAAACAAGGGTTGAAGTAGCCACATGAGCAAGATTCTTACATAAAGGAAAGGTAGAAAACTGTGCTTATTTAATATTCCACAATGCAAAGAGTTCTAAAACTGTAGATCATAGGTAAAGCCTACTTTAACACTGTACCAGTCTTTTGCTATACTAAATGAGGTAACATGTTAGGGATTCTAACAAAAGACAACTGTAACAGGCAAGCTCAACAGCCTTCGGTGCCCTGGTTTTTACTTTCTGAAATATGGCAACTCTACCCTAGAATTCTCAACTCAAATACATGTCTTCATAAATAGCATCGTTTCCAGGGATATATAGACCTTGGGCTACAGTTTTTTAATATGGCAGAGAGCTACTCATGTTCTCCAAGATAACATCTTTGAAGTGTAGGAGTTAACATAAAATTTAATTAGCAGAAGCAGCAGCTCCTGCTTCTGCCTCCGGACCGCTGCAAGATTAAATGCAGCTGGTAGGAGCTGAAATGCATTGAAGAAGTTTCAAGAGGAGGAATACTGCTGTCCTACAAAGAGTATCCTTCAAGAGTCTCAAGAATATCACAGCTGAGCATGAAAAAACCCCAAGTAACATACAAAGACAACTCAATATGTTGTGGATTCTGTAATGGAAAAAGCATTCTTGCCTTTAAAAGGAAACATTTTTGCAAGTGATTTTCCTCAACTTCCCCCTGGCAGCTAACATATGACCAACTATATCACTAGCAGCATAGTATTGAATTCCTCATCCATTACTAGTATGCCTTTCATTGTCCCAAGAAAAGTGTCTGAAAAACTAAAGTTTATCTGAACATATGTATTTTTTAATCCAGAGAATTCCCAGAGCAACTCATTTACAAAACCAGTTAAAATTTGCAAGCAATAAAATCAGTTTAGAACACTATAATAAAATAAAACATAATGCAAGAACTGCAAACATCATAACCAGGAAAGGAGTTTTTCCTGTGCTAAATAAACCTTCACCAAGGACAAAATCAAAAGTCAGGACAGCACTACTGAAATAGCCATATCTCCAGTCACCATCTCTTACCTATAGTATCCAGAGAAGAGCCTCCAAGACAGATCTTAATGCATGGGGAGGCTTGGGGGGGGGGGGGATTGGTACTTAAGCTATCCAGGCCTCAAGCTCCTTGGGCTTTAAAAGTTAAAATCACCACTTTGAATCATTCTTGGAAACAGACCACTGACAAATTGTCCTGCATTAACTCCGTATCACCCTTTACTGCCTACCAAACAGCTGGATCTAGAACATCTTGTTTTCTGATGATTCAGCTAATGAAGAATACTGTCCTACAATATGCAAATGCTTCAGACTAGAAACTAATGTTAAGCATAAAGATGAAGAAAAATGCCTATCAAATTAAAATAAAATGAACATTTATTTTTAAAAATATATTGTAAAGTTGTGCAAGGAAAGACCTATTCTGGTTACAAACTTGTAAAATAAGACAGTCTTATCTTAGTTACACAGTATACCAAAATTATCACCTTAAGTTATATAAATAACAAGTCCAAATTGCTTTATATGATCATTTGCTCTGCAGAAAAGTCTACTTTAAAAAAACTTTCATCCTTTGTTCATGTTACTCACCTCTCAGTTCAGTTTCAGAGAGAGGACAGAAGTAACTTGTAAAACCTCTGTACGATACTGCACAGACATTTAATCAGTATGCAGCAAGGAAACTTGTATTTATGCTTGAGAACCAGAATGAAACGCACACTCAATTGGTTTTACACACAAGGCAGAAAAACAAATTATAGGGCACAACTATCACAGAATCTTAAAGTTGGAAGGGACACCAAGGTTCATCTAGTCCAGCCCCCTGCAATGCAGGAATCTCAGCTAAAGCATCCATGACGGATGGCCATCCAACCTCTGTTTTAAAACCTCCAAGGAAGGAGAGTCCACCACCTTTTGTGGGAGTCTGTTCCACTCATGAACAGCTCTTAGTGTCAGAAAGTTTTTCAGAATGTTTAGTCAGAATCTCCTTTCATGCAACTTGAAGCCATTGGTTCGAGTCCTACCTTCCTGAGAAGGAGAAAACAAGCATGATCCCCCTTCATATGACAGCCCTTAAGCTATTTGAACATGGCTATCATATCTCATCTTAGTCTCCTCTTTTTCAGGCTAAACATACCCAGCTCCTTCAAGTGTTCCTCATAAGGTTTAGTTTCCAGACCCTTGATCATCTTGGTTGCCCTCGTCTGCACATGTTCCAGCTTGTCAACATCCTTCTTAAATTGTGGTGCCCAGAACTGGACACAGTATTCCAAGTGTGGTCTGACTAAGCCAGAACACAGTGGTACTATTACTTCCCTTGATCTAGACACTATACTTCTGTTGATGCAGCCCAGAACAGCATTAGCCTTTTTTGCTGCTGCATCACACTGTTGACCCATGTTAAGCTTGTGGTCCACCAAGACCCCTAGATCCTTTTCACATGTACTGCTAGTAAGCCAGGTGTCCCCCAACCTATATTAGTGCATCTGGTTCTTCCGTCCTAAGTTACATCTGTCCCTGCTGAAATTCATTTTGTTAGCTTGCGCTCAGTTCTCCAATCTGTTAAGGTCATTTTGAATTCTGATTCTGTCTTCTGCTGCTTTAGCTACCCTTCCCAGTTTAGTGTCATCAGCAAATTTGATGAGCATCCCTTCAATTCCTTCATCCAAGTCATCCAAGTTGAACAACAGACCCAGGACAGAACACTGCAGCACCCCACTTTTCACTTTTTTCCAGGATGACGAGGAACCATTAATGAGTTCTTTTTGGGTTTGGTCAGTCAACCAGCTATAAATCCACTTAACAGTTACCTTGTTCAACCCACATTTTACCAGCTTCCTCACAAGAATATCATGGGGGACTTTTTCAAAAGCCTTACTGAAATCAAGATACACTATGTCCACAGCATTTCTCTGATCCACCAAGTTTGTAATTCCATCAAAAAATGGTAATACCAATGGTGTTACCCCCACCCAGCAGTCCAAATAGTCTTTAACACACACACACACACACACACACACACACACACACAGATTTTCCTAATAAGCAAAAACAAGCTAGCCAACTTAAGAAATTGGCTTCTACATAAGATTCATAGACTAGATGCTGTTTGTCAAAAACTGCAGTTTGGAAGTTGTACCACAAAAGTCTATCAAAGTTAAGATTCTTCAATATTGACAATGTATAACATAATTAATTTACAATTATAAAAAATACAATGGAAAAAGTAAAAATCCATATTAAAAGGTGGGTGGAGGGGAACCCTATCAAAAATGAGAAGCAGGAATTCAACAAAAGGCCCCAAAAGTACACAGTGCTATAGAGTTGGTACAGTACACTGGGTAAGAGACAAAGGGTGGAAACCAATATTGTGCCAGCAAAATGTTGGTTGGGGGGTTGCTGACGGCTGCAGGGTGAAGAAGTTTGTGTGAGCTGAAGTCCATTCTGGAAGCAGGACACCACAACTGCATAGCTCCCTGAGCTATGAGTTAACCTTTGGATCAAATTTTACCTCTACAATTACCTTTAGGCAAGTCACTATCTCTCCATCTCTCTCCCTTACCTGCAAGCTTGGGGTGATACTAACTTATATTATAGGATAAATAAAGTAAGTGGAGTGTTGTCAACATTATGTAACTGGTTTAAGGTTTGATCCTTTCTTTTACTGCTCCCTTAATGTTGTTCTGTGATTTATAATGTTTTTTAAAGTGTAAATAGCTTTGAAGTCACTTGTGACATGAAGTGTATATAAGCGTATTTTTAATGATAATAATAGGCTACTGTTAAAGTGCACAAAATCTGAACACCACAATATCTTTGATTATAGCCAAAACTGAATCTTCTGAATTTGACAACTGATATAGGATACAACTTAGGAGAATCCTTTATTTATTTATTTATTTATAAAACTTTCACTTGTTTTTGCATAACACTAAACAAACATAATATTTGAACACAGTAAGATCATTCAAGACAACAACAACAGCTTGGATCCTAAACAGCCTAACATTAAGTTAATTGAAGGAGGCTGCTGAAGGAGGGGGAAATTGTCCAAAATCAGGCAGACTTCTATCTGATTTGGACCATCCTTCCTGAATAGCACCTCTTCAGCCCCAGCCACCATTACCCAGATAGCTGCCCAGGTTGGGGATGGGGGTAGGAAAGAACAGGTAGGAAAATATATTTCTGTAAAGTTGCTTTAGTTAACTTATATTATGATCCAAACTATTTTCATACTGATTATGTTTGTGCACACATTCAAAACCAGATCTATGATGCACAAAAGAAGTCCTCTTCTGTACACTACAACTCTTTCCTTATTATCTCAAAACCATCCTATTCTGTATTTTGAGAGGGTTCTGTTTATTGGATTGAGTGCCCCAACTGCATTGCTAGTATTATGTGAAATATAAATTCTATTAATACTTATTGAATGTGCCTGTAACACAGACTACTAATACATCCCCCGAGCCACATACCTCTACTATTTTCTAAAATTACAATTTACTTATTATCCTAAAAAGCTGAGTGCCTTCTCACTCCACTAGCTGAACACAAGAGCACAGCAGCATATTTTTTTGAAGTTCTAAATACGAGCAATGAACTTTGTTTTTAAAGAGCTTTCAAGCCAAGTTTTTTCTAAGCTCCAACTGAAGCATGCATACATGCTTAAAAAAACAAAACACCAAACAGTAACTTCAACCAAAAAGCAGCAGGAATTATACAGAGTGCACCTGTCTAGCAACGCACAGAGATAAAAACTAGAAAAGCAGACTTTACAAGTCTTTTCAGATTAAGCCTCCATAAATCTACTCCCCAGGCAAAACTGTCCCTGTCCCTCTGGCACAGCAGGGCGGACAGCAGCAGAGAGATTCCCCAGAGTTCTCTGAAAATTGCAGAGAACTGAAAGCAGCACCTTATATCAAGGTGGGCAGAAGATAGACGAGGCTCTATTACCTTACCTGTGGGTGACTAGCAGCATAAGTATAAAAGCTTAATCTCCCATCACTTTAAACAACTGCAACAAAAAAGGAACTCCCTTAAATTTGTTTGCTGAAGTGAAGAAATCTTGGGAGAGGAGGAGGAGAAACGAAGAATGGATTTTTATGTGTAATGGCTCAGTTCTGCTACTAAAAACAACTTCCTTGATTGAGAATGTGCTTCGATACACTCTGTAGCTCAGTTCTAAGTGTATGTCCCCCACCCTGCCACAAATCTGCATCCGGCTCCAGTTGGTGAATGTTGGGTTCTGAGTAGACATTCATAGATTAGTACTAAGGCTCCAAACCTGCAGTCTACGTTGGATGTCTCCAATCTCATACTTTAAATGCATGAGGGAACTATGTTTTTTTTTCCAAAGCTATGTTACTTGAGTTGTAAAAATAGCATTTGTGCTGTCATTTACATGAAAGGCATTTCCCTCACCTATTAGTTAGAGCTAGAAACATCTTGTATGTATTTCCATCTCTTACGTTTGTTGAACTGGGTTATCTGTAATACATGTAATTTTACAGACCCTCATGCCACCCTAGATTGTTAATGAAGCCACAAACTACAACAAGTATTTATTTTAAGAACAGTTTAGAAAGGCACGTAAAGGAGTATATCCATCTCAAAATCTGCTTGGTATGCTAATTAGAGCCAGTTCACGAGAACCACAAAGCTCAACTATTTGTTCACTCACAGCTGCAGAGAAGAGCAAACATACTCGAGTTATTTAAACATACTGTACAATATTTTTAAAAATCTTTTGACCATATTATTTCTTCTAAAATAAGCCTTTTTATGGGTAGTTTTGCACTGTCAACCCCCACATACTTTTTGAAATAAGCTAAAATCCACATGAAATAGTATAGTGCCATTACAGATAAGCAAACTGATCTCAAAGAATTCTGAACTCCCACACAATGCATTTCCAAAGCAGACTGTCCTTGCCTAGCAATGGGAAAAAGCATCATTACAGTAGAGGAAAAATGGCTGTCGGATTAACTGCCTTTGAAGGCAATATACCTTCAAAGGCCATATTGGCTGTGGGTCTTGGGGGACCTGCTCCCTGCCTTGCAGGCCTCTTCTGCAAAGCCTAGGAGGGCACGGCCCAGACTAACTGCAGTACAAAAGCTGAGACATCTGAATGGGCTCTTGGGTTGGGTATTGCTTAGTGGGTCTTGTTGTTATTATTATTACTCAAGTTGTTTTAAATGGTTTTCAATTACTTTTTAACTTGGTTTAAATTTGGGGTTTTGTTGCTTTTAACTGAAAGACATGGGATGTGCCTGGGAAGAGATTAGTTGGGAAGAATGGGGTGGGGGGCAATCACAGTCGTTCAGGGTAGGGGTTGTGGGAGACAGGACAGGCTAAGTAATAGACACGTGGCAGTTAGTGACTGTGCCATGTGCCAGTCCCCTCTTCTAACCAGGGAAGTTGTCCTCTCAGTCAGTCCTCGGGTCTGCAGCTGCTGTTGCTGAATGCCAGGTCAACTGAGTAAGATCTCATTTATACATGATTTGACTGTGGATGAGGAGGCTGATCTGGTCTGTATGACTGTGACCTGCGTGGGTGAGCAGAGTTGAGTTGGTCTCATGCAGCTGTGCCCACCTGGATCTTCAGTGCAGCATCAGGGCAGACTTGAGGGTCGAGGAGGGGGAGCTGCTGTGGTCTATTCCCCTTGTCTGGAACGCCTACATTCCATGGCTTTTTATATGTGTTTGTGGGAAGGGGAGTTCTTGGTTTGGTTTTTGTTTTAATATGTTTCTGGTATTCTCATTTTTTGATTTTCTGTTGTGAACTGCCCTGGGATCTTCAGATGAAGGGCAGTATACAAATTGAATAAATAATAACCACAACAATAAAACAAAATGAGAAAAACTAAGAGTTAACATGAAGTGAAATGCTACACTTGCACAGGAATATCTTTTGAATGAATGAATACCTTGTATTGACATTGTTATTTCCTTGAAGGTGGCAGTTGCTAAAGCACCATCACTGGTGGCTGCATGTACAGCTATGAGAAGGTACCAGCTAAGGCAAACAGCACTCTCTCTGCAAGCCCACCATAGCCTGAAGGAACTCCTACACACTCCAAAACTGACTGTCCTGTGTGAACTGGTCCTAAGGTTCAAACTGTGTGTATGTGAAATGTATGAATATTCTCTAGATTTACTTCAAATGCATTAGTTACATAAAGAATAAGGCTTAGGGCAGTGAGGTTTCCAGTACAGCAATTTGCTTTATCTTTTTGATATCTTAAGATATGCTTTTTGTCCATTAAGACATTATCTATGCTACAGAAGAGATGCAACAGATTTTGCAAAGGCCCCCAGGCTACAAAAGTGTCTGACATTTATTGGGGGTTTCAAAGTTCGATTTAATTTATGGCATTTGGGGACAAATTTCACTACTTTCTCTGAGTATAGGATACATTTTAAATCGCTTTCAAAATGAAAGCTGAAGTTATAGTTACAGTGGTTGAGTTAGAACAAATAATGTAACAGTCTGCAAGTAAACAAAGTAATTCTCTTGCTCACTGCTAGAAACTAAATCACTACAAGGCTAAAGGATGTAAGTGAAGATACTTCACAATCCACAAGGGTATCAACAAGAAATTCATAACCCATCCCTGTTACCAAAACAGAACAGCTTATACTGTACTATAAACAAGCCTAGATAGGTACACTTGATTTTAAGTGTGAAAACTGTAAAATAATAGAATCATAAAATTGTAGATTTGGAAGGGACTCCCCACAGGCAATCTGCCAAAGTGTAGGGCCTTACATTTGTCCCTACTGAAATTCATTTTGTTAGTTTTGGCCCAGTTCTCCAATTTGTTATGGCAATCGTGAATCCCTATTCTGTGGCAATAGCTATCCCTCCCAATTTGGTGTGGTCTGAAAGAGACAGGAGTGCTGCTCTATTGGCATTTCACCTAAATAAGAACAAAGATACAAGACAAACAAATTACAATACCCCCAGGGGCATGCCAACGGATACTTCGTTATAGTGGGCAATGATCAACAGTAGGAAATACAAATAGAAAAAATTGAAGGAGTTCTTGAAGTGAATTACCGTATTTTTTGTCCCATAGGACGCTCCGTCCCATAGGACGCACCTAGGTTTTTTGGGGGGGTGGGGGAATAAAGGAAAAATTTTCCCCCTTTATTTCCCCCCCAAAACCAGGTCGGGGAAACTGAACCAGGTCGAGGAACAGCAGGATGGCGGCGCTGTGCCTCCCTGCTGTCCCCCGAGCTTGTGGGGCTGGCCGATGTCTGTCCGGCGCGCGGGGCGCTCTGCTTCAGGGCGCCCCTCACGCCGGGCGGCAGGCTGCTATCCGCAACGTGGGGAGCCCTGCAGGGAACTCCCGCAGGGCTCCAACACGCTGCGGATGTCTGCCTGGCGGGCGGGGCGCTCTGCTTCAGGGCGCCCCTCGCGCCAGGCTGCTATCCGCAGCGTGGGGAGCCCTGCGGGGAACTCCCACAGGGCTCCAACACGCTGCGGATGTCTGCCCGGCGTGAGGAGCGCTCTGCCCGGCGCGAGGGCTGCCTAGCCTGCGGATGTGTTTCTGAAGCCTGGAGAGGGAGAGGGGTCGGTGCGCACCGACCCCTCTCGCTCTCCAAGCTTCAGTGAAAGCCTGCATTCGCCCCATAGGATGCACCCAGATTTCCCCTTCATTTTTGGAGGGGAAAAAGTGTGTCCTATAGGGCGAAAAATACGGTATGTCCTTTTTGCAAAATGCAAGTGCAGGTTGAGCTGATGCATTTTATGTTGAGGACCAGAACTAACAGTTTATGCAACAACACCATGAGAAAATATACAAAAGGGCACATAACTGTGAACTCCATCCCTACAGACCACTCAGTAAAGCCTTACCTCTGCTATGAACTGTCTAGACTAGTACCTAGAGCAGGCATAGGCAAACTTGACCCTCCAGATGTTTTGGAACAACAACTCCCATCATCCCTGACCACTGGTCCTGTTAGCTAGGGATGATGGGAGTTGTAGGCCAAAAACATCTGGAGGGCCAAGTCTGCCTATGCCTGACCTAGAGTGTAGATGGGCTAAGGAATGCATATGATCCCAGGAGAAGTCCCTCTCCCACCCTACACTATGGTAGGGATGGTTACAGTGACTTACCCATTGTAAGGATTATAACTAGATAATGCATATGAAGTGCTATGAACACAAGGAGCACTATGCAAATGTTATGTATTATTTACGCAGGGAGGCCTTGGCCATGAATCTCATGCTTTTGTCAAATGGTCAAGAGAAAAAATGGAGGTGGGAGAAGCTTTTCTGCAATATCATTAGGCCATTTGATGGGCAACCAAGAAGTAAACAGAAGATACCCAAATGAAGCAGGTAATCTAATCTTGAAGAAGAATGCATAGCAGTTATATTGCTATGAATATTCTAAACAATTCTGGAGGTCTCCCCACCCCTTGCCTACTGAAATCCTGTGAAGTTCAGGTGGGGTGGAGTAGATGGTCCAAAAATAAATTAATGCTATATATCCATATTGGAAGGTGGCACAAGATTAAGGTCAAATGCAAGTGAAAGTTAGCCAATTGACTAGATCAGAGGTTTTCAACCTTTTTGAGTTCACAGCTCCCTTTACCAAGTACATTCTTTCTGCGGCACCCTTGTGGGGCTCGGGAGCCCAGTTATGTCACCCCTTGCCTGCAGAGCTGTCATCCTTTCATCATTTTTCAAACACCCTCCCTTGTGGCGTGTTCCCTCAGCTTCCTCTCCTCCCCCCTCTCCTTAGGAGTCCTCTGGGCAGCTGCAGCCATTGGTCTCTGAGCTGCCCCCAACCCAACCAGAGACTAGCCAAAGTTGAACGGGAGGCAACACCTTACCTTGGGAGGCAGCAACGGGTGCTGCCAGACCTGCGTGGCAGAAAGGCTCCCCTTCAGCACCAGGCACTCAGCTCCAAGGCAGGCCTTTCACACAGCAAACAAATAAAAGGCCAGCACAGTGCCTGCCTGCCTTCCACTTGTCTGTTCATTCCCAAAAGCAAGGGCTGGTGGGCTAGCTGGCTGGGCTCCCTTGCCTGCTTACTCCGAGGCCACCTCAGCTCCTGGCAACCAGCACCTCCTGGCCAGCCCCCGAGGCACCATTAATCAATGGAGCTTGTAGCCAGGGCTGCTGCAACAAACAGATGTGCAAGCCTTTGGGAGGCAGAGATGCAAGAGGGCATCAGAGAGAAGTAAAGAAGGACAGAGGCCAGTGTTGCTCGCAGCACTCCTGACCATCATTCAAGGCACCCCAGAGTGCCATGGCACACTGGTTGAAAAACACTGGACTAGAGATTTAGTCTGCAATCCTTTACAACTTTTGGGACTAAGTCCCATTTAATTCACTAAGACTTATTTCTGTGTAGACATGCATAGGATTGTGCTCTTAAGGTAATTCTGAGTTGATTTAGTATATTAGGAATTGCAAATACCTTCCTCCAGTTAAGAAAGAATAGACTTACATGTTCAATAAGGTTTTATTAAATTCCCCCAGTGATGCTTTGAAAGGATATAAAATGGAATCTTCCAGTTAGTGTTAAGTCAGTGCAAATCTCAAGACTTACTCATACTGAGGCATGCCTCATTCGTTTATGCATTATTCAGTTGTCCATCACTTTCCGGTGGTAATTTTGCAAGCAATAAAGCTGAAACCTCACACTTATTTGAATGCCACCCCCACTAAACTCTGGCTTATTTCTCCCAGATAATTGAGTGTAAACCTTTGCTGTCACTGTAGCTGCACTACTGGTTTTAAAAGGAACTGCTATGATCAGATGTATCATACTTTACACCTTCTGAAATGGCACCAATTCAAAATCTGTAAAATAGCATTTTTATTACATTTGCAGGTCATCCCACAGCATACTCAGGATGACGCACAATAAAGAAGGTAAAAACTGAAACACAAAGTTATGATGTAAAGAAAGGGAGGTACAAAAATACAACAAAACAGAACTCAAAACACTGCCGCCTTAGCCAAGAACAAGATTTTTAAAAGATGGCCAGCCTATTTTCATTATTTATTAAAACAATAATTAAAAAATAACCTGTGTAAAAAGTAGGGCAGGGCAATATCTGCTTTTCAGTATCATGATATATCACCAGATAAACACTGTGATTTTGAGATATCACAATGTCTTAAGTAAGGGTGGAACTACAGCATATAGAGGTGAGAAGTGAGACAGACACAAGGGAGATGCAGACACAGAAGGGGAGAAGGGAGGCTTAAACAACAGGGCAAAGTTTATTTTTATGTCATGGCCGATGGTATCAAACGCCACTGAGAGATCCAGCAGAACTAGGAAACAGCTTTCACCTCTGTCCCTAGCCTGGGGACCCATCAGAGATCATTAACCAGCACGACCAAGGCAGTTTCAGTCCCATAATGAGACCTGAATCCAGACTGGAAGGGATCCAAATGGTCCACATCCTCCAGGCATGCTTGGAGTTGTTCAGCAACCACCCGCTCAATCATCTTAATGTGTGCTTCTCACACTAATGACATTTTAAAGAGACAAGATAACATCCATGCAGTAATACTGAGAGATTGTAAACCAAAACTATTATGAACTTAGCCACAGCTTGTAATTTGAGTCATTGTTTTCCCCCCTGCAATGTACGCTTTGGCTTGTGCATTTGACAGTATATACTCAATATATTAATCTCACTGAATTCAATAGGATTTGGGCCATGGTAAAGAATTTTTAACTGAGGGTGGGTCATCAAGAACAGGTGTAGACAGTAATACTAGTGGTGGAAGCAACTGTATTTGTGCCCTGGAATGCTATATTGAGTTTTAGTGGAAATGTGTTAAGAGATTGTTTTCTCTTAAGTGGAAGCATGCACAAAGGAAGAAACTGTCATGAATACAATATATTACTTTCCACAAAGTTTACATTGCAGCACTATCATGCACATTCTGGAAAAGCAATGGGTCACTGCTAACTTGCGTTTTGATGTAATCTTGGAGGAAGCAGTCATTCATCAGCCTTCCAAAAATTAACAGATCTAATACTCTACAAGGATGTATCTACAAAGGCCTTTCTGCCAATTCTATCTGTAATGGGTCACATAGTTCTGGCCTTCAGACTAATGTGTAGAGAACAAAGCAACCCCTAAAAATGCAGATTGGCTATCCTTCATCTGGGGCTATTTGCTGCCAAAATTATCTACAGTTATCTGTTTGTAAGGAGAAGCCTACATGAGCTGATCAGGGGCAGGCGGACTTATAGACAGAGTCTATGACCTTCTTGCCTCTTCAAGTTCAACTATTGTGAACAACAATTGTTTAAACCCATCATATTTACAGCTCAGTTCTTGACAATGTATTTGAATGGCTACTACTGTCGACACCAAGAAATAATTCATCAAGGGAGATGACCTGCAGACAAATCTTACCCTCTACAGTTGTCTGTACACAGTACAGTGGTAAGATTTCAGTTTTGGCATTTAAAAAAAATAATAAATTTTTTATTAAAACAATAAGAAAAATGTAAAACTGTGGCCAGAGTAGTACAAATAATGTGTTGGAATTTCATATATGTGAACTGTCAGAAATACATCATCTTTTAAATACAGATTTCCCCTAGGGCAGAAGACACCATCACAGCTTTGTAATGAGAAGAAAAACTTAGCTCTTTAGCATCCTTCAGTGGCTATGTGGTTACACTACACTTCTAGAAACTGCCTTCTAAAATATACGAGGAACTGGCAGTACTTGTTTTGGCACTGCGGCCACCTGGCAGAACAGAATGCTTATGCATCACTGTCTCAAGTCTCCCTCTGCACCAAAAATCTGTCAAGACATGAAAATATGATCCAGACAAGAGTCTTAGAATTTTTTGTATCAAATACAGAATCATGTAATCCAAGAAGACTAAATACAATGGTTTGAATACTGGAGAGGAAATGCAAGGCAAGCAGGTCTTCTACAAGGAAAAATTGCAAAGTGGGAGGGATTATTAAAAGATTATTTTGGCTCCAGACATTAACAATACTGATATCACTGGAAAAAATAAAAATACTAAAATGCTGTATTCTCAGAAACACCCCTAAAAATATATGTATGTATTGCTGTATAACCACTACTATGTGATTTTATTTGCACTTCATTTGTATATAATTTCCTGTAATTTCAAAAATGTCAAATTAGCCAACATGCAAATACAAGCCCCTTTAGTGCTAACTCCCGGGCGCAGATAAGAATTAGAAAGAAAATCAAGGAGCAAATCAGAGATCTACAAGAAAACAGGACTGATAGAAAACAGAAGATGGCTGACTAGCCTCTATCATCTTAAGTATTTTGTCAAGCCACAACTTCCCAAATGCCTGTGGAAGCAAAGATAGAAGTACTTCATTGTGTACATGGGCAAAGGCCAATTCACATACTATGTATTCACTATGTAACGAAATGTCCTATAGGTTACAGGCCAAAACTTATTCAAAAATGTTTTTTTAACTTAATTTATTATGTATTTATTTAAAACGTTTGAATGTTAAACCATTCTTCCTGGTTACTTTTTTTTTTTTAAGGAGGAAGACTATAATTTGCAATTGGTAGTACTTAATATGTTTGTGTTAAATCTTCTGCAAAGGGGAAAGCCAGTACCGGTATGCAGACCTTATAACACAAGCTTTCAGGATGCTCATCCACTTCTGACGTGTATGTCAGAATAAATAAAGCTGCCTTACAGCAAAATCCACGTGTCCTTTTGCACAAATACAGACCTACATTCACAAACGTAACAGATTCTTTTGGAGCCTTCCACGAAGCCACTCTGTTTAAAAAGCTCAGCTCTTTTAGGCCAAGAGGGGGCAAAGCATGGATTTCAAATACGTACCAAAGTTTGTGCAAGTCTCGTTTTTGCAAATACGCGCCCCCCAGCCGAGAGAAGCTCCTATTTGCAGCTTACACATTACACTGCCAAGGACAGAATTACATACCGATGTGAGGAATGACGGAAAACCGTCCTCTTCCTTTAAAACGGGCTTTCCTTAGTTCGGCCTGGCTGTTTCTCACATTCCCTTCCCTCGCTCGCCCACATACCCGGCGTGGTTAAGACAGGCGGAAGAAGAGGAGGGAAAGAGTGAGGCATGACGACGGGGCAAGACCATTTTCGCGCGTGTCACAAGGAGCGGCCGGGCGGAGGGAAATGAAGCGGACACATGGTCCGCCCCATCCCTCCGCCCTGGAGGGAGCTGAGGGGCCCTCTCGGCCCACGCAGGTAAACGGAACCGTCGGCCTAACCCTCCGTGGGGCAAAAAGGGGCGCTTCCTCGGCCCCCCGCCACACCCTCGAGAAGAAGGTCCCGGAGGAAGAAGCGGGTCGGGGCCCCAGGGGACGCGTCGTCAGTCACAGCAGCGGCCAGTACTCACCGGGCCCCTCTGAGTGCTAACAGTGGTCGCCATGGCACCTCCCTCAAACCGGGGTGGTCGTCCCTCCTTCCGCCGATGAAACGTCCCTCAAGCCGACGCGGCAGAGTCAGCTGATTCCCCCTTCCTTACCGTCTGGCCACGCCCCCAGTCCACCGCTATCCGGCACTGCGCGTGCGCCTGGAGGATCCCACCCCGCCCCTCACCCTCAGTAGACGCCGCCGTAAGAACCGTTACGTGATCACGCGCAGGCGCAGCCCAGAGGAGGTTCGGTTCTCAAACTGTCGCTGTCGCGCGCCTCTCATCCTTTATCCTCTCATCCCCTTTTCGCCGCACACGATGGGACTCCCAGAGTCTGCTGCCGTCTAAGGCGCGTGCGCGCCCAGACGGATTTGTTTAGTATCTGGGGCCCGTTGCCGAGGATGTGCCGAATGACAGAAACGGCTCCGCAGGGGCGGCTGAATATTTTAGAAACGTTTAGCTTTAACGGGCCGTTATTAACGTCACTAGCCCCGCCCCGCCCATTAAAAAGGCACCGCCATTTCCCACCCTAGTAGACTTTAAGCTAAGGGCTTCTCGCTTCACTGAACCCGTTGACGCAACCGTGCCCATTCACCTCCTGATTGGCTGACTGAGTGCGGATGGGCAGGGCCGCGTTAGTCCTAGCGGAAGGGTCGCGTGACCTTTCATCCGTCGCCGCTTGTCTTCCTGCGCGCGCAGAAAAGTGAGATGGTAGAATTCTGACCCCTGTCGCTTCAGACTAAGTGAGGGGGTACCTGTGTGTGTGTGTGTGTGTGTGTGTGTGTGTGAATATAAGCCACCCCCGAAACTTCCTACAACTAAAAACATGTGGCACGATTCCACCCCAAACTTCTCTCCGGCTTTTCGCAGGAGGCGCGCACACACACTCTCGCTCGCTCGCTCTCTTTTTCCCTGCATCTACAGTATACAGGAATATGATAGCTTCGTTCAGCTCTCACGCTAATCTCACAAGTGAATGGGCCAGAACACTAATTATACTGCATGGCTGGTTCATCTGCTCCTGTGCAGGAGAGGGGAAAAACACACTATCTAAAGAGTTTACCATAAAACTAGTCGGGCTGGGGAATAAATGGCCAGAAGTAGCAATATCAGCACACGATAAAAGAAGAAGTGGTAATACGAGTGATAGAAAGCCAATGTTGTTTTGGCCATGGTTAACAGTGCAATTCTATGCATATTTAGAGTTAGAAAGGAGTCTACAGGTTATGTAGTCCAATCGTTTATGATGTTTATGATTGTCCAAATTGGAGAGGGTTAGAACTATGCAATGGCAGTCGAGTGGGAGAATTCAAAGAGGCTAAAGGTCCCTCAAGTAAAACACACGGTGAGAGACACTGTTTATATACTAATAGTGGAGCCTGCTGGACCAAATGGCTGAGCTGGAGTGCTTGGTTTTAAAGGAGAGCATAGATATAGTGAACATAATGGCAACCTGGTGGAGAGAACCAGTGGGTCATGGTTATCTTTCTGTACAAACACTACAAAGGGGTAACTTCCACCCTATGGGCTTAGTTAGGCCCAGACATGGGTCCCATCTGGGCCCATGGGACTGTTTTCCTTAAACCTTGCTCATCTGCCCCACAGCTGACGTGACATCAAGTGTAGGGCTGGTCTTTTGCACGTGGGGCTACTGGAATCAACAGCAAGGAGAAGTTCCCAATCAAAAACTGCATAGGACAGCTGAGGGGGCTCACTGTCAGTGCTGATTTGTTTGCTGGTATGGTTCGAATCCAAACTGCACCTGAAAATTGACTTTAAAGGCTGGGTGGCCTTCGGCTGCCCACCTGTCAGTTGGCCTCCAGGATTTAAATGGTATTACGCATCTGGCCTATTGGTGAGTCCAATTCCCCATCTCTTCTCTAATGGAAGGCATTTTGGAAGTCATGTTGCTCTGTATAACAAAGAGGGCACAGACGTCCAACAAATTAGAAATTTTCAGAGGTGTAGACTCCTTCATAGAATCACTCAGTGGTAGTATCAGTATCAAAATTAATTAAGTGCAGGGGGTACTTGAGATGGAGAATGAAATCAATGAGGTATCCCAAGTAGGAAGTGTTATGTTAATGGGAGATTTCAAATACCTTCCTAAAGGCTGGGTAAATGTGATCAATGTTGCCTTCATTCAATGAAGGCTCCCTTGCTGCAGAAGAACACATGTAATGCCAAGGAATACTTAGCAAGGCCTCACTCCTTGTTCTACAGAGGAACAAAGAATGCCCAAATAGGGCTTATAACATCAGTCAATGAGTCACAAGTATGAAAGCCAGTACAGGCACCAGTTTCATATATGTTATAATATTTTAATCAAAGTGGTTCATACATTCATCTGAGTCAGTGGGACAGGAGCCACATTGTGTGGTGTGTTTTATTTATCTAAAGCATTTCCTTTGACCTTTAGGTGACACAGCTCCAAGAGTGGCTTACATATTTATTTAAAAATCAATCATTTAAAAAAAATTGAAGTGTGTGGTTTTTAACTGTCCTATTTAACTATATAGTGATGGTGACATTTTGTCTCATTAGCTGCTTCTTCCTTACAGGGTAGTTGGTGTCCGTGGTAGCTGAAAGGAGAAGGATCCTGTCCTACCACAGATGCACCAGCAGATGGGGAGGGGGGTGATAATATTTTACTTTGCTACCTGCTTCTTCTGTCTCTATGAAGGCTATGCTTGCAGTGTGGTGTGCTATAATCTATTGATCACAAAGGAGGTGGAGAGCTTGAGCAAACTTAGCAGCTTCATGTGCATATACCTCTCATGGTGTGTGGTCTGCATCTACATGTGCAGAAGAATTAAGTGATAAGAGTTCCTAAGTGGTAGAATAGCCATTACCACTTTACATAAGAAGAGCCCAACTGGATCAGAACAAAGGCCCAACTAATCCAGCATGCTGTTCTCACGGTGGCCAGGCAGATGTCTATGGGAAGCCTACAAGCAGGACTTGTACTAGAGGAGAATCGTATTTTTGAATGCCCTTCTATATGGCAGTACAGTGCTACCTCAAGTTACAAACGTCTTAGGTTACAAATGCTTCAGGTTACAAACTCCACTAACCTGGAAGAGTTACCTCGAATTGAGAACTTTGCCCCAGGATGAGAACGGAAATCGTGTGCTGGCGGCGCAGCGGCAGCAAGAGGCCCCATTAGTGAAAGCACACCTCTAGTTAAGAACAGTTTCAGGTTAAGAACGGACCTCCGGAACAAATTAAGTTTGTAACTAGAGGTACCACTGTAGTAGCAGCAGCGTAGCTAGCCGCTTGGGTGTCCTGGGCGGCACACGCACCCTACACGCAGGGGAGGGGCACGTTGGGGCAGGGCATGCTGTGCAGAGACTTGCCACCACCTCCCCCTCAGCTGTAGGGCGGCTGAGGAAGGGGCAGTGGGCAGATGCAAGCCCCATGCTGCTGCTTTAGGCAGCACTGAACCTGCAGGCGCCTGAGCCACTGCGTCACTCCCAGAAGACAGTGTGGCGGCCAGTGCCCCCCCTCCCCCTAGCTACGCCTCTTGAGTAGTAGTAATAAATATTTGCATGTAGGAAGCTGACATGGGCTAGATCTTTGCTCCCTGACAAAGGGCAGTGTGGTTTTTGAAGGGAGCATTCCAATATAGCATTCTTTAGTTTAAAGAGGTACTGTCCATTCTAGAATTTTACCACATTCTGCTCAATTTGTAGACCAAGGCATATTTTGCACAAGCTGGAAACCATTGCCAATGGTTTGTTCCTGCAGGCTTACATGCTGGGTCAAACTGAGCTGAAGTAACATACATGTGCATGAGAATTGGCCTTTGAAGTCTTGGAACATATTCTGATTTTCTGAAGGAAGCGGCAGTTGGTCCTTGTATAAAGGAAGAGCAATTTGTGCCATCACTAAAGAGGAGTCTGCATCAAATGGTAGTTGCTGCAAGTTCAGCCTGCTTTTTAAATATTTAGCATCTGACCTCCTCTAGCCTCTTGTGTAATTCTGGTCTCTTCAACAGAACAAAGACAACTTTCATATTAATCTGAGTGCTGTTCTGGGAGATAAAAATCTGATCATTTCAAAGTCTATTTGAATAATGTAGCTGCTTCCTGCTGCTAATATCTGCAGCATTAATTTAGTCATTAATTAAAATTCGTGCTGCAGATCCCAACAGCTGGAAATAGAATAGTGCAATTAGGAGCTTTCTAAATTTATAACAGATATTTTTATGCACTATTGTAATGCATGTATGAAGGTATGGCAGCTCAGAGTTATCATGCTGGCTCCAATAAATACATTGATTATAAATGGATGCAATTCACAGAGTGTGAAAGATAGCATCTACTAGATTCTAGCAGGACAATTTGAAAACAAAGGCCACCAAATGTCAGCAACAAAATAGAATTCAATTCAGGCAAGTGAACATAGGGTTTGTTTAGCCAAATGATTATATATCCTGCTGTTTGTTGCCTTGATCTTTGAGTGCTAACGCAAATCAGTACTGTAGTATGCCAGTGTGGTTTTGTTTCTGAGCAGGGCCAGAAGGGGGCAGTAGGCTGCAAGCATGTCCTCATTTGATGTTAACAGTTATCCAAGAATCTCCAGGCTGTTTCTGCAAGGCTGTGCTTGATTTAGAGCAAATTTGCTGGTTGCTTGCGCTGAAGGCCTGGAGTAGATTTCTCCTAGGAATTTATTCTCATAGAAGGGAAATCTCAAGAAGTGGTGGTGGTTAGTCCAAGATTGTATTTGGCAGTATGGATACTTGTGTACTTACATGCTGTTAAGATAAAACTGAAATGCTGAAAGACAAACCTAGAAAACAAATTTGTGACATGAAAATCAAGTTTGGGCTCTGTGGCAAAAGAAAAGAAAAGAAAACCTGTTAGTTGTGGCTCTGGGTAATTCTGATCACAACCTTTGTTTCTGGCATTTAATTTGCTGAAGCAGAATTGACAATGCAGATCATCACTATAAAATTAACTGTAACAGAACTACCATAGTTCTTGAATCCTCCTGCATAGCTTTCTGGACATTAAGTTATTGTCTGCTTGCCAGGTCTTGCAACTAAATTTCCTAACAGCTTGGTTAAGGAAAGTGTATCTTGAATATCAGCAAAGGTTTTTTGGTATCTGCTTGTAGCACAGTCCTATGGCTTGGCTTCATCTTTACTGAATCGCCAACCACACTGTGTTCAATTTGTTTTACTCATGGGAAGATGTGCATAGAATTGCAGCCTTATCTTATTACCTTTGACATTCATATACCACCATCCCTCACAGGAGCTCAGTGTTAAATAAAGAGTTATTCCCTACTATCCATTTTATCCTCACATCAATTCTGTGAGGAGGGTTCATCTGAAAGGATAATTACGGACTTAAGATCACACAATGAGGTCCATGGCTCAATGGAGATTTGAAGCTGGCAGCGGAATACAGTGGTGCCTCGCAAGACGAAATTAATCCGTTCCGCAAGAGTCTTCGTCTAGCGGTTTTTTCGTCTTGCGAAGCAAGCCCATTGACGGATTAGCGCTATTAGCGCTATCAGCTGTTTAGCGGCTATTAAAGGCTTAAAGGCTTAGGGATTAGCTGCTAAAAGGCTATTAAAGGCTATTAAAGGCTTAGCAGATTAGATAAAGGGGGAAAGCGAAAAAAATCTCAAGACTCGCAAGGTATTTTCGTCTTGCGAAGCAAGCCCATAGGGGAATTCGTCCTGCGAAGCAACTTCAAAACGGAAAACCCTTTCGTCTAGCGGTTTTTCCGTCTTGCGAGGCATTCGTCTTGCGGGGCACCACTGTACCAGTAGTTGGAAGCAGTGTTTTTTTCCAGGGGTTACTCAATGGTACACAGTACCGGCACCTTTTTAAAAGAAGAAGCAGCAGCAGCAAAGCACTGATTAAAAGTATGGCACTTATTGTAACAACATCATGGTGAGTACTGGCACTTTTTTTTCCTAGAAGAAAAGCACTGGTTAGAAGACTGATTGGGGTATTGAAAGCCCAGAGCTGGTCACCCTGTAAGGCAATAGGAACCCAGTGGGGTGGATAGAGCCTTTACCAAGCAAAAGGTGCTGCAATACGTCACGGACTGCCTCTCCCCATATGAACCAACTGGACCCTGCGGTCATCACCGGAGGCCCTTTTTCATGAGCTCCCTCCACAAGAGGTCTGCAGGGTGACAGCACGAGAATGGGTCTTTTCTACGGCGGGTTCTCGTTTGCAGAATGTTTTTTGAAGTCACTGTTATCTTTTTCATGTAATCAGAAGTACCCCCCCCCCGAGGGACTTATGATTAAACATGCTTAGGATTTCACCTAAGTGCAATACTGATGCACTGCAGCCTGTCCACAGATAATAGGTCTGTGGGACGAAGTTAGAAAGCTACATGGATTGTTGAATGTATCCTGCTGCGGTAATGCATTCCTGATCTAGACCTTATTTTTTAAAAACCCTGCTTTAATTTTCATCTGTTATTGCTGTTTCTTAGCTAGAAGGATGTACACTTAGGCTACAATTCTAGACCTGCTTCACTAGCAGTAAGCTCCAAGTAACTCAATAGTGCTTGCTTCTGCCTTGGATTGTGACAAAATGTGGGTCAGTAAAAGGATCTCCTAGAATATTGTTACAGATGCTAGGATTTTGGCTATTTGTGGAATGAACAATACTTTGCACATTTCATTCTCTCATGTGAGCAAAACAATTAATTTCAAAGTTGTAATAACAAAATCAAGCAGGATTCAATTTTTATTTCTATGGATATGGACTAGATCCTCAGTATAGGCCTATCTGTGTAAATCTGATGGGCTGTTTCCAGCAAAGTCATTGTGGAAATGGAATGAATTGCTCTTGTACAACACCTCCCCGCCCTCTCCTCCCCCAGCATGACTGCCATACCTTGCCCCAAATCTGCTCTGCATCTCCCCTCAAACCTCAGAAGGGCACTTAGAGGCACTGGGGGAAGTTCTGTTGTGTGAGTGAAAGATGTTCACTTAGCTGCACAAGAATTTGGATTCAATCCAATTATTCCAGTGCAAACTAATGAACTTGTTGGTGTCAGCCCAATTAAAATTGAAAGGTCTTCCAGTGTTGCATTTAGTTTTAGACTTCTTTGCAAGTGCTGCCAGCATTCAGAATCCTTTATTTCTGAGATTATTGCATCAAGCAGCAGCGATCTAATCATATGCTACTAGATTGAAGTAAAATTCAAATAATTTATTTTCTCTTAATATAAGTATTAGCAACAAACAGCACAAACCAACAAGTATTGGTTGTTGGTTGCAGGGTACAAAACTGTGTACAAAACTGACTCCAATCAAATACAGTTATAAAGAAGTCAGCATATGAATAATCAGAAATCTCAATACAGAAAATCAAGCAGATCTAAAGCAGCAGCAGCATATCCAGTGCAGGTCAGATTTACAGAATGCCTCAGACTGAAAAGGCTCTCCTGGGTTCCTCCAAAATCTGTATTTGTGTGTGTGTGTGTGTGTGTGTGTGTGTGTGCATGCTTCTATGTAATTTATATGTGCAGATATTAGGCCTCTTACACAAAGTAAAAATGAAAACCAATTTTTAAAATTATTCAAATGTAGCCTGATTAGTTGTTTACTCTCTGGAGGTATCCTACTCTTAAAGTTTAGCAAAGTTTCCAGCTCTTCAATTGTAGGTTATTTACTGATGATGATGATGCTTTCTTCCATGCTGAGGAGACAAAGCATTGAAGTAATGTGCTTGTTTTTGCCACATTTCAAGCAAAGCATGCATATATTCAGGTCATTAAACTTAACAATGCTAAGTACAAGAACATCACCTATCAGTTGATATGAACTAATTTTTTAAAGAAAAAATATGTAAAGTTTGAGAGATATCATCATGATTGTAGCCTGGAGAGGGAGTTACTTATTTTAGCTTAGAAGAGGTGATTTGGGAGTGGAGAGAAACACTTTGTGATCACTTTTATATCAGTGTAATGAGCATGCAAACCACATAAACTCACAGTTCAGAGTCAATCCCGCACAAAAAAAACAATACCAAAAATCCACATAGCACAGGCTACTTGTAGGCTCTATGTTATCTTGGTACCCCAAGTCACTGGAGGTGGCTAAAACATTAATAGAGATGAGTGAACCTGCCTCGTTCTAGTAGTGCTTAAGGAACATGGACTGTGATGTCATAACCGGTGTTGTTTTTTAAGAGAAAAAGGTGTTAGTATTCACCATGAAGTTACAGTAAGTGCCACACTTTTAACATTGGGGGGGGAGGTGCCAGTACTATGTACCCCCAGAAAAGAAGCACTGGACTCATCACATTTTATGTTTCCCCAGCTTTGCCATTAGCAGCCATTGATATGAGGTGGGAGGAGTGGGGCAGGAAGGTTGCCATTGCCACTGGCTCAGCGGTTCATGAAACAGCAAGTAGTTATTAATGGAAGTGACAGGTGTTACTATTTTCCCAGGTGGACTATTTCTAAAAGTAGAAGTCACTGGTGAACAAAGGCATCTGATGAATTCATACTAAATCTGGTAATTAAAGTGAAAATTGAAGCCATGGGAAAGGTGAGAGAACAGAAGTCTTAAAAATCCACTATGGTAACATATGGATGTAATTTTCAAAAGCGGCTTGGAGAAGCAGTTAAGGTGTCTAAAATGGCTACAAATCAAATTTGTTTTGTAATAAAAATTTAGACACTAAGATTTCCCCTCCCCATTCCATAATTTGAGTTCCTGCGTTTGTTCTTCCTTCAGCCTTTGCTTTCATTCCCCTCCCTAATTTAATGCATAATTTTTGCATGATAATTTGTTAGCATGATAATTTCTACTCCCAGTCTGACTACCATGAGTGATTGCAAGTGCCAGTAACAAAAACGAGTTGTTGCATTAATCCAACGCTTTTTCTTGTTGCAAATAGTGTCGGAAATTAAGCCTTTATCGGGAGAAACTGGCAACTCTCCCAGGCACCCGGCTTGGTCTCCTGTTGACCTCCCTGGCTGCATTCCCCAGCAAGATCCAGGCTAGGTCTCGATAGGCGATTCTTCCCAAACGTGGGAAGAACACCCCCCCCTCCCTCCTGCTCCCCCGGCAGGGAAAGGAGATAGACAGAAATGTATTTACATGCCTTTATTTCTGTCTTTGCGGCATTACAGAAAACATGTCTGCTCACTTCAAACTCCAGCAATCAAGTGACAAAGACTTCCTGTACTTCCTGTACATACACAAGAGGAAGAGCTCATATTACACTCTGAGCTAATTCCAGTGCATTGCCCTGTGAACTGACTGTCTCTCTGTTTCCCACAGACAGTCCCAACATTCCCATCATGTTTTGTTTTCAAGCTACCAGTTTGCAGCTGCATTGCTTCTATATCGTAACATACTCCCCCATATGAATCAATGTGAGCTGCAAACAAAGCTTGATCCAGAGAAGAAAACAAACAGTTGTTATACATATAACAATCCCCTGTTGTTACAGTTCCTCCCTTGGAACTACCCGCCACTGGTTTCCCCAGTGTACCTCTCTGGTTGTCTGTTTTCCAAGGAATGAGTGCTTCTGCATTACCTTGGCTAGGGAATGTAGTGTTATGCTTAGCAACTCCCTGTTGTGTCTCTGTCTCTGACTTAGACACATCTGTAACCTGTCTTGAGTTGTCAACAATAGTATCCTTGATTCTAATAGGCCAGTAGCTTATTAGAGCACAGGTTCTTCTTTCAGTTACCCGTGGAGACCTTAGCAGCACAATCTGGAAGCGGTCATGGCTGCACCAAGATCTTTATGTACCTATCCTGCTGACAAAACTAATACTGTGCCAAAAATTATTCCACATTTTATCTGAACGTTTTCTACTGATTAATTTTTAAAAATGCATTGGAA